CTTCAGCATGTGGTAGAAATAACTCTTTGAAGATAGGAGGGTTTGGAGAACAGATTGGGAAGAAACTGATGTGTCAGCAGAACATGTTCAGAAAAACAAGGTATTATGATTCTGTCATTGGTTAGCTTCATATCCTGCAGTAAGACATTTACCATTTTCCCAGGACTTTTGTTACATCAATAGTGAGGGAGGGGCTGGCGCTATGGCTCACTTGGTTAATCCTCTGCCTGTGGCACCGGCATCCCATATGGGCGCCAGGTTCTAGTCCCGGCTGCTCCTCTTCTAGTCCAGCTCTCTGCTGTGGCCCGGCAGGGCAGTGGAGGATGGCTCAGGTACTTGGGCCCCTGCACCCGCGTGGGAGACCAGGAGGAAGCACCTGGCTCCTGGCTTCGGATTGGCACAGCGCCGGCCGTGGCGGCCATTTGGGGAGTGAACCAACAGAAGGAAGACCTTTCTGTCTGTCTGTCTCTCTCTCTCACTGTCCATAACTCTACCTGTCAAATAAATAAAGAAAAAAAAATAGGGAGTGACTGAATGATCTAATGGTTCCTTCTCATTCTAAAATTTTATCTTTTGTATTTTATTTGTTAAGATTCTGAGCATCAGACTAGATTAGTATTGTTACTTTGTTGTGTCGGAAGTGTATTAGAATCAGAGCTCTTTAAAGAGGTACTTTCTTTCCACTTGAATTGTTTTTGACCTTCATCAGTGTGTACTCTCACTGGTATTCACTAGATGTACTCCTCTGGTTGGAAATTCATTATTTGAAATGCTACTGTAACACCTAACTAAATTGGATGTATGTGAAATCAGCCTTTTGAGTTTACATGTACCTGGGTTTTAAAAAGTTTGTATTAAATCTAACCTAACATAGGAGTTTTAGGTTAGGTCAAAGTGATTCAAATGAAAATAGTTTTGTTTTACTTTTTTCCCCTTCAATTGTCTAATAATTGACAATTTTTTTTGTCTTAGGTTCACTAATGTACTTAAATGAAGCCACACTCCTCCATAATATCAAAGTTCGATACAGTAAAGACAGAATTTATGTAAGTATTTTACCAATGGCTTATGTTTTTGGTGAGGTAATTATTTTACATCCTACTGTTAGATTTTGTCAGGCTTGAAATTTTCCAACAGGAAATCATTCACATCTGAGCCTGCTGGATAGGGAAGGCAAACTCTCTGAAAACATGGATTTTTTCAGATTTACTGCTCTAAGTCCAGGTCTTATAACGTGTCTGGCACATAGTAGGTACTTAATAAATTCTTGTAGAATAATAAATTCATAGCAACATCTGTTTTTCAGACTTACAGATGTCCATTTTGAGTATTTTAAAAAACTCCAATTATTTTAGAGATTTTTTTCTATTTTTGGTCTGTGTAGATGTTTATTAATTTACTTTCACATTATTCTGCAGAGAATTTAAGGCAACCTGTAAGAAGTGTGTATTGAATTTGGAAATTTGAATGAGGAAAAAAATGTGAATAAGAATAAAAGGCAATATCAGAGGAAATACCAAGGACGTAGAAATGCTGATCAAAGAGCCTAAATAGTTTTATTATCTCAGTAGGTCCTAGACAAAGAACCTGTAGGTTTATAAAGTAAAAATGTTAGAAAATGAAAGGCACTGCTTTTAATGAACCTAGAGGTTTTCAGCAAATCACTCATACCTAGTATGTTTCAATTGTAATTGTTCACTGGACATGTACAAAATTTTATACTAATCTGACATAGTCTTAGATTCCTTTGTTGGCTGGAGATAAATTACTGTACTGTTGCTCTCCTGTTATAAAGATGGGGCACTTCATTATTTTTGAACGAAGAAAACACATGGCTTCATGACACTTACTATATCAAATGACAGTCTTAATCTTTTATATCACTATCAACTTGCCTAATTGTACTTACTTAATTCTGACTAAATTACATTTAGTCTTTGCCATCTGTCCAAGTAGTGACAGCTGGGAAATAGAGTCTCTTCTAAAAGAGTTTACTTTCTTCCAATTGTATACTGCATTAAGACTTTATTTTCATTCTTGGTTTTTTAAATCACTAAATAAAGTGTGTATGTAGGCTTAGAGATAGCTATTCTTGATTATAAATATATTTGGAAATAAAAATCAATTAGCAGACTCATGTTGAGCATCAAATACTTGCTAACTTGCTATTTTAGATACCAAAATAATCTAAAATTTTAAGTTTGTTTGTTAAAGCAGTTCAAAGTCTACTGAATCAATGAAAGTTAATATGGATGTCACCAGGAAACATCATCTTTGAAGTAGAACTGGAGAATCTATATTTTTAAGGTTTAATTGAAGCCATGGTTGGTATGCTTTTTCCCCAGCCAGTAATGCCTTTTAATTATAAAGCCATTAAAAATGTACAATAGCTTTATTACACAATATATACAAGTGATAGAAAAAATTTTGAAAAAGAGTTTAAATTTGATATTTTATTTTTCTAACTAATCAGAATTATCAAGATTATTCCATAAATTTGAAAGCATTTGCTAATTCCTATTTAACATTTTCATTGACTACTGTGTCTGTGTTCCTTTTCTTTTGTCTCCCATACTAATATCACTATCTGGAATTTCTTATCTTTTACTGTACTCCAAGACACATCTTTAGGAATATTCCCTGAATTCTATTGATAGTCTGAAAGTTCAGAGTTTTTGCAACATTTCCCTTCTACAACCAGAAGCAGAGCAGAGCAAAATATGATCCTGTGTGCCCTACTTTTGCCAGTATAACCAAACCACAGCTCTGTATCTACCCACCAAGGAATTTTATAAATCCTACTGGTCCATTTTTCTGATCGTGTAAAACCACAGTTAAATTCCAAATTTGAAAAGCAAGCTTAAATTGCTCCTTAAACATTTAGCCTGTTAATGTTCCAGGCAGTGGTTAGCATATGTTGTTTTGCAGAGCTCTGGGACCAAGTGGTCACTTCAGAGCTAAGTCGATCCTTGGTATTCTGTGTTGGAGTTGAGCCCAGAGGGTCCAGTGAGGTGTATTATAACTTTTCAGTTGCAGGGTGAATAAAGTAGTTACAATGAAGAATAAATATAACCTGAACTCCTCCTTAGGAATAGAATCAGGGAAGTAAATTTCCTGGGTAGAGTCACCTCGAGCAGCCTGATTGAGATAGAGGCTTAGGCACTGAGATTTCTGTGCTGCTTTGTACCTGGGAAGGCATATGGGAGAATATTATCATAATTTTGAATGTTCTGAGATACTGATGGGATGACAAGATACAAATATATTTTAAGAGTTGGACTAATATGTATCCTGCAGAGATCAGGGAATATTGAAGGCTGAAAAAGTAGATTTGAGAGTCTTGGTTTTATAGAGAATTGAAGGTATTTATTGCTGTACATTGCTTTCTTCTGTGAGCCTTGTTTAGCTTTACATGAAAATAGTAATTAGAAGATTTTATGTTTATGCTTTTCCTGTTAGACATATGTCGCCAACATTCTGATTGCAGTGAATCCATACTTTGACATACCTAAAATATATTCCTCAGAAACAATAAAGTCCTATCAAGGAAAATCTCTTGGGACAATGCCACCTCATGTCTTCGCAATAGGTAAGTGACTTAATTATATTTCAGTTCTTCTCTTTCCTTATACTGTACAGATGTACTCAACTTTTCTTTTTGTATTAATAAAAGATACCATGAATTGAATATATATTTTGTATAATATGCATGTATATCAACATTGTTAGGAGCAGGTATCTTTTTTTTTTAAAGATTTATTTATTTACTTAAAAGGCAGAGTTACACACACACCCACCTACACCCACACACACACAGATTAATCTTCTGTCCTCTGGTTCACTCCCCAAATAGCTACAATGGGTGGGACTGGGCCAGGCTGAAGCCCAGATCCTGGAACTCCATCCAGATCTCACACGTTGATGACAGAGGCCCAAACTGCTTTCCCAGTCCTGTTAGCAGAGAACTGGATCTGAAGTGTAACAGTCAGGTCTCAAACCAGTGCTCATATGGAATGCTGATGTGGCGATGCTACCATAGCGCCAACTCCAGGAGCAGGTGTCTTAACAGGGCAGGGAAAAATACTTTTGCAACTAACTCATGGGGCAGTCATGCATCATCATTGGTAAATACCTGTGTCCTCATAGATGTGTCTGCCCAGTCAAAAGTATTACTTAATAAAAGTTACCACAGTGGTTCTTTTCAAATTCTCAAGATAATCAACTCTGTTGTCAAAGTGCCCTCCTCCTTCTGTTTTGAGGCCCAGGACTTCCTCTCTAACCCTGGTGGTCACTTGGCAGCCTGTTACATGGAGCAGATTAGAGATATGAGAGCACACTTCTGTATTTTATCATGCATGAGGGCTTTATAAAATGAAAAGATTGGAAGTGACGTGTGCTTTGTATTCTGTAGAATCTGTGTGGGAATATTTGAATGTCTTTGCTGTTCTCATCCTTTCTCATATCAAGGCGTCCTCGAGCTCTGAGGCACAGAGAAATGAAGTTATCTGAACAGAACTGGAGTGCTTCCCCATGTACTGAGAGGTTAGCCGAACCTCTGTATGCAGACAAACCAGGAGTGCACATTGTTTTGGTGCTACATCTAAGTGCAGTCTGCCTTTGGGCTATGTTTTCCTGCTTGTGTTTTGGAGAGACTTCATTTCCACATTTAGTTGACCTGTGTGCTGTGTACTGCTAGGCAGAGCAAATACGCCAGCCAAGTCCAGTGCTGAAGCAGATTTACATTTTAGTTGTGAGGAGCCCTGATGGCCATTGATTTGTTCTTTATCCACCAGCAAAGTGGTGTACAATCGTTAGAACCTAAATGTGAGCACTCATCTCTGTAGGGAAGTTATTTGTTTAAAATGTAAATAAGAGAGCTTTTATTTTAGCCATTTAGTTCTAAAAAAGGTGTTTAGAATGATTCTGTAAACTTAGGCAAAATAGATTGCTGATAAATTGAACAAAGGAGTAGGTACACCTTTCTATATGGTTGCATTCTGCCCTTAGGGTAGTAGTCATTGGCAAACCCTTTTTAGTTGATGTGGTTGGCACATTTCTGAGGTGAGAAATAGCTATCTTATTGAGCCAAATTGGTCAAGAACTAATTTTGAATTAAAATTGTTTGAATTCTAGACCAGTTTGAACAGAATTGTGTTTACATCAAGATTTAAGACATTTTATACTTTAAATTGTTGGAGTGTAATGAGGATAGTTAAAAATTTTATATAAACAATTATAAATCTGGAGATTAAAAATAATTTTGCCTATATTTATATTTTGTAATGTTTTATCTTTTTTTGTTTATTTGAAAGGCAGACACACACACACACACACACACACACACATCTTCCATCTTCTAATTTACTCCTAAATGGTCACAATAGCCAAGGCTGGGCCATGCTGAAGCCAGGAGCCCAGAACTCCACGTGAGTCTCCCACATGGGTGACAGGGTACTAAGTACTTCAGCCATCTTCTGCCTTTTCCCAGGATGCACATCAGCAGGAAGCTGGATGGCAAGCAAAATAGCTGGGACTCAAATCAAGCTTTTACCTGTCTTTAAGTGCTAATAAATTCTACATGGTGTTTAAATTTAATAATAGTATGAAAGGGAAAAAACATCTCAGATTCATTCTGCAATTATTTTTTCTATCTCCAGCAGAATTTTTGGTTGCCAGATTTCTTAATTGGGAGCATGTTATTTCTTGCTTTTCACTGGGGACCTCATTAGTTATGCACAGCGAGCCTTTTATCCCTCAGCAGATCTGCTCTGGTATTAGGGAGAGCTGAGCCAGAGTTCATAATATGGAGACTTTCTCACACAAACTTAAGAGTTGTTTGGATTTAATATTACTTGTTAGGGGACTAAGATAGGACATAGAAAGTAAAACTTTTAGAAATGTTTTTGAACACTTTTGACTGATTTTATTTTAAAATTTTATAAACTGTAAAAACACATTTATGATTTCTCTAGGAGCATATGCTCCTACAGTGAAATTTCTGTTTTCATAACTTTATATTTGATATATTGTTCATCATTCATTTGTTGTTATTTGGACCCAGCTGATAAAGCTTTTCGAGACATGAAGGTGCTCAAGATGAGTCAGTCCATCATTGTATCTGGAGAATCAGGAGCTGGCAAAACAGAGAATACGAAATTCGTTCTTCGGTGAGTGCTATCCTGGCAAACTTTGAACAAGTTGACTTTTTTTTTTTCTTTGCTGCTGCTGGTGGTCAAAACATGTAGCATAAAATTTTCCAACTTTACCATTTCTAAGTGTAAGTTTAGGAGTGTTAGGTAGATTCGCATTGTTGTGTAGCCAATCTCCAACTTTCTATCTTGCAAAACTGAAACCATATGCATTAGGCAGGTCTCTCTCTCCGCCTCCTCCAGGCCCTTGGCCACTGCCATGGTACCCTCTGTTTGGGTGATTTTACACTAGATACGCCTCATGCAGGTGGAATCATACTTTCTGTGACTGCCTTGTTTCATTTAATTCAGCTTAATATTCACCCATCTTGTCAGAATTTCCTTCCTCATTTTGTATACCACATTTCATTTATCCATGCAGTCATTCATTGGGTTGCTGCTACCTCTTTTTGGCTACTGCTAAACAGTACTGTTGTGAACATGGGTGTGCAAATATCTTTTCAAGGATTTAAAAAAATTTATTTTATTTTATTTTATTTTATTTATTTGACAGATAGAATTAGACAGTGAGAGAGAGACAGAGAGAAAGGTCTTCCTTCTGTTGGTTCACTCCCCAAATAGCCGCTACAGCCGGAGCTACGCCAATCCGAAACCGGGAGCCAGGTGCCTCCTCTTGGTCTCCCATGTGGGTACAGGGGCCCAAGCACTTGGGCCATCCTCCACTGCCTTCCCAGGCCACAGCAGAGAGCTGGACTGGAAGAGGAGCAGCCGGAACTAGAACCCAGCGCCAATATGGGATGCTGGCGCCGCAGGCAGTGGATTAACCAAGTGAGCCATGGCGCCGGCCCGGTCTTTTCGAGAGTTTGAATAGATTGACTTTTGATACCTTTGCACACTTTGTGACATAGTTTAGAATGGTGGGCTCTAACCTTTTAAGAAACAGACACCTTATTTGGAAGCTAATCGGTAGTTGTTGAAAGCCATTTCTGACATGTTGTCCTCACAAGGATCCTGAGAGATACCAGTGCTGGTTAGGCAAAGGAAAATCTGGGAATGTTCCTTCAAAGTCCCTCAAGTATTTATATTCTATTCTCAGTATTTGTGCAATTAGTGTGTTGAAATAATTTTTTACCTTAAGCTTGTACCAATTGGCCTCCTTATCTCTGTTTACCCATACCCCTCTTCCCAGTGAGTGTATCTCATTTGCTGCCATCAAATTAAATTCTGTATTCTTTGTTTAGAATCATGGCATTTTGGGACCACTGCTGTGGCGCAGTAGGTTAATCCTCCGCCTGCAGTGTCAGCATCCCATATGGGTGTCAGTTCTAGTCCTGGCTGCTCCTCTTCCAATCCAGCTCTCTGCTGTGGCCTGGGAAGGCAGTGAAAGATGGCCCAAGTCCGTGGGCCCCTGCACCCACATGGGAGACCAGGAAGAAGCACCTGGCTCCTGGCTTCAGATCGGCGCAGCTCTGGCCATCATGGCCATTTGGGGAGTGAACCAACGAAGGAAGACCTTTCTCTCTGTCTTTCCCTCTCACTGTCTGTAACTCTGCCTCTGAAATAAATAAAAGTAAATCTTAAAAAAAAAAATCGTGGCATTTTAAAAACGGAAGGAAGCCTGGCACTCATTAATTTATGTACCCAGGGAGGCTAAGTCTACTGGTGAGATGGGTGCTAGGACTTGTGCATTTTGAATTTTCACCAGTGTTGTTCCCACTGTATGACAGTTCTTAGTTAAATACTGTGTGGTGGGACCTGTTTTGAGAGTTTGGTATTCCTTAGGTAAATGTGTGTGTTATTCAGAGTTATGTATATGAAACCAACTGAAGAGTTTGTTAATGACTCTTTAAAAAAGGTATATTAAAGTCATTGTAATCAATATTCTGTACTTTGGAAATTTATATTCATTAAATAAAAGTTAAAAAAAAAGAAAAAAAGGTATATTAATTATTTTTGAAAGTTAGAGTTAGAGAAACAGAGAGAAAGAAAAAAGAGAAAGAGAAGGAATGATCTTCCTTCTGCTGGTTCACTCCCCAAATGACTGTAATAGCTAGGGGCTGGGCCAGGCCAAAGTCAGGAGCCGGGAATCCATCTGGCTTTCCCATAGGGGTGACTGGGGCAGAAGCACTTGGGCTGTCATCTGCTGCCTTTCCAGGTGCATCAGCAGACTGCTTAATGAGAAATGGAGCAGGTAGTATCAGTGTTGAAAGTGGTGGCTTAACCTGCTGCACCACAATGCTGGCTCCTGTTAATGACTCTTGGGCTTAAATAGTTCCTAATAAATGAAACCTTCCTAATAGTATTGGAATTGTAAGTGGTTCAATTTCTTATTCTTTCTTTCTTTTATGAGGGTACATCCAAAGGTTTGTGGAAAATGAAGTTAGAAGATGAGTTTATTTTGGTGCAATAAAATTTTAAAATCCATCCACAGTTATAATGATTGCTCAGTTTAGGTTTACAAGTATGAAACAGTATTAAATTTATAAATATATTGTATGCAGTAATGTCATCTTTTTTAAATTCCATATTTTAAATAGATACCTGACTGAATCCTATGGAACAGGTCAAGATATTGATGATAGAATTGTTGAAGGTATGTTAACTTTAATTTTCTCTTGTCAGACATGTACTGAAATTAACTTAGAAGAATCCTTTCAGTGATCTGGAATGTTTTCCTCCCGGAAATGCATGACTCTTCCTACTCCAACAAATCTTTGTTTTAATATTCTTATTTGCTTTGTATATATTATCTGTTCCCCTACTCCTATCCAATGTAAGCACTAAGAAGGCAGAGATATCTTTGTTGCATATTCTAAAGCCCTAAAATAATGCCTGATACATAGCATAAATATCTTTGAAAGAATGAAAAGAAACACAGGAAGCTCTTTGGATTGTTGTTTGTTTTGTGGTCTTTGTTTTCTATGAAAAAGGAAAGAGAAAGAGGGTTATTTGATATTAGGTGCTCTTTGGAAGAAATAATTTTGACTAAAAAGTATGCTTAAAATGGGGCTGGCACTGTGGCATAGTGGTAAGGCTGCTGCCTGCAATGCAGGCATACCATATGGGTGCTGGTTGAAGTCTTAGCTGCTCTATTTCATTTCTAGCTCCCTGCTAATGTGCCTGAGAAAGCAGTGGAAGATGGCCCATATATTTGGGCCCCAGCCCCCATGTGAGAGACTGTATGAAGCTCCAGGCTCCTGTTTTCCATCTGGCCCAGCCCTGGCTGTTGTGGCCATCTAGGGAGTGAAACAGCAGATAGAAGATCTCTCTCTATCTTTCTGTCTCTTTCTGTAATTCTACCATTCAAATAAACACATAAATCTTAAAAAGACAAGTATGCTTAGAAGTCAGGATTATGTAAGTTGATTTCTATAAGTGATCCATGCTTGCACATACCCCTTCAAGGTCGTCTTTTGTACCTCAAGCTGGAGACTACTGATCTAGGCTCCATCATGTTGAAATTTTACTCTTATCCAGCTTCCCTTTAATACCTTCCACATCTGGGACAGGTCTGGTATCAGGAGCAGAAAACAGGTCGTTCACAAGGTGGCAGGAACTCTGTTACTTAAACTACCACTGCTGCCTCTTAGGGTCTTCATTGGTGGGAAGCTGAAGTCAGGAACTGGAACAGGAGCCTGGAATTAAACCCAAGCACTCTACTGTAGGATTCAGACATCTTAACTGCTAGGCTAAATGCCTGCTCCCTGATCTAAATCTTTTAATGGCTTCATATTGCTCTCAAGAAAACACCTCATATCTGTAACATCCCTTACAGTGCTTGTCTGGTCTGGCGCCTGCCCCTTCTGGTCTCATCTTGAGTCATGTTTCCTCTGACTCCTTAAGTTTCAGTCGTGTTGGTCTCTTTGTAATTCCTTGAGTTGCTTTGGGTCTTGCTGGATGTTTTTTCTCCTTCCTTTTTTTTCTTTTGGCCCCTCTAGGTATGCTTAAACATTGAATAAATTAAAAAAACACATTATGAGTTAATTCATTAAAAGGTTAATCACTCGTGACTTATTTACTTGAGTTGGATGTAAGGTTGGTTTCTTCCATAATAATGTTATACAGTATGTAGTTTGTCATAGGTGGGAAAAGCTTGAAAGTATTGTTCCGGATGTTTCTGTAGCTCCTTAATGGAGAAGAGTAGATATAACTGGATGTCATAGAACCTTTTTTTTTTTCTAATTTTTTTAAAGATTTATTTGTTTATTTGAAAGGCAGAGTTACAGAGAGGCAGAGAAAGAGAGAGGGAGAGAGGGAGGGAGAGAGGTCTTCCATCCACTGTTTCACTCACCAGATGACCACAGTGGCTGGAGCTGTGCTGATCCAAAGCCAGGAGCTTCTTCCAGGTCTCCCATATGGGTGCAGGGGCCCAAGGACTTGGGCCATCTTCTACTACTTTCCCAGGCCACAGCAGAGAGCTGGATTGGAAATAGAGCAGCCAGGACTGGAACCGGTGCCGATATGTGATGCCAACACTGCAAGCCATGGCTTTACCCACTATGCCACAGTACTGGCCCCATCATAGAATCTTTTTTTTTAAATTAAAAAAAATTTTTTTTTTGACAGGCAGAGTGGACAGTGAGAGAGAGAGACAGAGAGAAGGGTCTTCCTTTTGCCGTTGGTTCACCCTCCAATGGCCGCTGCGGCTGGCGCACCAAGCTGATCCGAAGCCAGGAGCCAGGTGCTTCCTCCTGGTCTCCCATGGGGTGCAGGGCCCAAGCACTTGGGCCATCCTCCACTGCTTTCCCAGGCCACAGCAGAGAGCTGGCCTGGAAGAGGAGCAACAGGGACAGAATCCGGCGCCCTGACCGGGACTAGAACCTGGTGTGCCGGCGCCACAGGCAGAGGATTAGCCTATGGAGCCGCGGCGCCAGCCCCCCCATCATAGAATCCTTTGATTCCATGTTTAATGGAATTTTGTCTGTTTGTTTTGGAAGGAATATATTATTAATAGCAGTACTGTGACTTTCTGATGGGAAGATTCTATTCCTATTATGGTATATTTTACTTATATTAAATTTTACTTCAGTTCTTCAGTAGATCATAAGTGAGGGATCTGGGGACACCTGTAACTCAATTTATTTTTTTAAAAAACTTCAAGTACTTATTAATTTTATTTGGAAGGGCAGAGCAAGAGAGCGAGAGAGGTAGAGAGAGAAAGAGAGGGAGGGAGACTGATAGAGAGATCCCATCCATTGGATCACTGCCCAAATGCTTGTAGTAGCCTGGGCTGCCAAAGCCAGCAGCCTGGAACCCAGACCGGGTCTTTAATGTGGTTGTTAGGGACCCAAGTACTTGGAGCCATCACTTCCTGCCTCTCAGGGTATGCATTAGCAGGAAACTGGAATAAAAGTGGAGCCTGTACTTAAGCCTAGGTGCTCCTTTGTGGGGTACAGGCCTTCCAAGTGCCTGCTTAACCACTTGGCTGAATGCCTCCGTGGGAAGTCTCCCTTTTGTCAACAGTCAGTCGTCTGTCCTGAGAGTCGGTTGACCTCATTGACCTTAGTTTTCCTGTCCATCTGAGAAATGAAAACTGCAGATTAACATTACTTTTAAATACTTTCTTATTTGTTTTGGCTGCCAAGTGGCTGGAAAATAATCGGGATTTATTTCTTTTTTTTTTTTTTTTTTTGTGTTTTGACAGGCAGAGTGGACAGTGAGAGAGAGAGACAGAGAGAAAGGTCTTCCTTTGCCGTTGGTTCACCCTCCAATGGCCACTGCGGCCAGCGCGCTGCGGCCGGCGCACCGTGCTGATCCAAAGGCAGGAGCCAGGTGCTTCTCCTGGTCTCCCATGGGGTGCAGGGCCCAAGCACCTGGGCCATCCTCCACTGCACTCCCTGGCCACAGCAGAGAGCTGGCCTGGAAGAGGGGCAACCGGGACAGAATCCGGCGCCCCAACCGGGACTAGAACCCGGTGTGCCGGCGCCGCTAGGCGGAGGATTAGCCTAGTGAGCCGCGGCGCCGGCCAAAATAATATTTTTTTTAAAGGTTTATTTATTTATTTGAAAGGCAGAGTTACACAGAGAAAAGAGAGGCAGAGAGAGAGAGAGTCTTCCATCTGATGGTTCACTCCCCAAATGGCCATAATGGCTGGAGCTGCACCTATCTGAAGCCAGGAACCAACAGCTTCTTCCCGGTCTTCCACGCGGGTGCAGGGGCCCAAGGACTTGGGCCATCTTCTACTGCTTTCCCAGGCCATAGCAGAGAGCTGAATGGGAAGTGGAGCAGCTGGGTCCTGAACCGGCGCCCATATGGGATGCCGGCGCTTCAGGAGGGCATTAACCCACCACCCTGGCTGGAAAATAATCTTTAAAGGGCTTTCCACACTAGTTTAGATTTCTGTTATAAATAGAATAATAGAAGTGGACTTTAAGAGGCTTCATAAGAAATATCTAGGGGCTGGCACTGTGGTGCAGCAGGTTAAGAAGCGTCCTTCAGCACCCGTTCAAGTCCTGGCTGCTGTATACCAGATCCAGCTCTTTGCTAATGGCCTGGGAAAAGTGCTTGGGCCCCTGCACCCACATAGGAGACCTTCAAGAAGTTCCTGGCTCCTGCCTTTAGACAGGTCTAACTCTGGTCCTACGGCCATTACAGAGTGAACCAGAGGATGGAAGATTCTCTCTCTCTTTCTGCAACTCTTCCTCTCAAATAAGAAAAAAAAAATCTAACAGTGCACATTCTAAAGACATTTCAGATTGATGAGATAAGATCAACACTAATTTGATGTGTTTATAATTGAGACTGGTGAATGAAATAGACTTGGGTAGCCCTTTTTCAGTTATGGTGTGTGTGAGAGAGAGAGAGAGAGAGAGAGAGAGAAACAGAAACAAACAAAATGTTGCATTTGTTTATTGGGTTAAAAAGTTGTTATTCTGAGAGTTTTAAATTGATAATTCTATAATCTTTTAATTTGTTAAATTTCATTATATGTGCATATAAGAAATTAAATCTGCAGGTTATATTAGTATATAAAATATTTTAGAAAAGTAAGTCAAGTAATAGCTTTCTTGCCTGAGTTCTATCACAAAGTTTGCTGTTTTACCTGTTATCAGCATTCCTTGTAGGGCTGATGTACTTCTTAAACCTTGAAATTTGTAGGGAGTGATTTTTAAGGTTGAGTTATAAATTTTGCATCTGTGACTTTTTAAGACTGTCTTTTCTGTAATATTTATTATTTCCTTTTTATATATTTTGAGTAATATTATCATCTGCATTTGGTTAATGTCTGAACATAGTAGGTAGTCAATACATATTGTAGAATTGTATATTAAATATGAGTTTCTCCATATCATTTTTCAGAACAGTTTTCCTAGCCATGTATATATTTAACAAATGGAGTCGTAATACCATATTTTGTGATTTTTCTCATGCTAGTTTTTTGATGGAATATTTTCATTTCCTTCTCAATAGCTAATCCCCTCTTAGAAGCCTTTGGGAATGCAAAGACTGTTCGCAATAATAATAGCAGTCGATTTGGAAAATTTGTAGAAATACATTTCAATGAAAAGGTGAGAGTTTCATGATGATATGTTTTGGGAGTGTTTGTGAAAAATAAAGGGTCTTGACAGAGTTGGCACTATACTTGAACTTATGGTAAATCCCTTTAAGTTTCTCTGTTACTTTAGATAGATGGGGGAATATATCTGTTCAGTCTGTCAGTAATCTCCTTTCACAATTTATGATACAAATATTAGATTTAAACTTAGCACTGAGTATTACTGTAGTCTTCTTGTGAAACATTGTAGCACCTGCATTGTGTTGTAGTGCAAAGTCAATTCTGATTACATAGAGCCTCAAAACTCAGAATAATCTTGGTAGAGACTTAAGGCAGGTGTTTAAAATGGTGGATGACCTATATACTCCCAGCTTACATTTCAGTATCTGATTTTTCCCTTTTATTTGATGAATATTACAACCTCTTTGATAGAGAAATATTTATTATAATAGATAGTTTGACATTGGCAAGTTATTCTTTAAGACTTAAAGTGCAAAAATATGTTTTCTCTCTATTTTGTCTTTTAGAGTTCTGTTGTTGGAGGATTTGTTTCACATTATCTTCTAGAGAAATCTAGGATCTGTGTTCAAGGCAAAGAGGAAAGGAATTATCATATTTTTTATAGGTTATGTGCTGGTGCTTCTGAAGATATTAGGGAAACACTTCATTTGAGCTCCCCAGATAATTTTCGGGTAGGTTGGAGGAACAGAATTTTATATAATTTTTGCAAATAAATTGTGTTCAATCCTAAAACTTGATTCAGTATCTAGTTGTATGTGTTTGTAAGAAATGTTAAATCAAGTTTTATTGACCTCAATATTTGTGGGCTTTTATCATCTGTGGATTCAACCAACCGCAGACTGAAAATATTTGAAAAAGAAATTTGCATATGTATAGATTTTTTTGGTCATTATTCTCCAAATAATACAATAGAACCACTATTGATAAAACATTTAAATTGAATGAGGTATTATAAGTAATCCAGAGATGATTTAAAATATGTGAGAGGATATGCATATTTTATATGCAATACAATGTTTTATATAAGGGACTTGAGCATATACAGATTTTGATGTCCTTGGAGACCCTTTAACCCATCACCCAGTGGATACCAAGGGTTGACTATATATCGTGTTAGAATGACTATTGTACTGAGAAGATCTCTACTGAGGTTTTTTGCTAAGGTTATTATATAAGTTGAGCATCCCTTATCTGAAAACCTGAAATCTGGAATGCTCCAAAACCCAAATTCTTTTGAGTACTGATATGCTCAAAATTTTTAGATTTTGGACTAATTTGAATTTGGGATTTTTAGAGTGAAGATTTGACAGCTTAACAGACTCTTAAATCTGAAAAACATCTAATCTTAAGTATTTCAGGTAGGGGATCCTCAGCCTGTTTAAGGAGGTATGTATGTAATGGGATAGAAAAACAGATAGATGTCAAGCTATATTAGTCTAAAATCAGTTAGGAATTTATGATAGCTCTGTAATACTAACCTTAACATTACTTTTGTATCTGTAAAAAAGTTTGACCACTGAATTAATATTAATAAAGGATATGATTATAATCCTTAATTCAGGTTAACAACAGATATTTATTGCTTGTCCATTGGGTGCCAGACATTGTGCTAGAATTAAAGATAAATAAGACACAGTACTTACTCCTGAACATCTTAGTATATGATGAGACACACACAAACACACACAACAGTCTGATGGTATATTAAATAGTAAGAAAGAGATGTTTGCATAGAATGCCATGGCATCCTGTCAGTAAATGTGAAAGACATGTTTGAACAACTGACTTTCAAAATCAGTTAACCAGAAAATTATTAATTATTTCATAATTATTCAGAATTCAGAATATTACTTGAAGTATTGAACTATACTGTGGTTTTTTATTTTAGACTATGTATGTAGTAGGAAGGTAATTTTCATTAATACTTACAGATATTTAAAAACAGATTTTGACATTGAGATATAAAATTTCTGCACTTTAAAAATAGGAAATTATAGTATTGATTTCCTTAATCATTTTATTTAATCTAGGATTTTGGATAGCTTGGTTTGGTAATTAGGAATTAAATATAAGAGTATTGATTTTAATTGAGACAGGGTGAAAAATCTTTTTTCTGCTATGGACTGTTTGGATATTTGTAACATAATTTGCAGGCCATTCAAAACTATCAACTTAAAAATTAACCTGCTTTGGATGTCTTGAATTTCTAGTCCCTCCTGCAGTTGCCTTGGCAGGGCCAAACCAAATGATTTCGTGGACCTCATACTGCCATGGGTTAGACAGTCCCCATTCCCCAATTAAATGATACATATGTTTAGACACTCTGTATTGTTAGCACTGCTTGATAAGCTGTGTTTTGTCCTGTGTTTTTTCCCCTATGAATCATATATATTTAACTATATTTTAAATTTCTTTGTTGTAGTATTTAAACAGAGGCTGCACTAGATACTTTGCTAACAAAGAAACTGACAAACAGATTTTACAGAACCGCAAAAGTCCTGAGGTATGGTAGACTATGTTTTTAAATTAAAATCTTAAATGAAAAAAAAACATGCTGAAAAATGTTTTTTATTTTGTAGTCCAAATAAGATTCCTTACATTAAGGCTTACTTTTAAAATCCTCAGTACTCATCTGTCTCTCCCAATGTGATGCTTCATGTTGCTCTTGGTGCCACTGAAACCAGAGGTCTGGTTCTTCACGGCTGATCCTCTTCTTGTTCTTTTCCCGGTGTTAGGAAGTCTGCTAACATTTTTGAAATTTACTCTCATGTTACCCATTTGTGATTAAATTTAAAATATGCTTTGTAATTTGTTGTCTACTTCTAGGATGAAATAAGTCTAGGACGAAGTAAGCTTTGATGTAGACACTAAGTGGATATTTATGAAAAGATGTTACTATAGTGTTGTATTTTTCTTTAGAACATCACACTTCTTTGTGAAGAGTTTAGTATATTTTTGTAAGTTATCCTGTTTTGAGAGTAATTAGATATGTTGTTACACTGTGAAGTAATACTTTTAAAATATTAAATCCTTAATCCGAAAAATCTATAACTCATAAATACAGGTACTAGTTAATATTGCCTTTTAAAAGTTTTTACAAGATTTATATTTAGTATTTAATGGAAGTTTATAGTATAGTCAGTTTTTCTTGCATTTTTGAGTCAGATGTTTTTGAGTCCTCTAAAATAAATGAATTATGTCTTTAATATATTCATGTAAAAGAATAGAAGGCAAACAAAATGTCCTAGTATTTCAAATTCTTAGCATATGAATCTGCAGTTAATTTTTCTTTAGTTCAGCATTTTACATATTGTAGACATAGATGTCTGAATTATGAATCATAAATTTTATGTTACAGCTATGCTTGTAATTTTAAGAAGCAACATTAGTATTTATTATGGTGACTTCTTTTATCTTTATAAGACTATATTATTAGATGCTATCATCAAAATGTTGAGCTGGTATTCTTTCTATTAAGATAATGGAGACATTTGCTAGTGTGACATTGCAGCTGTTACAAAGGGAAAAAAAAAGACTATGAATGTGATCTTCTGGCATAGGAAAAAACTGTGTAGAGAGGAAATACAAATGGAATTTAACCCTCCAAAGTATAGCACATATGCTGCAAAGAGGAAAATGCACTCTAAGTAGACTTTATCAAGAATCTTATTCATATTATTGAGAGAGAGAGAGAAAAAGAGTATGTTTATATAGATGAACAATGAATTAATGCGTTTAAATTACTTTTTCTGTCTTCTTTATCAGGAGGATGAGGTGACCATTTTGACTAATTAATCCCTTTGCCTACTTCATTTGAGTGTCATTAAGCTGTGTGTAATTTTTAGGAGAATGCAGTATTTTTAGTCTGGCATATAACAAATAATTAAAATTCTGTTTGTTAGTAAAATGGTGCAGTCTTGTCTGTGGTGCCATCTATGCCCCAAGCACCATCCTAGGCTCTAGCACTTGCCGCCATTGCTGGAAGCCAGGTGACCAGATGGCCCAGCCACTGGTATCAGCTCCACTCCCACCCTAATGGGATTCACTACTCCTACTTCCCTGCTCCCCACCCCCCACCCCCCACCCCCAGCAAAGGTTTAACAGGACCTGTTACTGAACACATGCTCTCTCTTAGGCTCTCTTGCTCTCTCTTACTTTCTTGCCATCCCCCCCACCCCAACCTGTCGGACTTCCCCACCCAACAGTGAACCCTTTCCCTTACGCCGGTGTTTGGTGTGTTTTGTGGCGGCCTTATAGTGTTAGACACAGTTTTAAATGAGGTGAGCATTCAAATGCAAGACTAAAAATTCTGCATGTGTGTTTTCTGTTAATTTTGGCTGCATGTGATTGTTTCATTTGCTTTTAAGAATGAATAGACATTTTCCAGAAATTTCACATATGCATAATTGAACATTTTAAGAATTTTGTGGAAAAACAATTTCAACTTTTGCTGGGAAACAGTCATTTTTGGGAAGGAGAAAAAAACATCTAGAAGCATCTGTAGTGACAGTGGTTTTTTTTTCCAAATTGTGTTACTTATTAATTCTAACTTTTTAAAAGATTTATTTATTTATTTGAAAGGCAGAGTTACAGAGTGAGAGAGAAACTGAGGTAGAAAGAAAGAGATCGTCCATCCACCGATTCACTCCCTAGATGGCCGCAACAACCAGGCCTGTGCAAGGCCGAAGATGGGAGCCAGCTTTATCTGGGTCTCGCACAATAGTGCAGAGGCCCAAACACTCAGGCCATCTTCCACTGCTTTCCAACCACATTAGTAGGGAGCTGAATTGGAAGTGGAACAGCTGGAACTCGAACCAGAGCCTCTATGAGATGCTGGCACTGGAGGTGGCTGCTTAACTGGTTAAGCCACAGCCTTGGCACCTGTAATGCCAATTAATTCTGATATTATGTTGCCTAATGTTTAATTTTCTGGAAGATTTCTAGTTCAGTTTTTCTGTATCCAATTAACTTTATGTTTCTCCTAGTTTCTGCAGGTCTGATTTTCTTTCCATTTTCTAAATTTGTTATAGGTTCTAATGAATGAATACTTAAGATGCAGGTTGTTTTATGAAAGAAAGCAACTTTTCTCTTTATTTTTTCTGAAATATTTGAAGTCATTGAATAAATTCTTTAAGCACAATGCTTTCAAATAGACTTTCCTTCATATGTTCTTATACAAAAAGATTTAAAAAAAATTTTGTCCATGAAAATTACATCAGCCTGTCTAGTATTTACTGCTATTTATTATTGGTGCAGTTGATTAACCTTTGGGTTAACTGCCATACTAATTGTCAGTTTTTGTTGTAATTCTTACCTTTTTTGCTTTATTTATTTATAACAGACAAATTAAAAGTTATGTATTTGCACAGCACATTGATGTACAATGTCATGTTTTGATGGATGTATGCATTGTGGAATAATTAACATCTGCATTACTCTCCCAGTTCTTTCTGATCTGTGGATGTTGATTCATTTCAATAATCCCTTCTTTTCCACCCAGTTTATATCTTTAATATCCTAGTATTGTGGAGATTTACAGTCAGAATTACAGTTTAATTTGAAGACATTTTGGTCCATTGTCTTGAAAACTTTTTTGAGATAATTAAGATTAGTATGTACTTGTAGGAAATAATATGGAAAGATCCTATGAACACTTTAATCTTGACATTCAAGTTTTAAATGTTATAATGCTAAAGTCTTTCAGTTGACACACTTTATTTTTGCATGCTGTGTAGTGCAGTAATAGACCTCGTGTTGTAGTTTTAGTCTATTTAAATAATATAAAGATTAGTTCATTGACATCTTCTTGTGTTATAGTGTCTCAAGGCAGGTTCTTTAAAAGATCCTCTGTTAGATGACCATGGAGATTTTATTAGAATGTGCACAGCCATGAAAAAAATTGGTTTGGATGATGAAGAAAAGCTTGATCTATTCCGGGTAGTAGCTGGTGTCCTGCACCTTGGAAATATTGATTTTGAGGAAGCTGGCAGCACTTCAGGTTTGTTTGTTTGTTTGTTTGTTTTTTTAAGAATACTAAAATTAAATAAAATTTCTGTCATTTCTTTGTCATATGATAATTGATTTTGTTTATGTACAAGTTTGTCTTCTGGGAATGTCTTGAATATACTGAGCTATGTGATGAATCTCAAAAACAAGGAAAGCTTAATTATCAGTCATTGTGAGACCAGTTTTGAACAAAACAGTGATACTGACAGGGAGTAAACATCTCATTTTGAAGGATAAGTAATTCTGACTGACTACCAGGGTCATATTTTGTTACATTTTTCAACTGATATATTTTTCCAAAGTTCACTGGCCAGTGGGTAATGAGGGACAATTATCACAAACTTGTGAGTTAGTCAGACATGGCTAGAACCCAGCTCTCAGTTCTCCAGCTTCATTGATAAGCCTGTGCATTACATAACTTCTGCACAGGTTCCACTTCCATGAAATGGATATGATACTCCTATCTTCATATGTTTATGGTATTTATGATTAATTATGTTTATGGTGAAATACATAATGTGAGTGGTTGAATAGATTAATTCTCTTTTTGTCTGTTAAGATATCTTTAAATTTTTTGTGCACATTGACCTAAACGTCAATAAGTTAATTAGAGCAATTTAGTAAATAAAAGCCCATATAGTTTGTTACTGAGAAATGGAAATAGATTAGAAGCTTCATTTTTTATCCACATTAAAGAGAATATTTAAATACCTGATGATATCAGCTTTTCAGCTCTAATATTTTAGTTTCTGCATAAACAGTTGCACAGGTCTAAATTTGATCCATGAGTGCAGGGATTGGCAAACTATGTTCTGTGGGTCACATTTGGCCCACTGCCTGTATTTGTAAATAAAATGTCATTGGAACACAGCCATATCTATTCACTTCCATGTTGTCTGTGGCAGCTTTCATGCTGCAGGGGCAGAGTGGAATAGTTGAGACAAAGACTAAATGTCCTGCAAAGTCCAGCATACTTAATCTCTGGTCCTATAGTGAAAAACAGTATTGACCCTAACATTAATACATTATTTTAGAGCCTTACACTAATGATGAGTTTTGAGAAACCTAAAACACAGTCCTTAAGAACATAGGTTTTCATATCCGATCTTTGAGGCTTTTTGATACTTGGTTTCATCATTTGTAAAATGAATAATCCATAAGAAATTCCTTTGAAGTGCAGTACCTAACAATACTACGCATATAGGGGAGGGGCGTGGGAGAAAGGAAAAAAGAACATTAAAGAAAACATGTCTACTCTGGGCAAGACCCTTCATATTCTGTATTTTATCATAAACATAAGGTGGTAAGAGCATCATCTCTCTTTTACAGAAGTGGAACCTGTGCAGAAGTTAGGTGACTTGCATGGTGATTACTGAAGTTGTAGGCGTGAGAGCTGTGTTCTGCTGATGTCTAATTCAGGAGCTTGAGATGATTAATTGTCCCTCATTGCTTCCAGGCCATTGAACCCTGTGATCTTTGAGCAAACTAAGGTAGAAAGTCTTCATGTTAAGAAGAGGAATTAATGAATGAAGTATTTTTACATATGTTCTTTGCTCATAGTAATCACTGTATGTGTTTCATATGAATAAGCAACATAAGCATATAGATTACTCTCAACTTAAAATGAAAAGCATTCAGACAAAATTAGGTGTGTTTTTAGTGTGCATAAAATATTTTACTAGTTTTCTGGATGGACTAGAAAATTTATTTTGAAAATATAATTGAATGTTAGCATGTATTTTATTTGGTCTTTAGTACTGTACAAGGGAGCCTGTGGAAAGACCTAAATAAAGTACATAAAAATTAAATTTAGAGGAATTAACTCACACCTTGGTAATGTTAGAAGTGATAGATGGCATTTTCACATATCTTATTATGACCACTGGTAGAGCATGCAGATATACAGAGTAATGTTATATGATCCAATTTGTTGAGGAACACTAAGTTGTCAAAGGGTACATAGCACATATTTGCATTCTTTTATTTTTCTACTCAAACTTCCTTTTGTTGATGGGAAAATGAACAGAAAGTAGAGAAAACTGGAATGAGGCAGTAGATCATGAGTATTAATAAACTTTACATTTTAGGGTACTGGCGTTGTTGTACAGTGGGTTAACCTGTTGCCTGTGCTGTCGGCATCACACATGGGCAGAGTTCTGCACCCCTGGCTTTCGCCTGGCCCAGCCCTGGCCTTTGTGGCCATTTGAGGAATGAACCAGAGGATAGAAGATACCTCCTTCTCCGTCTCCCTATCTCTATCTGCTCTTCTGCCTTTCAGTTAAACTGATTAAAAATTTTTAATAGCTAAGATATTTGTTATGGTTATCTTCATCTTTCTTATGGTTTGTCCTATAAATCCAAATGACTTTTTTTTTTTTTCAAATGAGGTTTTATTTATTTACTTGAGGCAGAGTTACAGAAAGGGAGAAACAGAGAGTCTTTAATCTTCTGGTTCATTCCCCAAATGGCTGCGGCTGCTGGAACTGGGCTGATTCAAAGCCGGGAACCAGGAGCTTCTTCTGAGTCTCCCACTTGGGTGCAGGAGTCCAAGCACTTGGGCCATCTTCTACTGATTTCCCAGGCCATCAGCAGAAAGCTGGATTGGAAGTGGAGCAGCTGGGACTCAAACAGGTGCCCGTATAGGATGCCAGTGCTGCAGGCATCTACTACTACTGTCTAACCTACAATGCCACAGTGCCATCTCCCAAATGGTTTCTTTTTAATTAAAAGTGTTTTTCCCCCTTTAAAGCTCAATTTTGATAGGTCCTAACAATGTGAAAGAAACTTATATTTTTATAATTATTTTATTGAAAAGTTTATTCTCCAATAAATTCTTATGTGGCTTTGCCATAAAAATAATTTTTGTGTGATAGAAATGCAGAAAATACCATATCAAAAAATGTTATTAAAACAGATTTTTTAAATGTTTGAAAAACTTCTTTTTTGGAAAGGTAATGGTGTGAAAATTTTGTTATTTTGTAATATTTTGACTTTTTAAGACTTTAAAAGTAAATTTTATTATCTTACCCTTACAAATGATTTGCAGAACTGTGTAAGAAATTCTTCAATATTATCAAAAATCCTTAAATGAATTAACAAATTACTGATCTGTTTTTTCAGTTGTGTAATTTTAAGTAATGTGTTATATAATCAAGCATGCAGTTTTATAGAATCGAGACATGAGGAATAAGCTTACTTTTAATATATTTTCTCTCTTTTTAGAAAAGATTTATCTATTTATTTGAAAGTCAGAGTTAAAGAATGAGAGAGAGAGAGAGAGAGCGCGCGAGCGAGAGAGCCTTAACCTGCTGGTTTACTCCCCAGATGGCTTCAAGGAGCCAGGAACTTCATCTGGGTCTCCCACATGGGTGGCAGGGCCTGAGCACTTGGGCCATCTTCTGCTGCTTTCCCAGGCACATTAGCATGGAACTGGCTTGGAAGTGAAGCAGCTGGGACTCGAACCTGTACGCTGATATAGGATATTGGTGTTGCAGGTGGTAGCTTAACCAACTGTGCCACAAAACTCACCCCTTAATATAAAGTATTTGTGTCTTCATTACTTTTTTATAGTAGTTTTATCAAGATATAATTAATATACCATTCAATCCACCCATTTGAAATGCTCAGTTCGGTAGTACAGTTCAATCTCTTCAGAGTTGGGCTGCTGTCACCTTCGTGTTCGAACACTGTTCATTTCCTCACAAAGAAACCTGACTCATTAGCAGTCAATTCACATTATCCACTTCTGTGAACCCTAAGTGACCCCTAATCTCTCTCTATGTAAGCTTGCCTGTTCCGGGTATTTCATATAAACAGGATCATACAATATGTGGTCTTATGTGACTGGCTTCTTTGTTGTAGCGTAATGTTTTCAAAGTTAATCCATATTACAGCATGTGGAGGCACTTTATTTCTTATTGCTGAACATATTTCATTGTATGGGTAATATCAATTTTGTTTATCCATTTGTTGATGTATATGTAGGTTGTTTGCATTTTTTTGAGCTATTATGAGTCATGCTGCTCGGAACATTTGTGTACACACTTTCGTTTGGATGTATATTTTCATTTGTCTTCAGTAATAAATATGTCCACGAGTGGAGTTGCTGAGCTTTATGGTAACTTTTTAACCTTTTGTGGAACTGTCAGACCATTTCTCAGAATAGTTGTCCCATTTTGCTTTCCCATTAACAGTGTGGGAGAGTTTCAGTTTCTCCATTTCCTTACTGACACTGTCTATTTGATTACAGATATTATGGTGGGTGTAAAGGGCTACCTAGTTGTGGCTTTTATCTCCCTTTTTCCTGATGGCTCATGTTGTTGAACATCTTTTCATGTGCTTACTGACCATTTGTGCATATATTTTTTGATAATTCAGATCATTTGCAGTTTATTAATTGGGTTGCCTTATTATTAAACTGTAAGACTTTTATACATTATAGATGTATATCTCTTATCTGATAAATAATTTGCAAATCTTGTCTCCTATTCTATGGATTGTCTTTTCATTTTTTGGGTAGTGCTCTTTGTAATATAAAAGTTTTCGATAAAGTCTAGTTTTTGTTGTTGTTGTTGTTGTTGCTTGTGCTTTTGGTGCCATGTCTAAGAAATGAGGATTTGCTACAGTGTCATGAAGACTCAAACTTATGTTTTCCTATAAGAGTTGATATTTTTAGCTTTTATATTTTGGTCTTTGACTTAATTTTGAGTTAATTTTTGTGTATGGTATGCGGTAGGGGTCCAACTTGGTTCCTTTGCATGTGGATATTCAATTGCTTCAGTACTGTTTGTAGAAAAAATTACTCTCTCCTCAATCGTCTATTAAATACTTTTCAACTTTTTTTATCGTGATAAAATCCTCTTGATTGCTGTGGCACAGTAGGTTAATCCTCCACCTATGGCACCGGCATCCCATGTGGGCGCCGGTTCTAGTCCCGGCTGCTCCTCTTCTGATCCAGCTCTCTGCTATGGCCTGGAAAAGCAGTAGAAGATGACCCGAGTCCTTGGGCCCCTGCACCCACGTGGGAGACGTGGAAGAAGCTGCTGGCTCCTGGCTTCAGATCAGCTCAGCGGATAGAAGACCTCTCTCTGTGTCTCTCCCTCTCACTGTCTGTAACTCTACCTCTCGAATTAATAAATTAAAAAATAAGAACAACAACAAAAAAGAAATCCTCATGATTTTCACATACTCTTTATAGATTAGAGGTTAGGCTTGGAAGAAATCATTTACAAATGTTAATCTTTGAAAATATCTGTAAGACATTTTTTATTTTAATATTATTTGTCATAGTCAACATAGCTACATATTATTTATATAAATAATAGTGAACCTTGGTGTAGTGCTTACTGTGTACCAGGCACTATTGCAAGCATTGCACGTATTTGACCTTATTGGTCTTCATAACAACCATGTTTAGTCAATACGGTTATTAATACATGTAGTATTTTATGGATGAAGAAACTCAGCACAGAAAGAATGAGTAACTTATTCAAGGTGACATGGCTAGGTCACAGGGCAAGCAGAGCTAGATCAGCCCAGAGACTATAGCAATGTCTTTTTTTTTTTTTTTTTTAAAGATTTATATTATTTATTTGAAAGAGTTAGAGAGAGGTAGAGCCAGAGAGAGGGATGGGGAGAGAGAGAGCGAGCGAGCGAGCGAGCAAGCTTCTATCTGCTGGTTTATTCTTCAAACGGCTGCAATGGCCAGAGCTGAGCTGATCCGAAGCCAGGAGCCAGGATCTTCTTCCAGGTCTCCCAGGCGGGTGCAGGGGCCAAAGCATTTGGGCCATCTTCTACTGCTTTCCCAGGCCATAGCAGAGAGCTGGATTGGAAGAGGAGCAGCCAGATCTCGAACTGGTGCCCATGTGGAGTGCCAACACTGCAGGTGGTGGCTTTACTCACTACACCACAGCGCTGTCCCCTAGCAGTTGGTTCTTTATCCCTTCACTCTACCTCCAAGCAACATGAGCACATGCATTTATACACACATACATAGATAGGACTTCCATATCCAAATTGACCTACTAAAGTGCCTTCCAACATTTGCACTAAAATTACTCTTTTTATGTTTCCTGGAGTTAGGAATTTTAATGATAAGACATTTTATTTCTCTAGGGATTTAATATAAAGAATTATATTATTAATCTGTTTCGCTTTCAGAATCATAAAAAAATGAAACTGTGGCAGCTTAGTATTGATGGGCTGAGAAGGTTATAACCTTGGACTGCCTTGGGTGGAGGTTTGCTGTTGATCTTGGCAGTGGATGGTGAGAAAGTGAGGTGATTTAAGAGTTACAGATAAACCTTGTCTGTTCCATAGTTGTATATAAAGGAAGTACAGTTCTAGGAAATGAATCTCAAAAATGTGATTTATAGAATGTTTATTAATTTCACATTAAAGTATATTTTCATTAGGTGGTTGTAATCTGAAGAATAAATCTACTCAGTCATTGGAATATTGTGCTGAATTACTGGGTTTGGACCAAGATGATCTTCGTGTAAGTTTAACCACAAGAGTCATGCTTACAACAGCAGGGGGCACCAAAGGAACAGTTATAAAGTAAGTTCCTTAATTTATTACTCTGCAAAAAATCTTGCTTTGCAGTTTGCAAAGTCCTGCCTTGCAGTTTAATAGTGAAGAATTATTTTTCTGAAAACACTAAGATTCATAGTTGATCTTCATGCATCATTCCTTCTCTTCGTTATGCTGTAGAACTTGTGCTTGGTCAAAATTCTATGCACATCACTGAGGTAATCTAAATACAAATAAATGGAAATTTGCATTGCTCTTACAGTTGTTCCTTGCAGATATTCTGCATGGCACAAATTTAGTATGTGTAAGGTAAGAGAGAAGTTTACTTTTGTACAACTATGAAATTATTAGTTGATTATGCACACCACTATCAGGATGTTCTAGGCAATAGATCATTTTACTTTAAAATGATTTTTCATGCAAATGGGATGCACTCTATAAGTGCAACTCACTTTAGCAAAATACTCACCAAATAGAACTTCTTTAAGATTTCTTCATTTAGAGGAAATTGCAAATGATAAGAAAATAAGGACCTGGTCAAGATTTTTTAAAAAAAAAGATTTATTTATATATTGGAAAGGCAGAGTTACAGTGAGGCAGAGGCAGAGAGAGAGAGAGAGAGAGAGAGAAGTTTTCCATCCAGGAGTTCACTCCCCAAATGGGCACAATGGCCAGCGGTATGCTGATCTGAAGACAGGAGCCAAGAGTTTCTTCCAGGTCTCCCATGTGGATGCAGGGGCCCAAAGAGTTGGGCCATCTTCCACTGCTTTCCTAGGCCATATAAGAGAGCTAGACTGGAAGAGGAGCAGCCAGGTGGTCTTAAACCAGTGCCCATGTGGGATGCTGGCAGTGCAGGCAGTGGCTTTACTCGCTACACTACAGTGCTGACCATCAAAAGTAATTTTTTAAAAAAGCTTTGCTATTTAGAAAATTTGCTACCACTTACAGTTTTGGAAACATTAGCAAGGTATATTTAGCCTGACTGCTTGCTAAGTTAATTCAAAATTATTCTTTTGTCAAGAAAAAAATTGCTAAATTCCATAGAGCAATCTCTGGGAGCCCAAAATAGGACCCATAAAAGCCCAGGTGGGTGGGCATCAGGCATCATGTCCTCCATTACCCCAGCAGAGTGTTTGGAAATTTTGTTTTATGTTAGGCTTTCTTCGTCAGTCTATAATTTTGTTGAGGACAGTGACTGTGTGTCTGTGTCTGCAACATTTAATGTTATACCATGCAGTTACTTAATACTATATAGTAGAGTTGGAGACTTCATATTTTAAGATGTAAACTTTTTAAAAATCATATAAATAACTTATTAAACTTTAAAGCTATCCTCAATTCAGTTATTCCTTTAATGTTTAAGGAAAATTATTCCTCTGAGTAATTATTTACATATTCAACATGAAGGGTAAATTAAGATTTAAAAGGTGGCATAGTGCGCAAAGCCTCTGCCTGTAATGCTGGCTTCCCATATGGGTACTGGTTCGATTCTTGGCTGCTCCACTTCCTATCCAGCTCCCTCCTAATGTGCTTGGGAAAGCAGCAGGGGAAGACCCAAGTGCTTGGTCCCCTGCACCCTCATAGGAGACTTGGAAGAAGCTCCTTGTTCCTGGCTTCGGTTTGACCCATCTCTGGCCATTGCGGCCATATGGGAGAGTGAACCAGCAGATGGAAGATCTCTGTTTCTGTCTCTCCCTCTCTCTCTGTAACTCTGCCTTTCAAATAAATAAAATAAATGTTAAAAAAAAGATTTTTCAAGCCTAAAAATTCTTTTACCCAGGAATATACTCTTGATAATTTAAAAAAATTCCTATAGTTCTTATAGTTTTCTGCTGAGCCTCATTTATCTACACCCATTCATGTATGTCCCCTGATAATTATTTTGTTCTTTACAATAAATATTCCAGCATGTATTGACTTTGATATCAGGCATTATTTTGTGATATATTATCTTAAAGAGTTTTCCCTGGTGTAACCTGTTTTTGTTTTTAATAGGGTACCCCTGAAAGTGGAGCAGGCAAACAATGCTCGTGATGCCTTGGCCAAGACTGTGTACAGCCATCTGTTTGACCATGTAGTAAACAGAGTAAATCAGTGTTTTCCCTTTGAAACATCGTCTTATTTTATTGGTGTCCTAGATATCGCTGGTTTTGGTAAGTATAGCTTCTTTTTTGAGTTTATATTTGTTTGATATTTTACACATATATTAAAATGATTTTTTTGAGGTTTCTACCTTGTTATACCTCCTACTTGATATATTTTCAATTACATGCCCATACCTGTGTTTCATAATATGACTTACAGAGGAAGCTGATGTTTTTTAAAAAGAGGGGACTCATGGGGGGTAGTTTTAGTCGTACTATTACTAAAATTACAACATGCTGATTTAAGCCATTTAATGAAGGATGTGGCTGTCCTCTTAAGTGAATATAGCCGAGGAAAGGGAAATTCATGAATGCTACTAACAAAGATAATAAAGTCACTAAGTAAATAAGTAGCAATAAATATAATATTTAAAGCCATTGATTAATATGTAGAACTGGCTATAGGTTGACCGAACATATAGGCTAACTTCATTACCATGTGTCAGAATTCATTAGTGATAATTTCAACAAATAGCTCCTGCTAATTCATTTTCCATCAGATGAATAAAATATCGTAAGTGATTGAGAACAACTGTGGAACCGTTCAATCAGAAATGAAATGGGTCATCATCATCTGAGCACTGCTTTGCTCTGAATGATTGTGTCGTAAAAATCTTGACGTAAAATAGGTGGTTTTGTGTTGTGCTTTATTCATGGGGGTGATACCTTCTGGCTGGGAAGGTGTGGAATTACTTGATTATGTCAAGGGAAGATACAGGTGTTTACGTCTTGGAAGGGACGCTGTTTTACTGTTGATGTGATACATGTTTTAAAATTTATCACAAACCATTGCCTTTCTTCAAAGGTACAGAAACACCAGTCAGTGACTTAAGATTTCATGATCTTTAGATATTTCTTTCCTGGTCTATCCTAGTTTTAGTTTGATTTGTCCACATCCTCGCCAGCATTTGTTACATTCTGTGTTTTGGGTTTTAGCCATTGTGAGAAGGGTGAGGTGATACCTCATTGTGGTTTTGATTTGCATCTCCCTGATGGCTAGTGCTGTTGAGCATTTTTTAATGTATTTATTGGCCATTTGCACTTCTTTTTTTGAGAATTGTCTATTGAAGTCCTTTTCCCATTTCTCCACTGGAATGGATTTTTTGTTGTGGAGATTTTTAAAGTTGCTGATGCATTTGGGATATTAATCCTTTGTCAGATATGTGGTTTGCAGATCTTTTTTCTCCTTCTTTTGGATGTCTCTTCACTCTGTTGATTGTTTCCTTTCAGAAGCGTCTGAGTTTGCTGTGGTCCCATTTGTTTAGTTTTGCTTTTGCTGCCTGTGCTTTGGGGGTCTTGTCTAAGCACTTGTCTCCTACACAGGGTCTTGGTGTGTTTCCCCTACATTTTCTTCCAGCAACTTCATAGTCTCAGGTCTTAAATTTAGATTTTTCATCCCTCTTGAGTGATTTTTGTTTATGGTGACAAGTATTGGTCTAATTTCACTCTTATACATATACGCATCCTGTTTTATTGGCACCTTTTGTTGAAGAGATCATCCCTGCTCCACTGTATGGTCTGAGCTCTTTTGTGAAAAATCAGTTGGCTGTATGTATGTGGATTAATTTCTGGGCTCTCTATTCTGTTCCATTGATCTATGTATTGGTTTTTATGAGAGTACCAAGCTGTTCTAATTACTACAGCTTTGTAGTATGTTTTGAATTCAGGCATTGTGATGCCTCTAGCTTGATTTTTCTTGTTCAGCATCACTTTGGCTATTCTGGGTCTTTTGTGATACCATGTGAATTTTAGGATTGCTTTTTCTATTTCTGTAAAGAATGTCATTGATAGTTTTATAGGGATCAGATTGAATCTGTATTGCTTTCGGTAGCGTAGACATTTTAATAATACTGATTCTCCCCCATCCATGAGTATGAGCTGTCTCAATTTTTCTTTCATCAGTGTTGAAAAAAATAACTTTTGTTGTAGAGATCTGTCACTTCTTTCATTAAATTTATTCCTAAATATTTGATTTTTTTTGTGGCTATTAATCAGATTTCTTTCTTGATTTCTCTTTCTGTGAGTTCATCATTAACATTCAAAAAAGCTACTGGTTTTTTAAGTTTATTTTGTAACCTGAAACTTTAGTAAATTGGTTTATCAATTCTAACAGCTTTTTGGTGGCATTGTTTAGGTTTTTCCGTGTACAACATCATATCTTCTGCAAACATGGATAATTCAACATCATCTTTTCCAATTTTGATGCCCTTTATTTCTGTCTCCTCTCTAATTGCTCTTGAAGCAGGGTATTTTTAATAATTTTAGTGTCTTATAAAATTTAAATATAGAACAATTTTATGTGTTTTTTAAGACCTGACTTTAAATTCATCCCGTGATAACCATAACATTTTATTCCAAAATGAATGTCTGTGAAGTTGATTCGATAATGACTCCTGGTTTGGGTTTTATGTTTTCAGAGTACTTTGAACATAACAGTTTTGAACAGTTTTGCATCAACTATTGCAATGAAAAACTTCAACAATTTTTTAATGAAAGGATTCTAAAGGAGGTAATTGCCATTATAATTTAAATTTAAGATCTGTATTAAGGTATTTTAAATCTCAAAGAGAGACATGCTGCAGTTCTCCTGATTGAGGGGGGAATCCGTGAAGCCAAGCAGATACTAATGGTTCAGCTCTGATAGGTGACCCTTCAGAAGTGAGCATCTGCTGTTTCTTACCAGTGTCCTACTAAGCTAGGGTTCTGCTTGCTTCTTTCTGTGATTCTGCCACTACATGTGACTTTCTAGTTTCATTCCTGATCTAGCAACTCCTGCCTTTCTTCCAAGTCTGTTTCTGCCCACTGGCTGCCTGCTTGTCTTCCCTCTGTGTGCAGTAGCAAAGCTACCAAATCAGGATATTCTGTGGAGCAACTGGCCTGGAAAGCATCTGGGTAGTACTCTCCCTTCCATGCTGTTTTGTGGACGCTCAACCGCCTGTGCATGGTTTGCCTTTGGGGCCATCATCTGTGGTCCACAAGGGAATTTTCTGCCACTGTTTACAGCAGATAATTATAGGCCTGGCACACAGTCACAATACCAAGTGTAGGACAGTTATTTTGTAATTCTTTAGTGTGCAGAGTAAATAAAAATAGCTTTGGATCAGTTGATTTGTGATTTTGCTCAGTATTTTTTTTTTTGCCATGAATTCTCCAATATTTTCTACCAATACCATTGACTCTACTTCCTTTTTATCATTTGAGAGATACTTTACTAAATGAATACAGTAGAGTTAAAGGGACCTGAAAGTTCATCTGGTCCAGCCCTTTATTTTGTAGACAACGAAAACGGTTCCCAAAATATTTAAGTAACTTCTGCAAGCCTGAGCACACCCTTCCTGGCCACTGGCCTACAACAGTGTATTTTCTTCATGTTAATACTGCTGTTTTCTAAATTCTGTCCTCTACTATGTCTCAGCTGAAATGTGTAATGCTTTCTTTCTTATCCCCATCCCATCTATCCTTTAGCATTTTTTAGAAGATTTATTTTTATTTAATTGAAAGAGTTACAGAGAGAGGTAGAGACAGAGAGAGAGGCCTTCCATCCAATGGTTCACTCCCCAGATGGCTGCAACGGCCGGAGCTGTGCTGATCCGAAGCCAGGAGCCAGGAACTTCTTCTGGGTCTCCCACGTGGGTGCAGGGGCCCAAGGACTTGGGCCATCTTCTACTGCTATCCCAAGCAATAGCAGAGAGCTGGATCGGAAGAGGAGCAGCCCATATGGGATGCCGGTGCTACAGACCAGGGCTTTAACCCGCTGCACCACAGTGCCAGCCCCTCTTTTTACATTTTTAAAGTTTTTTTTTTTTTTTTTTTTTTTTTATTAGAGGCCCAAGGGTAGAGAGATAGAGATAGATGATCCATCTGCTAGTTCATTTCCCAAATGTTTACAACAGCCAGGACTAGGCCAGACGGAAGCCAGGAGCCTGGAACTTTATCTGGATCTCCCAAATAGGTGGCAGGGACTCAGTCACTTGAGCCATCACTTGCTGCTTCCCAGGGTGAACATTACCAGGAAGCTGGATCAGAAGTAGACGTAGAACTTAATCTCATGCACTACCATATGAGATGCAAGCATTCCAAGAGGTGTCTTAACCCAGTGTGCCACAACACCTAACCCTTTGCCATATTTTTATTATGCATTTGTCCTTTTTTAAGTTTGTTTATTTATTTATTTGAAAGTCAGAGTTGGAGAGGGAAAATGGCAGTGAGAGATATCTTCCATTTGCTGGTTTACTCCCCAGATGTCTACCACAGCCACTGCTGGCTACCACTGGCCAGACCAAAGCCAGGAATCCATGAGATTCATCCAGGTCTCCCACATGCGTGGCAGGGACTCAAACACTTGGGCCATCTTCCACTGCTTTTCCCAGGCCATTAGCGGGGAGCTGGATTGGGAGTGGAGCAGGCAGGATATGACGGTGCCCAGATGGGATGCCTGTGCCACATGAGGAGGCTTTACCTGCTGTGCCACAACACTGGCCTCTATGTCTTTGTCTTTATGGGTTTTCTAGCACATTTGGCTTTTGAACATTTTACTTATATAGTACAGTTAAACCAATTCTGGCAGAAACAAATAGGTAAAACAAATACTTCTCAGTAAGATAGTTTCACTGGGAATGCTTTATTCAGCCACATTACTGTGTGAGATTTTATGTGCTTGCCTCTCATTTAGTGTACCTTAATCCTTCTCTTCCACACCAGCCTAGCAGGAAGCTTTATCTAGAAATAGAAACTGTGCAAAGAGGATACTGTGTCTTGATTTATGTTTACTTTTATAATAATCCTTTAAAATAAACATGAATTTCAAACTCATATTGTGTTGAAATGGACAATGCCTTCTAGAATTTCTGAAAACTTTTCTAGTAGATCTCATATGAGGAAATATTTAAACATAAAATGTTAAGACACATTAACTCACATTAACTTAAGTTCATTGCATAGTTCACCATCTGTGTTAAAATCCTTTTTTAAAATTTTTTTTAAAAAATAAGATACTGATTTTTACATCTAGGGATTCAACTTTTGATTTATATATTATTCTTCCAAATTACATTTATTTTTTCTAAATGACATGTACTTTGTATGTATGATATCACTGTGTAGGTATTATAGCCTGTTTATATTAATTGCTATTTCTGGAAATGTTCTAAATCTGTTCTTTCTTTGGAAAACTGCTGAGGGTTGTACTTGTTTGTATAAACCTTTATACTCTCGTAAGTGTTATGATCAGAAGCAGCACGAACTATTGAAGCCATTTTATATTTCACAGTGTTTCCATATTTTCATTCCTAGGAACAAGAACTCTATCAAAAAGAAGGTTTAGGTGTTAATGAAGTGCATTATGTGGATAATCAGGATTGTATAGGTATGTTATTTTTTACTCCACCTTTGGGAAATATGGGAGATAGTGAATGTATTTACTATGATTGCTCTATGCTCTGTGATTGACATTACTAGTTATGGGATTTGAAACTGATATTTGAGACAGGATTACTTCTCTAATACTGATTTCATGTTATTTTTCCTGCCAAGGCATCAAATTCAGCTTTGTTGAAAGATTTTCTAAAGTCTCTTGTATTTATTGCGGTGGGTATTTTCCTATTCAAACAAATAACATGTGAGTCAGTTAAGAGGGAACTCGGTTGTATAGGCAGAGAAAGGGTTTCTCATCTCAAATGAAGAACTCCCTGTCCAGGCCAGGTTCTAGATAAGGATCATCAAGGTTTAGCTCTGCTATCCTGTGATTTTCTTGGTTCTTTTCTCCTCTGTGCCTTGGCAGCATCATCTGGCTAGTTGGAAGTTGACTTTAGAAGTCCCATATGTCACATCAAATGCTACTGTACAGCAGAATAGAGTCTTTGTTTTCCTCGTCTATTTTAGCAGTAAAGTAACTTTTCTGTAGACCCCAGATAGCTCTCAGTCTGTCTTTTTTTTCCCCCAGTCCATCTCTAAAATCAACTCTTGGGCAAGCCTCGTTTGAAAATCCAATTTGAAAATCCAGTCATTAACTCACAGATATTGGCAACATATTTTTGTAATAACAAGAATATTGTAATAGTTCACATTAGAATTTTCAAAGTACCTTCACATTCTACCTGGTCTGCTCAGTATTCCCTTAACACATCATGTCCTTTCTCATCTCTGTGCCTTTGTGTGATTTGCTATCTTGTCTGGAGTTTGCCCCCTTCCATTTATCTCTTTATCCACCTGTACCTCACTCTGTGTCTGTGGGAACACTCCCATTTATAGCTTACTTCAGCATGCGACACCTCCTTCACCACCACACTTACCCAAGAAGCATCATTTTGTGACCAATGACAGTAGAATCTTAATTTCTAATCAGGGATTTCTGTGTCCTATAGCTTTGTCCTACTCAGTAGTTCTTGTATACTGTGTTTAAGCAGTTTACCTTTTACAGTTATTTTGAATGAGCCAGACATCCAGCAACATGAATAGATGGAGCATACAAATGTTTTCTTACTTAAAAGTTTTGCTTGAAAACGTTTATTTAAATTTTATTTATTTTCATTTTATTGGAAAGGGGTGGGGGAGAAAATCCATCTCTTGCCTGCTGGTTCACCCCCCAAATGGCCACAATAGTCTGGACTGGTCTAGGCGGAAGCCAGGATCCTAGAACTCCATCTGGGTCTCCAGTGTGGCCATGTGGAGCCTGAGATTCAATACTTGATCCATTATCTGCTGCCTCTCAAGGTGAACATTAGTAGAAAGTTGGATCAGAAGTGGAATAGCTAGGACTTGAAACAGGCTCTGCAGTATGAGGTGTTCTAAGCAACAGCGTACACTACTGTGCCAAATGCCCTTCCTGAAAGCATTTAAATCAGTTTGAGAAAGTAGTATTAAAAAGCTAGTCATGCAGAACCTTCTGTGGTTTTACTTCATTTTGAAATATTGACTGGCATTTGTGGCTCTGCAAGTTAAACTGCTTTTTGCAATGCAGCATCCTATATCCGAGTGCCAGTTCAAGTTCTGGCCTCTCTGCTGCTGATTGAGCTCCTTGCTAATGCATTAGGAAGGCAGCAAATGATGGTCCAAGTGCTTGAGCCCTTACCACACATGTGGGAGACCAGGATGGAGTTCTGGCTTCAGAATTCACCCTGGCCTAGCCTCTGCTGTTGTAACCATTTGGGGAGTTAACCAGCAGATGAATAATTCTCTCTCTCTCTCTCTGTCTCTCTGCCTTTCAAATAAATAAATGAAAAATCTTAAAAAAATCATCAGTATCACCTGGAAAAGTGGGAATTTCTTCTTCCTTAGCTTCTTATCCTAATTTACAAGTGGAACAATTACTACATTAGTTGCTTGCTTTATGGATTTTTTTCTCCTAAAACTTAGATTAAATATATGATATATATATATTTTTTGACAGGCAGAGTTAGACAGTGAGAGAGAGAAACAGAGAGAAAGGTCTTCCTTCCGTTGGTTCACCCCCCAAATGGCCACTACAGCCGGCGCACTGTGCCGATCTGAAGCCAGGAGCCAGGTGCTTCCTCCTGGTTTCCCATGCGGGTGCAGGGCCCAAGGACTTGGGCCATCCTCCACTGCCTTCTCGGGCCACAGCAGAGAGCTGGACTGGAAGAGGAGCAACTGGGACAGAATCCGGTGCCCCAACCGGGACTAGAACCCGGGGTGCTGGCGCCGCAGGAGGAGGATTAGCTTATTGAACTGCGGTGCTGGCCAAATATATGATATTTTCATAAGTGACCAGATCTGGAATAAAAATCTATCCTCTGTCTATAGCTTTTGAGAAAATTCTTTGGATTGTTTTGTTGTTTTTGACCAGTTTTTTTTTTTTTTTAAAGATTTATTTATTTGAGAGGCAGTGTTAGAGATAGAGGGAGAGCCAGAGAGAAAGGTCTTCCATCTGCGGGTTCCGTCTCCAAATGGCCGGAGCTGGGCCAATATGAAGTGAGGAGCCAGGAACTTTTTCTGGGTCTCCCACACAGGTACAGGGGCCCAAGCATTTGGGTCATCTTCTTCTTTGTCAGGCCTTAGCAGAGAGCTGGATTGGAAGTGGAGCAGCTGGGATTTGAACTGGTGCCCAAAGGGGATGGAGGCTTATCCTACTGCACCACAGTGCCAACCCCATGTTTTTAAGAACTGGTCACATATCTCTAAAGTGTTGTTTTTAGGGTTATTGTGAGTACTTTAATTTTTTTAATATAGATTTAATTGAATCAAAACTGGTGGGAATCCTGGATATTTTGGATGAAGAAAATCGCCTTCCTCAGCCGAGTGATCAGCACTTTACCTCTGCAGTTCACCAGAAGCACAAGGATCATTTCCGACTTACTGTGAGTTTGCCACTCTAAAGATGAGAATCCGTGGTTGGGGGAGAAATCTTAAAAAGATGTCCTAGATAGTAGATATTCTTTGATAATTAGAATCATAAGTTATGTAGCATTTAAAGCAACTGTATTATATCCAGTCCGCATCTGCTGTATATGGACATTTAATTTATATCTATTTTGTTGATAATGGTCTGTGTAATCAAGTCTCACTTCTCTGGATGGAAAAGTACATTTCAACTGCCAGAGATGAGCAACGAGACTTACCTGCTGGCTTCACGTTCTCCCTTCTGGGCTAAGTGGCCATCAGCTGCTATCTTTTGTATCATGTGACCTTGATGACATTTAGGGGTTAGCATTTAGAGTCACAAGCAGCCATCTGAATGCACATTTGTAAGATTTGTAAGACCAGCTGTTATGGTTGTGGCTTAAGCTCAACCGGTGGAAGCAATCCATGTGACAGTAGTGATCAGTCACTTGTTTGATCCTCTTTCCTGGGGAATTTTGAGTATAAATAAACACTCAGAATGGACAATAGACGATGAAGCAATAGAACATTTAAGTAGCATAAAGAGAAGAAAAAACACAGAGAGCAATAGCAATAAATTAGAGGTGCCTTTCTAAAAGGGCCGATGGTTCCTAAACCACTATTGGGCCGTAGAGCTGGGTTTGAGTCCTTGAGGGAGCGAACAGTAGAGCTGTTCTGCCTAAAGCTGGGCTGACTGTGTGACTGTTGGGGTGTTTCCTGTGTTTACCTCATCCTGTCTTTTCACTCTGCCATCATCGCCTGAAGTAATAAAAGCATAGCTCCATTCTTGATGAACACAGAGGAATGTGGGTGTCGATTTCAACCACAGAGAGAGGAGCTGCGTCATCTTACAGCTAGCAACAGCAGCAGCCACAGAGAGACAGAGAGGAGAGGGGAAAGAGAAGTTCCTTAGTGGAACTAGGAAGCAGGCAGATATTTTGCATGCTGTCTGTTGTTTTGAGATGATGACATAGTACAATAATCACTGCTTTGATTATCCAGGCTCTTAAAGGAATGGTAATAAGTATTTTTGTTGTCATTTTGACTAACAAGATCAATGGTAAGTGGGTTAAATGGATTTACTTGAAAAGCTGATGTAATTGTGTTAAGTTTCTCTAGGGATTAAAATACCTCAACTACCTGCTGCTTGGACTTGGAGTTCCTCCTGTATCTCTATAAATATTTCTTACAGTGTAGAGCGTATTTCTGTTACTTATCTGGGGATAGAAATAAAACAATGTATACCCTCAACAAAACTTCTGCTAAAATTGAACATAAATATCCTATCAGTTCATAGTTCACTGGTCTTGGTTAGCAACCAGCCTGTGGAAATATAGTTATATTTGGCAAGGGTACTGGTCACTAGTGAGCAGAGCCAGACAGTAGTCTCAGTCAGAGGTTTGTAACTCAGAGGACAGCAAAGGGAAGCAGCAGGAATGGGCCTTGAGTGCTTTTCTCAAAAGAGAACAGGAGCGAGCCAGTAAGTCACATTTTATGTAGGCCATTGCTTTTGTTCTATTTCTTTGGAAATGAATGCAATGACCATTGATTGGACACGTATTACGTGCCAGGCTGTGCTGTAATGATTTTACTTAATCCTGTTAGTATCCCTGTGCTATGGAGAGAGACATAGCAGGAGAGGTTAGGTGACATGTGCAGTGTGGCGTGTGAAGAAGGGCAGTTTGCCTGCAGGGTCCGCGCCCAGCTTGTTCTGATGTCTTTATTGCCTCTGGCTGGGAAGAGCCTCTGAGTTCTCCTGGCTGTCCGACCTTGAGCAAGCCTTTAAGGTCCCCAAGTGTTGTGTTTCTCATTTAAATAAGATTGTTTTGAAGACTTGAAATGTGATCTTCTGTGTGAAAGCATTTTGGAAACTTTAGATAAGACACACTTATGAGATAAAATTAAGTGCTACAACCTTAAAATAATTTAGTTTCCTTGAGATAGATTTAGGCTTATTGTGTATAAACATATTAAGGCGTATGGTTTGATATAGTAAGTAGTAGAGTCTCTGTGGTGACTTCAGGTATCTCTTTACCTGTTTTTACATGAGAAACCCCTGAAGAAATAAATGATATGAGCTTTGGGATGTTTGAAAGTTCTCTAGGTGATTCTGATACAGTGCCAAGTTTGAGAGGCACTGCTTTAGGCAGTTAACTTTATAATGTCCAGATATTTTGCATGTGCTTCTAATAGGGTGTTTTTTTTTACTTATATCTAAATTTTTTAAGGCATTATAACCAAATATTTGCTATATTTACTGATACTCTAAGGCATACTAGGTATTTAAAGAGTTTAATTTTGAGAAGTGTGAACCTTTTTTGTATAATTTTAAGTGTTTTATTTCTAGGATGTTTTTAAAGGAAAAATTATTTAATGTATTTTTGATAACTTAATAACCCATCTGTGTATTGTTTTTCAGATTCCCAGGAAGTCCAAGCTCGCGATTCATAGGAACATCAGAGATGATGAAGGCTTCATCATCAGACATTTTGCAGGGGCTGTGTGCTATGAAACAGTGAGTGTGACTTTGTTCAGAGAACAAGCACTCAATGTTGAAACTATACTGTAAAATATGATAGCCTCTAGTTTCCTCACAGTGGCTATTTAAATTAAAATAAAAATTCAGTTCCTCAGTCCACTCACCACACTTCAAGTGCTTACACTGACAGGTGGCAACTTTATTGGATAGTACAGATAGAGATTGTTTCTGTCATTGCAAAAAGTCCTATTGGACACAGGTATATTAAGGAATAGCCCCATAAGACGGATTAGAATACTAATGTTTGGTTTATTTTTCAGACCCAGTTTGTGGAGAAAAATAATGATGCTTTACACATGTCTCTCGAATCCTTAATATGTGAATCCAGGGATAAGTTTATACGGGAATTATTTGAATCATCGACAAATAACAATAAAGATACTAAACAAAAAGCAGGAAAACTTAGCTTCATCAGTGTGGGAAACAAGTTTAAGGTATTTCTGTTAAATAAATAGTTTGAAGTATTTTTTTACTGCATTTAAAATTAATACATTGTTTTATATTCTGAAATGGATAATGTAGATCGCTGACAGAAATCCCACAAGTTCAGAAGCAAACCCTACGTTGTTGATATTTGTATGCAAAACAACATACACACACACATATAAAAATAACATAGTTCTTGTAGTTGAACATACAGAAATGCTTGTAATTTTCTGAATGTGTTCTTTCTTGGTACTTAACGTATCTGATTGCTTCTCCTAATGTTCTTGCTTCTGCATCCTATCTAGTTGACCTTCCAACCTTCTCTTTCCCTTGTGTTTTCTGTTTCCTTCATCATTCAGCAGTTTTGTTTTAGCTGGAGTAGTGCAGCTGGAGATGGCTAGAGAGGACTAGTTGAGTTGAGAGAGGAAAAGCAGGCACAGCCAGGGGCTTCAGGTAAATGATCACCTTCATGGACTCTTACTTATAGAGTGGCTGCCATGTGAAAAAGAGCCGGGTTCAAATTAATTTCTCAGTTTTAATTTGTTTTCAATGTGTTCTGTCACTGTGGCATTGTGGGCATGCATATTGCACTCAACTTGATTAAGGCTTTGAATAACTCCTATAAAAATACATGCTTAGTTGTGGCAAACTCTTCAAATTGCTTATTTAACATTGCTGTTGTATTTATAGTAAAACTCTATAGTTGCCTTTTGTTATATATACTTAATTAGGAATAATATTTAAACATCAGAACCCAGTCACCCCTTTCTATCCACAGGGCATTGGTTCCAGAATGCCCTGCAGATACCCAAATGCACAAATGCTAAGGTGGCTGATATAAAATGGCACAGTATTTACATACAGTCCACACATCCTCTCATATACTTTTAATATCTAATGCAATATAAAAGGTTATTATAGCATATTGCTTAAGAAGTAATGACAGGAAATAAAAGGACATGCATTCTATACAGATGCACTTTATCTTTTTAAATATCTTTGGTGGAGGTTGGTTGAATCTGCAAGTAGAAACCATGGATATGGAGGGCCAACTCCACTGTCATACAGACTGATAGCATAAACTTAGCAAATATCTGTTGGATTTAAATGGGCCATAAATAAATAGCTTGATAAAATGATGCTCATAAAAATTCATTTTTAAAAAAGCTTAATCATAAACATAGGAGAAAGCACATAATATGATTTTAGGTAACTGAATAAAAAGCCTTGATTTTTTTGCAATTATATTAATGAATTATGAATTCCTAACCCTCTCGATGGGCAATATTTTTTCCTCTTATTTCAGTATTTAAAAATTCATGAATAAACATTCAATAAGATTGATGTAAAAATCATGCAATAACCCATATAAAGTGGCTGTCATTCATTATTTTCCTATTGTAACATTATAGTAGTTTTGCTGATGAGACCATACTTGAAATTTTAGCTAGTATAAATAGAAATGAAAACAGTCTTAAAATTCTTCTTTGGCTTAAATAAACTTATTTGTTGAGCCTTGAAATACCTTAAGCTTGCTTATGTGTATTATTTTTTTTTTTACTTTAAGCTGCTAAAAGCTGTATATTTTTTTTAAAGAATTATTTATTTATTTGAAAGTCAGAGTTACAAAGAGAGAGGAGAGGCACAGAGAGAGAGAGAGAGAGAGTAAGAGAGGTCTTCCATCTGATGGATGATTCACTCCCCAAATGGTCAAAACAGCCGGAGCTGCGGTGATCTGAAGCCAGGAGCCAGGAGCTTCTTCCAGGTTTCCCAGGCGGGTGCAGGGGCCCAAGGACTTGGGCCATCTTCTGCTCCTTTCCCAGACCATAGCAGAGAGCTGGCTTGGAAGTGGAGCTCAAACTGGTGCCCATATGGGATGCCAGCACTGCAGGCGGCAGCTTTACCCGCTGCACCACAGCACCAGCCCCAAAAGCTGTGTATTTCTTGTTTTATTTGAGATACTTTGAAATGGAAAAGTAGTACAGTGATTATTAATTTTAAACAAAGTAAAATTAAGTTCAAAGTATGTAAGACAATCAGAATAGTAATAGTTCAGTTAATCCACATCACTAGGAACCCCAAATTTTCTACTGGAAAGTGACTGTTTTGGTTTATTGAAACATACCCTTTTACTGTTAGTGTTTTAGAGAAAGTAATCTTTTTTGAAGGAAATTTATAGTAAACATAAATGTTTATTTGCTTTAAAATAAAAATAAGGCTAAATGCCTTATGCCTTATGGTCCTTGGCTTCTATATTTTGATATCCTTTTTTTCTCGGATGTTTTAATTTATATTTGTTGCTTCTACTCTTCTGACTCTAACTCCAAGTTTCAGAGAACATAGCCCTCTGCTTGGTTTACGGTTATTTTCCTCCTGAATTTCTGGTTCTTCTCCTTACTTTCCAGTTCTGTGGTGGTCCAGATTATTTAAGATTGCCAGAGCTCTGGTCAGTCAGATAAGTGGGCTGTGACTACATTTCTTCAATTCAATGACAAATTCATTCCAATTTATAACTTAAGCCTTGATATGTGAAGTATCACATTACAGAGAATGAAATTTGGTCTCAGATCTATGTTGGAATCATGGCTTTGCCATTTTTGACTCCGTGATCTTGGGCAAGTTATTTATCTACCTGGATCTCAATTCTCTCACCTGTAAGATAAGACAAATAATATTTCATTAATTAGGGTTAAGCATGATAATATGAAAAGGGTTAAGCAATATCTGACTAAAACATTCAGTAATGTCTGTGTATAATCAAAGCACTGTTAATTTAAGAATTTATATCTTAATTTGTCATTTTAAAGTAGTATAATAAACCTCTCAGTATAAAATCCAGATGTAAGAATTTTATATAATTTACTTTGCAGAGCTGTAAAGCAAATCAAGGATTCTAATGTACTGAACCAGAGTAAATTATAAACAATATTATAAAAAAAAAGGAAAGTAATTTGTAGTGTTCATCGTCAGAATTTTTATAAAGAAAATTGTCCATATTTTAAAAGTAATTTAAATATGAAATGTTTTAAAATAGTAAAGAGAATTTCTATAGCAAGGCAGGGCTCTTTTGTTTTTGCTAAGTTATACACAAAATGATCCTGATATATACCTGAGTATATATTTTAAACATGCGTTCATTCTTAATGGCTTGTGACACCAGCTACACAAGTTTGCCACATATGGAAATACTGAGCCGCTGGTCTCATGAATGCATCCCATTTACTTCCTTCATTTCCTATACACTTTTTCCTCGTTCATTTGTATGTGTGTTTTTAGTATTGTTAATTTGCAGTCTTGTAATTATACAACTTTGGTGTAAGTAAAGTAAGTTATTGTTCTTCATTTTACATTAGCCATTTTGCATGATTCCATCTGTTAAAGAGTTTGTGTAGGAGGTTGTTAAACTGTAATGTGTTACATGTGAATGTTGCATGTTGCTTTATTCTTACATTGGAAAGCTTGTATTAATTCATGATATTTTATACTATGTTTTTCTGAAATAATAAACTGATATTCTTTCTTTTATAGACACAGTTAAATTTGCTTCTGGATAAACTTCGAAGTACTGTGAGTACACTTAAAAATAAACCATGCTTTTAAAAATGGCTCTTTGAGACTATTGCTGCTAATTACTCAAGCAAGCACAGTAACCCTAGAATAATTAGAAATACATTTTAAACCAGATTCCCTTCAATAAAAAAACTTCAGGTTTTAAAATGGTTATTGTTTTTGTTAGGTTTGTTCTGAAGACAGATAAAATATATTGTGAAGTTAAACTGTTTCATAAATAATAGAAAACTTTTTGAATGTTATTAATTTGATTATCTTATAGCTTTAGGAAGGTGAAAATTAATAGAAATTATAGAGGAGAATGTACTTTTTTAGGATTAAAGATTACACATATAATTTGATTTAATTTTATTACTTCTTAAGTAATAAATACATTCTCCAGACATGGCAGTGTTGATGATCTGGAAAAAATGGACATAATGTATTTTCTTAAAGATTTATTTATTTATTTGAAAGGCAGAATTACAGAGAGGCAGAGAGAGAGAGAGAGAGAGAGAGAGTGAGGGGTCTTCCATCTGTTGGTTCACTTCCCAAATGGCCGCAGTGGCCAGCTGGGCCAATCCGAAGCCAGGAGTTAGGAGTTTCTTCTTGGTCTCCTATGTGAGTGCAGGGGCCCAAGGACCCTAGCCATCTTCCACTGCTTTCCCAGGTGCATTAGCAGGGAGCTAGATCAGAAGTAGAGCAGCTGATACCTGAACTGGTGCCCCTATGGGATGCCAGCACTGCAGGCAATGGCCTCATCCGCCACATCACAGCACCAGCCCCACACATAACATTTTTATGAGCCATTATAGAGTCAAAATTTATTAGAAATCTTTTTGAAAGTGATTTTCCTTTTTTAAAAAAAAAACACCGAGGCCGGCGCCGCGGCTCATTAGGCTAATCCTCCGCCTTATGGTGCTGGCACACCGGGTTCTAGTCCCGGTTGGGGCGCCGGATTCTGTCCCGGTTGCCCCTCTTCCAGGCCAGCTCTCTGCTGTGGCCCGGGAGTGCAGTGGAGGATGGCCCAAGTGCTTGGGCCCTGCACCCCATGGGAGACCAGGAGAAGCACCTGGCTCCTGCCTTTGGATCAGCGCGGTGCGCCGGCCGCAGCAGCCATTGGAGGGTGAACCAACGGCAAAAGACGACCTTTATCTCTGTCTCTCTCACTGTCTACTCTGCCTGTCCAAAAAAAAAAAAAAAAAAAAACACAAAAAAAACACTGAGAGGGGCCAGTACCATGGCTCACTTGGTTAATCCTCCGCCTTCAGTGCCAGCATCCCATATGGGCCCCAGGTTCTAGTCCTGGTTGCTCCTCTTCCAGTCCAGCTCTCTGCTGTGGCCCGGGAGGGCAGTGGAAGATGGCCCAAGTGCTTGGGCTCCTGCACCCGCATGGGAAACCAGGAGGAAGCACCTGGCTCCTGGCTTCAGATCGGCGCAGCACTGGCCGTGGCGGCCTTTAGGGGAGTGAACCAACAGAAGGAAGACCTTTCTGTCTGTCTCTCTCTCTCACTGTCTATAACTCTGTCAAATAAACAACAACAACAAAAAACTGAGAAAAAATTTAATATATGGGTTATAAATGAGGAGTCTTCAGAAAGTTCATGGAAAATACATATTACAAAAATATAACAAACTTTTTTGCATCAAAATAAACTTACCTTTTTATTAGTTAATTTTATTTATAAAGAGATAGAGACAGGCAAATAACAGACAGATAGAGCTACCATTTGCTGGGTCACTCTCCAAATATCTATAATGGCTAGGGCTGGGCCAGTCCAAGCTCAGATTACAATCCATGTCTCCCACATGAGTGACTCAGCCAACTGAGCCATTACCTGCTGCACAGTGTACATTAACAGAAAGCTGGAATGGAGAGTGGAGTTGGGACTCTGACCCAGGCACCTGATATGGGATGAGGGCGTCCCCAGGTGGCTGGTATCTTAACCACCAGGCCAATTACCTACCCCAACTTATCATTTAATTTCCATTTTCCATGAATTTCTCCTTGTAAATGAAGCATGATTCCAAGGTAAGACTTACTATCAGATCACAGAACTTCACTGAGTACTCTTCCTTTTCCAGTAGTCATTTTGAAAAGCCAAACATTTATTCTGTCAGTGCTGTTGTTACTTAACTTATTGTAAGAGTTGCTTCTGGAATCATGAAAATTTTTAAAATAACCAACTTGGCTTCAGATAATTATCTCTTAAGGACCAAATATCTTTAAAAATTAAATCTAATGGGAATATTTTATATTTATGTACTAAATAGGATGCTACTTTAAAATGATGAGGTTACTTTTGTGATTTATAGAAAAAAAAAAAGCATTTCTAAAACATGTCCTAAGACTATTTGCAATGGTCATCATTTTTTTAAAGATTTATTTATTTATTTGAAAGTCAAAGTTATAGTTACACAGAGAGAGAAGGAGAGGCAGAGAGAGAGAGAGAGGTCTTCCATCCACTGGTTCACTTCCCCAATTGGCTGCAACGGCTGGAGCTGCACTGATCTGAATCCAGGAGCCAGGAGCTTCTCTTCTGGGTCTCCCATGTGGGTGCTGGGGCCCAAGGACTTGGGCCATCCTCTGTTGCTCTCCCAGGCCATAGCAGAGAGCTGGATTGGAAGTGGAGCAGCCAGGACTTGAACCAGCACCCACATGGGATGCTAGCTCTTCAGGCCAGGGCGTTAACCTGCTGCGCCACAGTGCAGGCCCCACAATGATGATCATTCTTGAAATAACTGTTTATTTCTGCAAGGTGACCACTTGTAGAGAAACAGTGGTTTTGGATGTCTATTATGTTAGCTTCAGGGCTCAAGTTTCATTATCTTACGTAATCAGTATTCTTGCTTTCTCATGCAGCACAGTCTGATAACTGATTCCAAATGAGTGGCTTTCAACTTTTAAAAATTGTTTTAACAGATAAAGCTTTCATTGTGCTTTCAATTGTGTAGCTTAATGACACTTTGTATATTTCTGAAGTGGAATGGTTGAAAACTTTTGTTTTCTTTTTTGTTTGACAATTTGGCCTAAATTTTAAGGGGCATAATTTTATTTTCTCCTCTTCTTATAGGATAGTTTTCTTAACACAGAAATATAAAATACAGCATATAAATATGTTTAAATGTAGAATATAATCTTATATATATCAAGACTCCAAAATGTATGTTTATATGTTGAAATCTTACAGTAAAAGACATTTTACAATGTTTTACATTCAAATCTAAAATGTACTATTTTTCTAATATTAATTTGTAATGTACAAGAGTCAGCACTGTGGTGCAGTGGGGTGAGCCGCTATTTGCAGCACCGGCATTCCATGTGGGTGCTAATTTGAGGCCTGGCTGCTACAGTTTCTATCTAGCTCCCTGCTAATGCACCTGGGAAAGCACTGGAAGATGGCCCAAGTGCTTGTGCTCCTGCACCCACGTGGGAGACCCGGATGAAACTCCTGGCTCCTGGCTGCGGCTTGGCCCAACCCTGGCTGTTGTGGCCATTTGGAGAGTGAACCAATGGATGGAAGAATCTCTTTCTCTTTCTGTCTCTTGCTCTATAATTCTGACTTTCAAATAATAAACTTTTAAAAAAATTTGTAGTATAGAAATTCAGTTCAGGCTTTAAATTATAAAAGCATGCTAATGTATTTTTAAGTTCCTTAGTGATTAAGCTTCATGTGTTAATATGCTTTGAAAGTAGCTGACATTCATAGATGTTAGAAAAATAAGGATTCATATGTACTGTCTCAAAATCCCCCTCTTTCTCCTAGGGAGCAAGCTTTATTCGGTGCATCAAACCCAATTTAAAGATGACAAGCCACCACTTTGAAGGTGCTCAAATTCTGTCTCAGCTTCAGTGTTCAGGTATTACCATACTTCCATACGTGCCGGTCATTATCTGTGGTGTTTTCAGAAAATTTACCATTATCTTGATTATGTTAAAGTGAAGTCAGGTTTGTATCCCCTGTTTCCTCTGGATGACAAGTTATTAGTGCAGTACTGGGTGTAGTTTCTTGTGCAATAGAGCCATTTTACATCACTGAAGTAAAATATAAAAACGCTGCCGGCAAACCTGACTCTGCCTTGGGCAGGCCGCTTTCCCTGGCTGCAGTCCAGCCGTGGTTCGTTTCTCATCCTTCCCAGGACGGGGTCGGCAGGTGGGTTGTGGTGTCCTTGCTTGCCATTCCATGAAACATGGGGCGCACTAGGTTAATCCTGTGCCTGCGGCGCCAGCATCCCATATGGGCGCTGGGTTCTATTCCCGGTCACTCCTCTTCCAGGCCAGCTCTCTGCTGTGGCCCGGGAGGGCAGTGGAGGATGGCCCAGGTGTTTGGGCCCTGCACCCCATGGGAGACCAGGAGAAGCACCTGGCTCCTGGCTTAGGATCAGCGTAGCTCCGTCCGTTGCAGCCATTTGTGGGGTGAACCATCGAATGGAAGATCTTTCTCTCTCTCTCTCACTGTCTGTAACTCTGCCTGTCAAATAAATAAATAAATAAATCTTAGAAAAAAATATTTAAAAAAAGATGGAAACACATGCTCTTAGCTTTTGGGACACTTTTATGCATTTGGTGAAGCTCACTCCCGGCTGCCTGCTATGTGTGTCTGGCCTGGCTCAGCCACAGTGGCCAGAGACCTAGACTCAGAGTTTCCCTTCACTCTAGGGCTGCCCTCCATCCCCAACCGGACTCCCTCCCGGTTTTCCCTAGGTACCCACCCTCTCCTTTCTTTCTTTACCTTTTCATCCAGAATGGCCCCTGGCTCCGTCTCACGTTCTCTTATATTTTGTTCCTTTCTGGGACATAAGATCACTTAAGCTTCAGGAATCTTCATTGAAATAAACCCCTTCCCAAAGCCCTGCCCTTACTTTTGTATGCTTTCCCTAAAACACCCTCCCCCAGTAAGCTTCAGTCCCCCAAATCTGGATCTTTGACCTCTCCCACGGAACCTTAGCAGTTGATAAGGGTGGTGCCACTTTAAGTTCGTGATGGCTGACCTGTACGGGGACCTCCAGCCTGCCCGAGGAAGTTTCCAGGGAGCCAGCCTGTCCACGGGGCCCTCCTTCCATCCCTGAGCTGCTTGCATCAGGTGGCCTCACCTCTTCACTGAACATCCTGGAGCGTCACCTGTCTCCTGCCCGGCTCTTACACCTACCTGCATAGCCTCCCCTCGTGTGCTGCATGCACGAACTGTCTCTTCCCAGTTGTGCTTCAGTTTCTTGAAATCCATCCCTCCCTCCCTTCTCGTGAATCTTTAGTAAGGATTATTTGTATTGAACCATTCTTTTGAGGCAAATCTCTCCCATGATCCCATAAAATGTGTTTAATCACTCAACTCTGACCCACATTCCCTTCCAGCTACCTCCCTGTCTTTTTTCCTGACCATTTTTCTCCAGTTGTTTCTTTTCTGTCCAAGAGTAGTTTATTCTGCTTTCTCGGTTTCCTGCCTTCATTTATTCCTTAACCCACGAGAATTCAGCTTCCACTTTAATGAAGTCACCAGGGATTGCCTGATAAATCACACGTGTTTAGATTCGGTTACATATGCTATCGCATCAGCACAGTATGGGCACAACGATGCTTTAGTTAGAATTCCATGCACTTGAATACATGTGTATAGTTTAGCAGACAATACCAATTCATAATATTTTCATTTTTAAGTCCTAACAATAGTGTAAGGATACAGAATTGTTTCCAGCATGTAACTAGGTAATGAGAAAAAAACAGAAAAATCCATAATTGCTAGAAATAAAAATATTTATGAAGCTTTCTAAAATAATGATATTTAATATTTGGAATCTGTTTTACCTTTCCACTTGGATTTTTTTCTAATTTTTGAGTAGAATTCATTAAAAAGTTCATACTAAAATTACTATCTTCTGATCAGGCAACGACAGGTAAAAATAGAGGCAGGTGAGAGAAGGCAGGTTTTCTTCCCCTGTAATTTTGGGGCTATGCTGCCTGCACGTGTGTACAAAGATGTATTCTGAGTATAACCAACCAGCACTGTACCAAGAAGCCGTACTTAAAACTTCCAGAGTCAGATCATGGGAATTTATGGAAGGAAATAGTTTCTACTTTTTTAAGCTTCAAACAATCTTTAAGAGTAAATTAAATTCAGAAACTGAGGAAGCAGTTGGAAGCTTTGTAATTTGTTAAGCTCCATGAAATTCTTAATGAACTTAAATTAAAAAAAATTCATTTATTTATTTTGTATTTGAAAGAGAGACAGAGAAAGATCATTTCCCCAAATGCCCACAAGAGCCAGGGCTGGGCCAGGGCAAATCCAGGAGCTTCTTGATGAACCTTTGCAAGCCAGTTCACATTTTGCAGCCATAGGGGAAATCCAAGAGACTTAGAGGTTGCAGTTACATACATTTACAAGGGTGCTTATGTATTTGATGTAAATGGGTAAAAGCAATGACAATACCAACCATATCTTACTATTATTTCCCAGAGCCTGGGACTAAATCTAGTTCTGGGTTTTTTTTCCCCTATAGAAGTGATTGCTTTTATGTGTTTCATTAATTAGCATTAAAATTATAATGCAGTTACATGTGCTCACAGTAGCAAAAATTAAAAGCACAGAATAAATAAAGAAGTCTCACTTCTCAGGAATGACCATTTAATAGTAAGTCTTGGATATGTTTTTATACTGGTTAGATAAAGCTTTACTCTGTGTGTATGTGTGTTTAAAAATTTATCTGTTTATTTGAAAGGTAGAGTGACAGAGGGGTAGGGTGGGGGAGCGAAAGAGATTGATCTTCTGTCTATAGGTTCACTACCCAAATGAGTCCAGTAGCCAGGGCTGGGTCAGGCTGAAGCTAGGAGCTCCATCCTTGTCTCCCATGAGGGTGGCAGGGGCACATACACTTGAATAATCTTCTGCCGTCTTCTCAGGCATGTTAGCGGGAATCTGAATCAAGTATGCAGCGGCTGGTACTCTGAGCCAGCTCCTAGATATGGGATTCCTGCTTTGCAAACAGTAGCTTCAACCTGCTGTGCCACAATGTTGGCTCCTGCTGTGTTCTTTTAAATTAATATGCATATTATATCATATGATTGTGATATGATCAATTGATATTTCAATTATTTGTTTATTTTTCTATTATAAACAATGAGCCAAAGGCCATATGGACATACTGCATGATTATCTTTCCCACAGATGAGAAAAGTTAAAATATATATTCATGGAAATAGAAATTATAGAGCCCTAGCTGGAGCCGCAGCTCACTAGGCTAATCCTCCGCCTTGCGGCGCCGGCACCCCGGGTTCTAGTCCCGGTCGGGGCGCCGGATTCTGTCCCGGTTGCCCCTCTTCCAGGCCAGCCCTCTGCTGTGGCCAGGGAGTGCAGTGGAGGATGGCTCAGGTGCTTGGGCCCTGCACCCCATGGGGGACCAGGAGAAGCACCTGGCTCCTGCCATCAGATCAGCGCGGTACGCCAGCCGCAGCGGCCATTGGAGGGTGAACCAACGGCAAAGGAAGACCTTTCTCTCTGTTTCTCTCTCTCTCACTGTCCACTCTACCTGTCCCAAACCACAAATATAAAAAAAAAAAAAGAAATTATAGAGCCCTAGTAATAAATGTTTCCAAATTACCACTCAGAATTGTTGTGCTGGTTTACTTTCCCACTAAGTATGCATGTCTATTTTCTTATACTGCCATCATTTCTAGGTACTATTGATGTTTTACGACTTTGTCAAATAGGTTATCAGTTCAACCTAATTTCCTAGAAAGGCCATATTTCCCATGAGATAATTTAGAATAAAAATGTACCCACTTAAGATAGTTTTTTTTAAATTTGACTTAAATTACAATGAAAAAATATTAATTTAAATTACCGTTTTTTAGAAAAGCAGAGCTTTTTATTTGAAAGGCAGAGCTACAGAGAGGCAGAGGCAAACAGAGAGAGAGAGGTTCACTCCCCAAATGGCTGCAACTGCGGGATCCAGGCCGATCCAGAGCCAGGAGCCTCCTCTGGGTCTCCCATGTGGATACAGGGGCAGAGGACTTGGGTCACCTTCCACTGTTTTCCCAGGTCTAATAGAGAGCTAAATCAGAAGTGGAGCAGCTGGGACTCAAACTGGAGCCCATATGGGATGCTGGCACCGCAGGTGGTAGCTTTACCCACTATGCCACAGCACCAGCCCCGCAACACTTTTTGTTAAATATCCTTTTTTTCTCCATTAATTTGAATAGTCCCAGAGACTGAAATACCTTTATGTGAACAAGATTCTGGCACTCTGTATAGTTTTTCAGCCTTTTTCCTGCTGCTTTTACACTTTTCCTGACCTGAAAAGCTCACATTGATTCACGGCTCTGATCAACCCCTTGCTAGAGTTGTACTGAAAAATAAATAATCATCCTGTGTACTCACCATCCCAATAGAGTAGTTTCTTGAGAGATGAAGGAAAGGGGTCTTTGTTGTGAGCTTTAGTGAGCTTTCTTTTTCATTTGCTTTATTTAAATACTGATGAAAACTTAGGAATATATAGAAAAGTATTTGACTGCTTTGTGGATATCTGTTGGAAGTCTTGTTCTAAAATGAACCTTAGAATTTGATAAGTGGGGGTTGGTGTTGTGGCATGATGGGTTAATGCCGGCATCCCACATGGGCACCAGTTCAACTCCTGGCTGCACAACTTCAATCCAGCTCCCTGCTAATGCACCTGAAAAAGGAGCAGAAGATGGCCCAAGTCCTTGGGCCCCTTCACCCAAGTGGGAGACCTGGAAGAAGCTCCTGGCTCCTGGCTTCGGCCCGGCCTACCACTGGGCATGGTGGCCATGTGGGGAGTGAACCAGCAGATGGGAGATTCTCTCTCTTTCTCTGGAACTCTGTCAAATAAATAAATTAATTAAATTTAAAAAAGGTAGAAACTGGAGTTGAATTTTTTGAAGTCATATACTTGGCCTATAGGAAATGGTTAGTCATGCTTGTTTTAGGTAGAAATCTACTTTTGTAGTTTTAAGTGGTAGGTAAGGTAAGACATATAGAGTATAACATTTCCTATATAATGTTTCATTGCTGATAATTCCTGCAAATTGCTTCTTTGTCAGAATTAATTTGCAAAATTAAAGTTACTTTGGATTTTTATACAGTAATTAACAGTGATTTGTGTTTGTTTATAAATCTAGGTATGGTGTCTGTTTTGGACTTGATGCAGGGTGGCTTCCCATCACGAGCTTCATTTCATGAACTCTACAACATGTATAAAAAATACATGCCAGACAAACTTGCACGACTGGATCCCAGACTGTTTTGTAAGGTATAAATGCCACCCGAGTTTAGATTTCTTAGCTGTAAACTCTTCTGGTAATTGTAAGTTGACATTAACATGTTTTAACTTTTATTTTTCAGGCTCTTTTTAAAGCCTTGGGCTTAAATGAAGTTGACTACAAGTTTGGGTTAACAAAAGTATTTTTTAGACCTGGCAAGGTAAATATATATTTTAAACTTTTAATATTTTAATATCATGAATACAGATGGTTGGAGGTTAGTTAATATTTTTAAGTGTTGTATAATTTTCTTATTACATGTGAATTATATGGTCATAAACAGCATGAAATTGTGTGTGATTACATATAATTTCCCTACTTGTGATATGTTTATAATGTTTAATACAGTGTATATAATTTTTTCAACTTCATTGAAGCTGGAAGTATTAGAATCAGAGCACTGTTCAGTTGGCTTTCTTACTTAAATAAGGGTTAACTAGAAAATAATCCAATTTTAAACATGTTGAAACATTTCTAAAACAAGTTTAAGTCAGTTCTCTGTGATTTGAGATTTTACCATCCCTTCTGCTCTTCCCTGTGAGAACAAATTCTACTAGACTGTGGTAGATGTTTAAGGAGAGTTTTGCTGACCTCTGTCAACATCTAGGATAAATGAATGTATAAATACTTTTGTATGTATAAAATAGTTTTTTAGGCTATATGTAGCCTTATAGTATTAGTATTCACAGATTTTTGGGCTAAGTTACAAGACTGAGTTATAGAATACTGCATAACTAAATAGAAATATCGAGATTCTATTCACAGTTGGATAGTGATAGTTCCATGACATTTAACTCGTTTAGTAGTATTAAATAATTGCATTGCATAATAGTAAAATGATTGTTACCATATTTAAGTTGCCAGCCATATTTGTTTGAGTTTGCTGGAGCATTAATAATTAGCCCTGGTATCTTCAAGTTTAAATTAATCATAATAAAGAAGTTTTATTTCATATTTTTGGGCAGGACGTGAAATATGTGTACACATCACCAATGTATGCACTATTTTGTGCAGATTTTTGTTACAGAAGGCCTACAGCATTTCCTGTAAAAGAAGAAATGTTAAGAAAAAAGGATATAGTTCATAGTTGGCTAGCTTTAATCATATTTATTATAAATTCAACATTTCTCTTATTTTAGAGATATAATAATTAATTATATATAATTATATATTAACTAGGAAGATATAATTAATAGCCTGACAGAGAAAGCACTTGGTTCTTGTTTACCTCTGGAAAAATTAGTCAATTAGAGGGATTTCTTGAAAGCCTAAGGCCAAAATCCAGATCTTTAAAATCATTATGATAACTTTAACTTAATTTTGATTTTAAGAATCTGTCACACCGATTAATATGTGATATCCTTAATACTGTAGTGGACACATTTGGTAAAGGATAGAAATCATGGAATTTGGTGGTAAATAATGAAAATAATGCACTTTACTAATCAGTAGTCTCATAGTTATTTTATTTGTGAGGTCCATCCCTTAGTAATGTCTTACTTTTGTCTAAAATGGAGATGGAATTTGGGAAAGACAGAATAGTTGTGGTAATTAGTATTGTATAGCTGACTCTATTGTATCAAGAACTATGTAGAGATATCTGAGACTGTGATCCAATTCAGAGTTATATTTGTTCTTTTTCATTTTCTCAAACTTTTTGCCAACCATCTGGAATTGTTATTTAAGATTTGTTTCTACTTTTATTATTGAATGTATTAGTAAGTATCCTCCTGTATGCTCCTGCCAACTTTACCTGCCCTTCTAGAAAAGATCCTGAAGGAAAGAAGAGTAAGGAAGCAAAGTACAGTCAAGTATGTTGCGGTTTGCTATATGCCCCATTAAGATGTGTATAAAACTAAGTAACTGACATACAGCCAACCATTTTCCAGAGTTTGATTTTGGGTTTGGATTGGGTTTATTTTGTGTCTCTCTGTATGTTTAAACACATCTATCTTTTAATACTAGTATTAAATTATGTTACTTTTTAGTTTGCAGAATTTGATCAGATTATGAAGTCTGACCCGGACCACTTGGCAGAGTTGGTTAAAAGAGTCAATCACTGGCTAATCTGCAGTCGCTGGAAGAAAGTTCAGTGGTGCTCGCTGTCAGTCATCAAATGTAGGTGCTTGAAGTGAGGTGGTTTGAAGCTCATTGTACAGCTGTCTCAGGGGTGAATGTTAGGTGTTCACATTGTGACCCTAGTTCCTCAGTAAACTGTAGTATGTGATGAGCTGGTAATTTTGTAGACTTATTTGCTTTTTTAGTAGTTTCGACCATATGATACTTGTTTTATTTTTCTTTTTTTTAAAGATTTATTTATTTGAAAGTCAGAGTTACACAGAGAGAGGAGAGGCAGAGAAAAAGAGAGAGAAAGAGAGAGAGAGAGAGGTCTTTCATCTAATGGTTCACTCCCCAATTGGCTGCAACAGCCGGAGCTGCACTGACCCAAAGCCAGGAGCCTCCACCAGGTCTCCCACGTGGGTACGGGGCCCAAGGACTTGGGCCATCCTCTACTGCTATCCCAGGCCACAGAAGAGAGCTGGATTGAAAGAGGAACTGGCGCCCATGTGGGATGCCAGTGCTTCAGGCCAGGACATTAATCCACTTCGCCACAGTGCCAGCCCTGATACTTGTTTTCTTCATCTAAATTAGAGGATTATAAATTTCATCAAGGAACCCACTATCCCAATTCTTTGCTTTCTCTCCCCTGGCCTCCAATACTATCCCTCAGTTTCTCATTCTTAAACCAAAATATTTCTGTTTCTACCTGTGTGCCATCTCCAGTGCATATCAGAAATGTCAAGATTGTAACCATCCTTCCTTTCTTAATCTCTGAAATCTTGTCACCAAATCCTGTGTTTCCTCCTTCAAGTACTACACATTTGTCTTAGTTTTTTAATTGCCTATGTCTTAGTGGAGTCCCTTTGCCCCCCATACATGGTAACTTAGTGATTTCCAAACTGGTTTTCCTGTCTTTCCAGATTTACCTCTTTAAATTAAAAGCCTTTTATGGCTCTCCTTTAGTAGAGGTCAAGTTTGAATTTCTAGAATGTATTTATGGTTGTGTGAACCAGGAGTTCAGTTTACTGTTTCAGCTTTTCCTCCTGCCACTCCCCACAAAGACCCTGTTACTTAAAATTTTTTAAGGTGAACAAGTTTCATGTATTTCATATATACAGACTTAGGAGCATAGTGATACTTCCCACACTACCCTCCTTCCCATACTCTCACCCTCCCTTCTCCTTTCTTTCTTATTATTTTAATTTTCAAAATGATCTACTTTCAGTTTATTTTATACACATCAGATTAACCCTATACTAAGTATTCAACAAATAATAACAAGAAAAATACACTGTTGCTCAACAGTAGAGACAAGGGTTGTAAACAATAATCAAATCTCAAAATGTCAATTTCACTCATATACATTACATTTTTTTGGTGCTCTATTAGTTACCACAGATCAGGGAAAACATATGGTACGTCTCTTTTTGTGACAGGATTATTTCACTAAGTATAATGGTTTCTAGTTACATCCATCTTGTTGCAAAAGACAGGATTTGAATCACTTTATGGCTGAGTAGTATTGTATATTATATATTTATGGCATTTTTATATCCAGTTATCAGTTGATGGGCATCTGGGTTGATTCCATATCTTAGCTATTATTAAATGAGCTGGAACAAATATATATCCTCACCAGCATTTATTTATTTTTTTATTTTTGGGTGATAGCCATTTTTACTGGGTGAAATGAAACCTTGTTGTTGTTTTGAGGTGCATTTCCCTGATGGGTAGTGATCCTGTGCATTTTTTCATGTGTCTGTTGGATATTTGAATTTCATCATTTGAAAAATGCCTGTTCAAGCCCTTTGCCCATTTCTTAACTGGGTTGTTTGTTTTGTTGTTGTTGAATTTTTTGAGCTCTTCTTATATTCTGGTTATTAATCCTTTATCAGTTGCATGGTCTGCCAATATTTTCTCGCATTCTGTCTGGACTCTTGTTGATTGTTCCTTTACAGTGCAGAAGCTTCTTAGTTTGATGTACTCCCATTTGTCTATTTTTACTTTTATTGCCTGTGCTTCTGGGGTTTTAGCCAAGAAGTCTGCCTGTGCCAATGTCTTTCAGAGTTTCCCCAGTGTTCTCTTTAGTAATTTCATGGTATCTGGTCACAGATTTAGATCCTTGATCCCTTTTGAGTTGATTTTTGTATAAGGAATAAGTAGGGGTCTTGTTTCATACTTCTGCATGCAATCCAATTTTCCCAGCACAGTTTGTTGAAGAGAAACCCCTTTCTCCAGAGATTGATTTTTGCTCCTTTGTCAAAGATTAGTTGTATGAATAGATGTGTGGATTGTGTGAATCAATTTCTGGAGTTTCTAACCTGTTTCATTGGTCTGCATGTCTACTTTTGCCTGTATTGGGCTATTTTGATTATAACTGTCCTGTAGTATGTCTTCATGGCTGGTATTATGATGCCTTCAGCTTTGTTTATGTTGTTTAGGATTGCTTTAGATATTTGGCATCTCTTGTGTTTCCATATGAGTTTTAGCGTCTTTTTTCCTAGATCTGAGAGGAATGTTGTTGGTATTTTGATTGAAATTGCATTGAATATATAAGTTACTTTGGGTAGTAAAGACATTTTTGATGATATTAGTTTTTCCAACATCAAAGATTTTTCCATTTTGTCTTCTTCTTTTTCTGTTTTTAATGTTTTGTAATTTTCATTTTAGAGATTTTGAACCTCCTTTATTAAATTGATTCCAAGGTATTTAAATCTTGTTGTAGTTATTGTTAATGGGATAGAGCTTACATGGGATTCATTGTTTGTGTATACAAAGGCTATTAATTTTTGTGTTAATTTTATAGTCTGCCACTTTATCAAACTCTCTTCTGAGTTCCAATAGTCTCTTAGTAGAGGCTTTTGATTCCCCTATATATAAAATCCTGTCATTTACAAAGAGGGATAGTTTTACTTCATCCTTTCCAATTAGTATCACTTTGACTTATTTATTTTGCCTAATGGCTCTTGCCAAAACTTCCAGGACTGTATTGAATAGCAATGGTGAAAGCAGGCATCCTTGCCTGGACTGGATCTTAATAGAAATGCTTCCAACTTACCCCCATTCAGTATGATGCTGGCTGTGGGTTTGTCATGAATTGTCATGATTGTATTAAGGAATGTTCCTCCGTACCCAATTTGCTTAAGGTTTTTATCATGAAAGGATGTTGCATTTTATCAGATGATTTCTCCACATCTGTGGAGATAATCATACGATTTTTATTATTTAATTTGTTAATGTGGTGTATCACATTTATTGATTTGCAAATGTTGAACCATTCCTGCATACAAGAGATAAATCCTATTTGGTCTGCGTTAATGATCTTTCTGATGTGTTGTTGGATTCGATTAGCTAGTGTTTTGTTGAGGATTTTTGCATCAATTTTCATCAGGGATATTGGTCTATATTCTCTTTCTTTGTTATATCTTTTTCTGACTTGAGAATTCAGGTGTTGCTAGCCTTGTAGAAGGAATTTGGAAGGATTCCTTCCCTTTCAGTTGTTTTGAATAGCTTGAGAAGAATTGGAATTAGTACTTCTTTGAAAGTCTGGTAGAAATTGGCCGTGAGCCATTCAGTCCTGGGTTTTTCTTTGTTGGGAAGGTCTTAAATGTTGATTCAGTCTCATTGTGCTTGTTGTTATGTTTGGGTTTTCTATGTCTTCGTAACTCCATGTTGGTAGATTGCATGTGTACAGGAATCTATTCATTTCTTCTACATTTTCCGATTTGTTGGCATACAGCTCTTTGTAGTAATTCCTGATGATTCTTTTTATTTCTGTGGTATCTGTTGTTATATTTCATTTTTCTCATCTCTGATTTTATTGATTTGGGTCTTCTCCCTCTTTTTTTTAATTGGGGAAATGATGCATCAGTTTTATTTTTTCAAAAAGCCAGCTCTTCAATTCACTGATCTTTTGTATTTTTTGTAACAATTTTATTTCTTCTCTAATTTTAATTATTTATTTCCTCCTACTAAAATTGGGTTTGGTTTATTGTTGCTTTGATAGCTCACTTTTGATGCCTTTCCAATTTCTATTTTTTCCCTAAATATTTATTTATTTGAGAAGCAGAGTTACAGAGAGAGAGAGAAGGAGAGACAGAGAGAGAGAGAGATTTTCCATCTACTGGTTCACTCCCCAAATGGCTGCAATGGCCAGAGCTAAGCAGATCTGAAGCTAGGAGCTAGGAGCTTCCTCCGGTTCTCCCACATAGGTACAGGAGTCCAAGCACTTGGGCCATCTTCCACTGATTTTCCAGGCCATAAGCAGAGAGCTGGATTGGAAGAGGAACAACCAAAACTTGAACTGGCACCCATATAGGATGCTGGCACCACAGGCAGAGGCTTAAACAACTATGCTTCAGCACTGGCCCCTCCAATTTCTTGATATAGGCACTAATTGCTATAAACTTCCCTCTTAACATTACTTTGCCATATACCATAAGTTTTGATACATTATGCTGTCCTCTTCATTTATTTTCAGGAATTTTTTTTATTTCTTTTTAGTTTTCTTCTATGACCCACTGTTCATTCGGGGGCATGCTGTTCAGTCTCCATATGTTTGCATATTTTCTAAAGATTCTTATATTAATTTCCAGCTTCATTCCTTTGTGCTCAGAAAAGATAACTGATATGATTTCAATATTTTTGAATTTGCTGACTTGCTTTATGCCTTAGCATACGGTCTGTCCTAGAGAAAGTTCCATGCATTGATGAAAAGAATGTGTATTCTGCAACTTTGGGATGAAAGATTTTATAGATATCAGTTAGGTCAATTTGGTCCATATTATTGATTAACTCTGCTGTTTTCTTTGTTGATGTTCTGTCTAGTTGATCTGTCCATTGATGAATGTTGGATGTTAAAGTCTTCCATTACTGTTTTATTGGAGTCTTTGTTTTCTTTGAGATCCACTAACAATTATTTTAAATAGCCAGGTGCCCTCACATTGGGTGCATATAAATTTATTATAGTTAAATCTTCCTGTTGAATTGATCCCCTAATCATTACATAGTGCTCTTCATTTTTTTTTAAGATTTATTTTATTTATTTGAAAGGCAGAGTTACAGAGAGAGAGAGGGAGAGAGAGTGGGAGAGGGAGAGTATAAGAGAGAGATGGCAGGGGGAGAGAGAGAAATTTCCCATCTGCTGGTTCACTCCCGAGATGACTGCAATGGCCAGAGCTGAGCTGATCCAAATCTAGGAGCCAGGAACTTCTTCAGTGTCTCCCACGTAGGTGCAGGGACCCAATGACTTGGGCGATTTACTGCTTTCCTAGGCCATAGTAGAGAGCTGGATTGAAGTGGAGCAGTCAGGACTCGAACTGGCGCCCATATGGGATGCTGGGACTTTAACCTGCTGGGCCACAGCTCCCCCCGCCCGCCATAGTGCCCTTCTTTGTTTTAACAGTTTTTGTGTTAAAATTTATTTTTTTCTGATATTACGATGGCTACATCTGACCGTTTATGCTTTCCATCCTTTTACTTCCAGTCTGAGTGTATCTTTGTTGGTGAGGTGTGTTTCTTGTAGACAGCAAAGATGGGTGTTGTTTTTCAATCTAGTCAGCTAGTTTGTATCTTTTAATTGGAGAATTTAGGCCATTTACATTCAAGGTGACTATTGATGAGTGACAACTAGGCCCTGCCATTTTTCTGTGAATATTTCCTTTTGTTTGCTTTAGATTTCCTGTGTACTTTTACTGGGAGATTTTTCTGCCTTTGTATTCTTTCCTAATGACTCTCTTTCTGTATTTTTGTGTGTGCACATCGTTAAGCATCATTTGTAAGGCTGGATAAGTGGTGGAAAATTCTTTCAGTTTCTGTTATGGAAGTTGTTTTTGTTGCCTTCATTCATAATTGAGAGCTTTGCAGGATACAGTATTTTCTGGGATGATTTTTTTTTTTTTAAGACTTGGACTAATGTCTCTCCATTCTCTCCTGACCTATAGGGTTTCTGATGAGAAATCAGTGAGTCTCATCAGAGAGCCTCTAAAAGTAATCTGGTATTTCTCTTGGGCACATTTTAGAATCTTTTCTTCATGCTTTATTGTTGAAAGTTTGACTACAGTGGTTGTGGTGAAGATCTTTCCTGGTCATGTCTTTTAGGAATTGTCTTAGTTTTAGGAGTTTCTTTCTTCAAATTAGAGAAGTTTTCTGTAATTATTTTACTGAATATGCCTTCTAATCCAGCTCTCTACACTTTTGAAACTCCTATGACTTGTATGTTGGATTGTTTGATCATATCTCATAAATCTTGAACACTGTTTTTAATTACTGTAATTTTTTTCTTTGTGGTCTGACAGAGATATTTCCAAAGATTTGCCTTCTAGCTTGGATGTTCTTTCTTCTTCCTCACCGAATCTGTTGTTAAGGCTTTCCATTGTATTTTTTATTTGACATACTGAATTCTTCATTTCTAATATTACAGATTGATTTCACTTCGAAATCTCAATCTCACCATAAAAATTTTCATCAGTGTCATGTATGGACTACTTTAACTCATGAATTTCTTTCTCATTGCTTCTGAGTAATCCCTGTGATCATTTTTCTTTTTTTTTGACAGGCAGAGTGGATAGTGAGAGAGAGAGAGAGACAGAGAGAAAGGTCTTCCTTTGCCGTTGGTTCACCCTCCAATGGCCGCCACGGCCGGCGCGCTGCTGCCGGTGCACTGTGCTGATCCGATGGCAGGAGCCAGGTACTTCTCCTGGTCTCCCATGGGGTGCAGGGCCCAAGCACTTGAGCCATCCTCCACTGCACTCCCTGGCCACAGCAGAGAGCTGGCCTGGAAGAGGGGCAACCGGGACAGAATCCGGCATCCCGACCGGGACTAGAACCTGGTGTGCCAGTGCCGCAAGGCGGAGGATTAGCCTAGTGAGCCGCGGTGCCGGCCATGATCATTGTTTTGAATGCCTTTTTAGGCATTTCATCAATCTCTTCATCTTCACATTCTATTATTGAAGTGTTGATATGTTTCTTTGGAGTAGTTATGTTCTCCTTATTCTTGCTTCTTGAATTTCTGCATTTATTTTTAGTCATTTGTGGAAATACTTGTTGATTTTCTCTTCTGATGGATTTTATCTTTGAATTATGCCTCTGTGGCTTATTGGAGTGTATGTGCTGGGTGTGGCCAGGAAGCTCTGGTCAGTGCTCCAGGGTGGGGCAAGAATCCAGGGTGACACCCAAGTTAGGCATCGTAAATCTCCTCTATTGTCTGCAGGGGAGAGGGTATAATTACGCTTCTTGGCATAATCAGCCTTGCCTCCTCTCTTCCAAGGTGGTCATTGACCAGGGTTAGCCCACATTGGGTACACCCCGCCCCTTCCACCCTGGTGCATGGACCTTACAAAGGATCTGTGTAATCCTCAGTGTGAGCAAGGCACCATCGTAGTGGCCCACCCTAGGTCATCAGGGAGTTCTGAGCCTCTGATGCCACACAGTGATTGCCCAGAGACTCAGCCACACCTAGATACCCTGTCGTCCACTCACAGAGTGTGGAGGATCCACTCAGTCTCACGAGCCTGTCCTGTCCATGGAGAGAACTGAGACATTCCCAGAGCCTGCTGCCTATGGGCGTCTGCCTTGGCAGTTTGAACCCCTGAACCTGTGATATGTTGAGAGCATGGGGGTACCCACAGTCCTATGTGGCTGCCCAGACCCTGTCAATTCCCAGCCAATCTCAAAATCAATAGAGAATGTAGATTTTTCCTCTGGTAAAACCCTCAGTCACAGGTCCACACAAGAGGTGCCACAGCCTCTACTGGTGTCAAAATGTTGCCATCTCCCCAACAGTTGCTGGGCGCCTTTGTGGAGGGATTGAGGCACAAGAAATGTGCTTTTCTTTCACATGATTAGGCAGGTACCCTGCCCTCCACTAGGGCTGCAGACTTGACTCAAAGGCAGTGTGGTCTGTAAGTCCCTCAGGCAATATCACTGGCGGCCCATCTGCTCTCCCCTCCCTCTCCAGAGCTAAGTGTGCCCTCCAGCTTCCCGCTGCGGCAGTTCTGTGTGGTTTGCGTGACCATTGCTCTGCAGCCACACAGTCCACACTGTTCCATGGCGTCCGTCTTCCCTCTGCAGTATTTCTATTGTAAACTTTCTCCAGCTCTCCACTGGGAATGCACTGCTTCCGCTTTTCTTCTGCTGTTTTCTCCCCTCATCAAAAGCAGTACGTCTTTTCCTTGCTCAGCCATCTTGGAATCCCCTGACCTCCAGCTTTTGTGTGTGTTTCTGCCTGGAGGAGTGTGTGGAGGTTCTGGCAAGTACTTATCTCTGACCAAAACAAGGGTAAGGGGCTTGGGGCTTGGGGTTACCTGAGGATCTTTGGTGAATATTTCCTCTGTAGGCTGCTATGTAAGAAACAACAATTTGGTTACATTTAGAATTGCTATCCACCCCGTCTCCCACATATTTACTAGGGTACCTGGAATAATGCCAGGCCCATGAAAAGAATCCAGCAAATCATTCCTTATTAATAGAAAGATAAAATGGCCTTGGCCTAATGAAAAAGAACCATGTAAACAAGGATGATTATGAGGCCTTTTGTTAGACAGTTGTGAATATAGATCAAAAGAAAACTATCACAAAGAAACACATAACAGAAGCTCATTGTCTGATGTAAAATCACATGTTTGTCACTGCAGTTCATTGCATTCAGCTTTATACTTTGCACTGTGACTGGAAGCACATTGTGTTACAATTATCTGTGCTGTACCATCCATTTGTAGACTATGTTGTACAGTGGCACTGGGGTCAGTAATCGTGTCTTTGCAAGATGTTAATAGGGAAGTTCTGAAAAAAATGTTTTAAGGTTAGGTCTAGGAAATTCTGTGTAACCGAAGTTAAACAGGTTCCTGTACTGTAGGATCCCCAGAGGCCTTACTCAGAATATTCATTGTGAAACCCCAAAGTGAGGTATAGTATGTAACTTTTCCTCAATGTTCCCAACTAAATCAGTTGTTCAAGGCACATCTTTCACTTTTTACAGAACAGTGTTGCCTAGGATAGTTTTGGAAACATTAGTGTAACAAAATAAAGAAATAATGCATTTAAGATGTAAACCTAGCCATATATATGGAATACTGTGTAAGAATTAAAGGAGGGAGGTTAAGATGTTGTTTGGTCATCGGCATCCCATATTGAAATGCCTGTGTTTCAGTCCTGGATCCACTAGCAATTCCAGCTTCCTGCTATTATGCACCTTGAAGGCAGCAGGTGAGGGCTCAAGTTCTTGAGTCTCTGCTACCTATGTAGGAGACCAGGATTGAGTTCCAGACTCTTGCTTTGGCCTGGCACAACCCTGGCTCTTGCAGGCATTTGGAAAGTGAGAGAGCACATGGAAGATCTCTGTCTCTCTGCCTTTCAAATAAAATGAAAATAAATAATTTTTTAAAAAGAAGTGGGAGAAACTAGAGAAATGTTGAACTTCCTGATTTTAATGTCTGGTGCATAGTGTGAATCAAGAGTTCATTTTTCTGGAAAATTGCTTTGTGCAAATGAATGCTTTTCTAGTATTATATGTCCAATTTAAACTGAATAATTTTATATCATTTTATTTTGCTCTTATAGTGAAAAACAAAATAAAATATCGAGCTGAAGCCTGTATAAAAATGCAAAAAACTATTCGAATGTGGCTTTGCAAAAGGAGACACAAACCTCGGTAAGATGGGTAGTACGTAAAGAACCTTACAAAACTGAATTACCTTAATACAAAGTGGAAATACAGTCATAATGGAAAACACTTTTGATTCTCAAGGTCTTCGCTTATGTTCTTTGTAGCATGATTATAATCGTCTGCTTGTAAAATTTGAAATTAGTTTATTCATTCGTTATTTCGTTCCTTATCTCAGTCTACAAATTTGAAGTGGTTTTTGAAAACCTCTCAATATGGCCTTTTGTTGGAAACCACCATCTTCTAGTAATTTGCTTAAATGACAGACAAAAAGGGAAAGAGGAGAAGCACCCACTCCTTACATGTTCTCTGGCCCTTTTTGTAAAACATGGAGTTGTTGCTTTGGCCACATACATTGAATATACAAGAAAGGTAACATTGTGGGCATCAGGGGGAATGTGTATGATTCAAAAAGAAAAACTCATAAACATCACCGTTGCAATACAGGAGGAGTCTCAGTATTACTCAGCCTGCTTTTGCCATTGCTATAAAGAGACAGGGGCAAGATTCAGGCCAGGAGAATCAATGTACCTATTGAGCATATTAAGTACTCTTAAGGATTGAGATGGCTTCCCGAAATGTGTGAAGGAAAATGATCAGAGAAAGAAGGAAGCCAAAGAGAAACATCCCTGAGTTCAACTAAAGCACCAGCCTGCCCAACCTAGAGAAGCCCACTTTGTCAGAACCAGTGGAAAGGACCCTGAGTTGCTGGAACCTGTTCCCTATGAATGTATTGGATAATAAGTGTAAAATAAATAAAAATTAAATCAATAGCCTATGAACTGATAAAACAAAAACCATCAATATTATTTTAATAATTTTCAAGATTGTAGTAAGTACATTTTGTCTCATTGTAAATTTCATCTTTATTTCTTATTTTAGTTTTTCACTTTAATTTAGACATTTTAAACTTGAAAGTCTGAATAATTATTGATCTGTCATGCCCTTTCAAAGAGATTAGGTAACTTCTTTAAGTTCTCTAATTTGAATTCTGCAAGTTTTAATCTAAATACAGAGGATTTCATTGACAGGTATCAGTGTCATTCATACTCGTATTTGATTCTTTTTATCCTCAATACAAGATCTGAAGAAGAGAATACTAAATAATATTGAAAGCAAAAGTGAAATATTCTGATTAGCAATATCTGTTTGGCATTTTATTATTGAAAAAAAATTTACCTAAAGCATTGAATAATACAGTTAAACTCTGATGAAGTATTTTCCTTACAGTATTGATGGCCTGGTTAAGGTGGGCACACTGAAAAAACGACTTGATAAGTTTAACGAAGTAGTAAGTGCATTGAAGGATGGAAAACTGGAGATGAACAAACAGATCAAAGATCTTGAAATTTCTATTGATGCTTTGATGACCAAAATTAAGGTATGTAATTTTAATGCAAGTGGCTTTCAGTTTTTTACAGGGATGCGTGTTCTGAAAAAAGTTATGGAAAGATTTCAAAATGTTTTTTGCACCAAAATAAGCTTATCTTTTAATTCCATTTCCCGTGAAATTTTTTTTTTTCATTTGAGATGCAGAGAGACTGAGACAGAGTGTGCTTCTTTCCTCTGGTTCACTCCCCCATGCCCAGAATGCAGGCACTCGATTACCTGAGCAATCAGCACTGCCTCCCAGGATCTGTATTAGCAGGAAGCCAGAATCAGGAGCAAGAGCCAGGAATGAAAAGTTGGGAATCAAACCCAGATACTATGATGTGGGATATAGACCTTTTAACCACTTGACTAAGTGTCTGTCCCTCCTATACTCTATATATTAGCTACCACAAATCAAAGAAAACATATGATATTTGTCTTTTTGGGATCTGGCTTATTTCACTAAACATAATGGTCTAGAATTGCCTCCATTTTGTTGCAGAAGACAGTATTTCATTCTTTTTTTATGGTTGAATAGTATTCATTAATGTATATATTCCATATTTTCTTTATCCAGTCATCAGTTGATAGACATAGCATATATCTTTTTAAATATTTATTTATTTATTTTAAGATTTGTTTATTTATTTGAAAGGCAGAGTTAACAGAGGGGCAGAAGCAGAGAGAGAGAGATATCTTCCATCTGCTGGTTCACTCCCCAAATGGTTGCAACAGCTGGAGCTGGGCTGATCCAAAGCCAAGAGTCAGGAACTTTCCCATGCAGGTGTAGGGGCCCAAGGACTTGGGCCATCTTCCACTGCCTTCCCAGGCCATACCAGGGAGCTAGATCCGAAGTGGAGCAGCCAGGACTCAAACTGGCACCCATATGGGATGTTGGCACTGCAGGTGGTGGCCGCATCCACTAAGCCACAGTGCTGGACCTGAGTCTGTGTCTTAAAGCTGTTGTGAATTGAGCTGCTATAAACATGGGGGTACAGATAACTCTTTTATGTGGTGATTTTATTTCCTTTGTGTATATTCTTGGGTGTGGGTTGGCTGGGTTATATCGTAGATCTCTTTTCAAACTTCTGAGGAATCTCCATGCTGACTTCCATAATGGTTGTACTAGTTCACATTCCCAACAAACTGTGTATTTTGATACCTTTTTCTCCACACCCTTGCTGGCAATTTTTATTTTTTTACTTTTGGATGATAATCATTCTAAGTGGGTTGAGGTGAAACCTCATTGTAGTTTTTATTTGCATTTTCCTAATGGCTAATGCTCCTGAGCATTTTCTTTCTTTCTTCATTTCTTCTTAAAGATTTATTTATTTATTTATTTATTCATTCATTCATTCATTCATTTGAATGCCAGAGTTACAGAGAGGAGAGGCGGTGGTGAGGGATCTTCCATCTGCTGGTTTACTCCCCATATGACTTCAACAGTCGGAGCTAGGCCGATCTAAAGCCAGGAGCCAGGAGCTTCTTCCAGGTCTCTTAAGTGGGTGCAGGGGCCCAAGGACTTGAGCTGTTTTGTGCTGCTTTTTCAGGTCATAACAGAGAGCTGAATTGTAAATGGAGTAGCCAGGACTTCAACCGGTACCCATATGGGATGCTGACACTGCAGGTGGCAGCTTTACCCGCTATGCTAGAGCATTGGCCCCCTGAGCCTATTTTTGTATCTATTGACCATTTGTATTTTATCCTTTGAAAAATTTTTGCCTCTTTGTATCCTTTGCCCATTTCTTAACTGGATTGTTTGTTTTGTTGTAGTTGAATTTCTTGTGCTCTTTTTGTATTCTGGAAATATAAAGGATTAATAATCCTTTATCAGATACATGGTTCTCACATATTTTTTCCCGTTCGGTCAGGTGCCTCTTTGTTGAATGTTTCCTTTGCTGTCCAGGAGCTTCTTAGCTTGTTGTTATCCCGTTTGTCTACTTTTGTTTTTGTAGCTTGTTCTTCTGGGATTTTAGCCAAGAAGTCTTTACCTATGCCAATGCCTTGTAGTGTTTCTCCTATTTTCCTCTAGTAATTTGATGGTGTCAGGTCATAGATTTAGATCCTTGATCCACTGTGAGTTGATTTTTGCATAGAGTTCAAGGTAGAAATCTCATTTCATACTTCTGCTTGTAGAGGTCCAATTTTCCCAACACCATTTGTTGAAGAGACTATCCTTTCTCTAGGGAGTGGTTTTAGCTCCTTTGTCAGAGATTAGTTCGTTGTAGACACATGGATTAGTTTCTGGAGTTTCAGGGCCGTCACTGTGGCATAGCAGGTAAAGCCCCTGCCTGCAGTGCCGGCATCTCATAATGGGTGCCATTTCGAGTCCTGGCTGCTCCACTTCCGATCCAGCTCTCTGCTATTTGCTGGGAAAGCAGTAGAAGATGTCCAAAGTCCTTGGTCTCTTGCACCCGCATGGGAGACCCAGAAGAATCTCCTAGCTCCTGTCTTTGGATCGGCACAGCTCTAGCCATTGTGGCCAATTGGGGAGTGAACCAGCAGATGGAAGACCTCTCTCTAGCTCTCTCTCTGCCGCTCCTTCTCTCTCTTTGTAACTCTGACTTTCAAATAAATAAATAAATAAACCTTTTAAAAATTTTCTGGGGTTTCAGTTCTATTCCACTGTTCAAATGTCTATTTTTGTGCCAGTACCAGGCTGTTTTGATTATAACTGCCCTGTAGTATATCTTAAAATCAGGCATTGTGATGCTTCTGGCTTTGTTTTTTATTGTTTAAGATTGTTTTAGCTACTCAGGGTCTCTTGTGTTTCCACATTAATCTTGGGATTTTTTTTTCTAGAGCTGAGAAGAATGTTCTTAGTAATTTGATTGGGATTTCATTGAATCTATAAATTGCTTTGGGTAGTAAAGACATTTTGATGTTATTAATCCTCCCAATCCATGAACATGGAAGATTCTTCCATTTTTTGGTGTCTTTTATTTCTTTCCGTAATATTTTGTAATTTTCTTTGTGGATATCTTTCACATCCTTTGATAAATTTATTCCAATATATTTAAAAATATTTTTGTAGGTATTGTTAATGGGACTGATCTTTTTTTTTCTCCAAAGAAACATTTTATTTAAGGAATATAAATTTCATAAGTACAACTTTAGGGATATAGCGATTCTTCCCACCATACCTGCCCTCCCACTCACATTCCCTCCCTTCTTCCTCCTCCCTCTTCCATTCCCAGTCCCAGTCTCCATTAAGATTCATTTTAAAATAACTTTATACACAGAAGACCAACTCTATACTAAGTAAAGATTTCAACAGTTTGCACATACGCACACACAAACTGTTTGAGAACAAATTTTACACTTAACTCTCATAATACAACTCACTGATGACAGAGGTCCTGCATGGGAAGTTAGTGCACAGGAACTTCTGTTGTTAATTTAACTATTAACACTCTTATATATGACATCAGTGACTGCCCGAGGCTCATGACATGAGCTGTCTAGGCTATGGAAGCCTGTTGAATCCACAAACCCCATCAGTATTTAGACAAGGCCATAAACAAAGTGGAAGTTCTCTCCTTCCTTCAGAAAAAAAGTACATTCTTCCTTGATGGCCACTTCTTTCCACTGCAGTCTCACAGAGATCCTTCATGTAGAACATTTTTGCCACAGTACCTTGGCTTTCCATTCCTGAAATGCTCTCATGGGCTTTTCAGTTAGACCAAGATACCTTAAGGACTGATTCTGAGGTCAGAGTGCTACTTAAACTGATTGTCATTCCATGAGTCTGCTCTGTGGACTGCTTCCCATGTTAGAATATTCTCTTTTATAATTCTATTGATCCTATTTATTGATTGCTATAATACTTAATCCTATCTATATATTCACTTTAACACTTTATATGGTCACTTTAACACTTAAGATGGCATTTTTACCACCCAGATTAATGGATTTGGAGTACCATGGCAAGTTCTTAACCCTTAGAAGTAAGTCTGTAGGAATGTATGCAAAACTATACAGCTTTACAGTTACATTCCTCTTCCCTGTCTTATTCCCACTCTTATTTTTTACTGAGATCTATTTTCAATTGACTTTATACGCATATGAATAACCCAGTGTTAAGTAGAGTTCAACAGATAGTATGAAGAAAAAAACTGTTTCTCAACAGTCAAGACAAGGGCTGTTCAAGTCATTGCTCCTTGAAGTGTCAATTTTACTCCTAAAGATTTCCTTTTAGGTGCTCTATTAATTCCCACATATCAGGGAGAACATACGGTATTTGTCCCTTTGGGACTGGCTTATTTCACTAAGTATGATGTTTTCCAGATTCATCTATTTTGTTGCAAAAGGCAGGATTTCATTTTTTTTTTTACCACTGTGTAGTATTCAGTAGTGTACATATCTCATATTTTCTTTATCTAGTCTTTGTTTGATGGACATTTAAGTTGATTCCGTGTCTTAGCTATTGTGAATTGAGCTGCAGTAAACATGGGGGTGCAGATAACTCTTTTATTTACTGGTTTCATTTCTCTTGGATAAATTCCCAGGAGTGGGATGGCTGGGTCATATGGTAGGACTATATTCAGATTTCTGAGGTATCTCCATACTCTTCTATAGAATGGGACTAATCTTACAAGTTCTTTCTCAGCTGTGCATTCATTGTTTGTGTATAGAAAAGCTATTGATTTTTGTATGTAGATTTTATATTCTACAATTTTGCCAAACTCTCTTATGAATTCCAGTAGTCTGTTAGTAGTCTTTTGGTTCCCCGGTATATGGGATCATATCTTCTGCAAATAGGGAAAATTTGACTTCATCTTTTTCAATTTGTGGGCCTTTGATTTTTTTTTTCTTGCCTAATGGCTTCTGGATAAAACTTCCAGAGCTATACTGAATAGTAATGGTGAGAGTAGGTATCCTTGTCTGGTTCCAGATCTTAGTAGAAATGTTTCCAACTTTTCCCCATTCAATATAATGCTGACTGTGTGTTTGTCATGAATTACCTTTATTGTGTTGCGGAATGTGCCTTCCATACCCAGTTTGCTTCAGGTTTTCATCATGAAAACATGTTGTATTTTTTTTTTAATCTTTTTTATTTTTGACAGGCAGAGTGGACAGTGAGAGAGACAGAGAGAAAGGTCTTCCTTTTTGCCATTGGTTCACCCTCCAATGGCCGCCGTGGCCGTCACATCGCGCTGATCCGAAGGCAGGAGCCAGGTGCTTCTCCTGGTCTCCCATGTGGGTGCAGGGCCCAAGCACTTGGGCCATCCTCCACTGCACTCCCGGACCATAGCAGAGGGCTGGCCTGGAAGAGGGGCAACCGGGACAGAATCCGGCGCCCCGACCAGGACTAGAACCCGGTATGCCGGTGCTGTAAGGTGGAGGACTAGCCTATAGAGCTGCGGCGCCGGCCTGTATTTTTTTTTTTCAAGATTTATTTATTTATTTATTTATTTGAAAGAGTTGCAGAGACATGGAGAGACAGAGAGAGAGATAATGTCTACCCACTTGTTCCCTCCCCAGATGGTCAGGGCTCGGCCAGGCTGAAACCGGGAGCCAGGATCTTCTTCCAGGTCTCCCACGTGGGTACAGGGAGACAAATGCCATCCTTGCTTTCCCAGGCCATTATCAGGGAGCTGGATCAGAAATGGAGCAGCTTGGACATCAAGCGGTGCCTGTATTAGATGTTGGCATCACAGTCAGCAGCTTTACCCACTGTGCCACAGTGCTGGTCCTGAAGGGATGTTGTATTTTTATCAAATGCTCTATCTGCATTCATTGAGATAATCATATGGTTTTTCTCCTTCAATTTGATAATGTGATATATCACATTTATTGATTTGTTTATGTTGAACCATCCCTGCATCCCCTCAGATAGAAAGTATTTTCAGTCCTTCTAGTTAATCAAATGAATTTTGAAGCACAAAGATACTTTTTTATATAAATATTTATTTATTTATTTGAAAGGCAGAGTTACAGAGAGGTAGAGGCAGAGAGAGAGGGTCTTCCATCTGATGGTTCACTCCTCAGATGGCTGCAATGGCTGGAGCTGCACCAATCTGAAGCCAGGGAGCTTATTCCTGGTTTCCCACATGGGTACAGGGGCCCAAGTACTTGGGGCATCTTCTGCTGCTTTCTCAGGCCATAGCAGAGAGCTGGATTGGAACTGGAGCAGCCAGGACTTGAAATGGTGCCCATATGAGATGCTGGCACTGCAGGCGGGCCTTTACCCGCTCTGCCACAGCACCAGCCCCAGACTTTTTTTTTCCTGCAAAAGTTGGCAGGAAATGAATTGTTGCTTTCCTAACAGTTAAGTAAATTATGTTATAGGCTCTATAAAGCCAATGTATTCGCATGAACATGTCATGTAACATAATATATGTCTTTTAACATAATATATATAAGAACTGTTTAAAAATACATGCATAAACAAAATGGAGCAAGTTGGAAAACCTCATACTTAGTGAAATAACCCAGTCCCAAAGAGACAAACACCATATGCTCTCTGATTTGGGAGAATTAATAGCATAGCTAAAATGAAAGCTATAGAAGTGAAATTGTCACTTTTAGAATCAATGTCTTCAAGAATCCTTGACCTGATTGTCGAGAGACAGTTTACCATTGTTACTTTTTACTGTGTATATCCTTTTTGTTTTGTTTGTTTTTTTTCTCTGTTTTCTTTCTTCCTCTCTCATTTCTCTACTTCACACTATATGCTGAACTCTCTATGTAACAGAGTTAATTATATGTGTTTTAAGGCAATTGGAATAAGATCCTAGTTAAAAATAAGAGGGAATAAGATATGGAGGAGGTAGTCTAAAACTGTAAAACAGTATAGTTCTGCATACAGACATCTAGACTTACCTGTCAGGGTACAGCCTAAGAACTAATCATGGGCCTCCAAACCTATAAGAATCGGTGGTATAAACACCATATTCACTGTTACAATGATCATATTAAATGTTAAAGGCAACAGAGAGGCTGATCTAAGTTTAAAAGGGGCAATATAAATAACATCAAGTACCCGGTAAAAATAATAGAATTAGAAAGGAAGGAAGGACCAACATGGGAAGCAGTCCACACAGCAGACTCCTAGAATAACTTTCTCAGTAAATAACACTCTACTTCAGAATCAACCCATAAGGCTTCCTGGTCAGGTTGAAAGGCCTGTGAGAGCATTTCAGGCATGGAAAGGCAAGACTCTGTGACAAAAAAACATAAAACATGCTGCACAGAGGATCTCTGTGATACCTCAGAGGAAAGAAAGTGTCATCAGAGAAGGAAACACTCTTCTCTGAAGGGAGAAAGAGAATATCCACTTTGCTTATGACTGTGTCCAAATAATGACAGTCTGTGGTCACAAAAGGCCTCCATAGCCTTGGCAGCCCATGACAAGAGCCTTGGATGATCACTGACATCATAAAAAAAGTGTTAATTGTTAAAGGAACAACAGTAGTCACTGTGCACTTGCTCCCCAGGCAGGACCTCTGTCCCTATTGAATTGTAATATGAGAATCAACTGCAAATTCTCTCTCCAAACTGTTCTATATGTTGTGTGTGGGCATGGTGACAAATTGTTGAAGTCTATGATTAACATAGAGTTGGTCCTCTATTTTAGTTGGTACTAAAAATGATCCATAATGAAGAAGGAGATAGGAGAGGGAATGGGAGGTGGGATGGGAACGAGGAGGGGGGGTATGGGGGAAAGAACCACCATATTCCTAAAGTTGTATCTATGTAAAAATAGCATTCATTAAATAAAAATTACAAAATGAAAAAATATATATGCATATAAAATAAGACTCTATGGGAGGAAGTTTGGCCTAGGAGTTAAATGCAAGTTAAGATGCTCATTTCCCATGTCAGGGTACCTGGGTTCAATACCCAACTCAGATTCCTGACCCCATCTTCCTGCTAATGCAAATACTGAAAGTAATGACGGGTCCCTGCCTCCTAAGTGAGAAACCTGGATTGTGTCCTCAGCTCCCAGCTTTGACCTGACCCAGCCAGACCATTGTAGGTATTTGGGGAGTGAACCAGCAGCTTGAAACTTTGTTTCTCTACCTCTTAAATACATTTTAGATAATTAAATTAAAAAAAAAAACTGTAAAGGGGAAATATAATCAGTGCTTGTTTGTTAATGATAGTTCATCTATCCCTTTATATCAGTTGAATTTTGTCTCAATGTTTTTCTTAGCTAATTTCTGTCATAGGTTAGTGGAATTATATGGGATATAATAAATACCCTAAAATGAGCTTTTTATCATATCAAGTATTTTATATTGACAATGATGAATCCTGGAGAAAGGATAAAAAAGATCTGGTATTATTTAATACACAAAAAGTATAGCAAAGACAATGGGATTCTTGCTTCCCAACTTCCCAGTTTTTGATATATATGTATATATTGGAATATTTTTCTATTCTTTTTTAAAATATTTATTTGAAAGGTTGGGTCACAGAGAGAAAGAGAAACAGAGAGAGAGAGTGGAGGGTGGGATCAATCTTCCAACTGCTGGATCACCCCCCAGATTGTAGCAGCAGCCAGGGCTGGGCCAGGCAGAAGTCAGGAGTCTGGAATTCCATCTGGGTCTCCCATGTTTGTGCAGGGGCCCACGCACTTGGGCCATGCTCCGCTGCTTTCCCAAGTACATTAGCAGGGAGCTGGATCAGAAGTGGAGCAGCTGGGACTCAAACCACTGCCCATATAAGATGCTGGTGTTGAAGGCAGGTGTTTTATCTGCAATACCACAGTGCTAGCCCTGGAATATTTTTCTTAATTGTGGTAAAATACTTGTAACATTAACTTTATCATCATAGACATTTTCAGAATTACAGTTTAGTACTGTTAAGTATATTCACATTTAGTAGAAGAGTCAACTTTTAAAGCACATGTTTATTATTTTGTTTTCTAAGTCTACTATGATGACAAGGCAGCAAATACAGAAAGAATATGATGCCCTAGTGAAAAGCTCAGAGGAACTCCTCAGTGCGTTACAGAAAAAAAAACAGCAGGAAGAGGAAGCAGAAAGGCTGAGGCGCATTCAAGAAGAAATGGAAAAAGAAAGAAAAAGACGTGAAGAAGATGAGCAGCGTCGAAGAAAAGAGGAGGAGGAAAGGCGAATGTAAGGCATTAAGGCGTGTATATTGCTGTCTGCATTGTAAAAGGGAGAATAGTGCATTCTTGCCCATATTCTTCTTTTAATAAGCTGATTTTAGAATAAGTATGAAAGTTAGGGAAGCTCGTAACGATAACAGAAACTGCTTTAATTTTTTAAAATTTTAAAAAAGATCTATTTATTTGAAAGGAAGAGTTACAAAGAGAGAAGTAGAGAGAGATATTTCATTTGCTGGTTCACTCCTCAAATGGCCACAGTTGGCCAGGACTGGGTCAGGCTGAAGCCAGGAGCCAGGAGCCTGGAGCCAGAGGCTCACGTACTTGAGCCATCCTCCTCTGCTTTCCCAGGCACATTATCAGGGAGCTGAATTGGAAGTGGAGCCACCCCAACTGGTGCTCTCAAAGATGCTGATATTTGCAGGCGGTGGCTTTACTCTCTGTGCCACAATGCTGGCCCAATAAACTGCTTTTAAATATAATTTGAATTTTGGTTCTACTTTTATACTTGAATATTTCTTAAATAATTCTTAAAGCTGTGACTTGTATATTTTATGAGCTGTAAAGAACTTGCTTTTGTTTTTGCAGTTTTGAAACTGATAGCATTTTAGAGGATTGTGATGGTAAGGTAGAGTTTAGTTGGTGAAGGAGTAGAGGGCTCTTACTTCTAGCCTTTATAACCAACTTAAACTTAGAGATGTTAAACATTATAGAATATAATTGTATTTATGTTTGCTTCATTTAAGAAACATGGGGTGGGCCGGCGCCGCAGCTCACTAGGCTAATCCTCCGCCTAGCGGCGCCGGCACACCGGGTTCTAGTCCCGGTCGGGGCGCCGGATTCTGTCCCGGTTGCCCCTCTTCCAGGCCAGCTCTCTGCTGTGGCCAGGGAGTGCAGTGGAGGATGGCCCAGGTGCTTGGGCCCTGCACCCCATGGGAGACCAGGATAAGCACCTGGCTCCTGGCTCCTGCCATCAGATCAGCGCGGTGCGCCGGCCGCAGCGCGCTGGCCGCGGCGGCCATTGGAGGGTGAACCAACGGCAAAGGAAGACCTTTCTCTCTGTCTCTCTCTCTCACTGTCCACTCTGCCTGTCAAAAAAAAAAAAAAAAAAGAAACATGGGGTGGGCCAGTGTTGTGGTGCAGCAGGTTGAGCTGCTGCTTGGTATGCCCATATCCCATATCTGAGCAGGTGCTCCAGCTTCCTGTTGACATACCTGGAGGCAAGCAGATGAGGCCTGCCATGTGGGAGACCTAGATGGCTCCTGGCTTTGCCCTGGCCTAGCCCCTGCTATTGTGGGTAGTTAGGATGTGAACCAGCAAATCAAAGATTGATCTCTTTCTCTATTTCTCTCTTTCTCTCTGTGTGTATGTACATATAGGTGTCTATCTCTCCCTCTGTCATTGTTACTCTGACTTTAAAATAAGTAAATCTTCAAAAAATTACTGTCAGTAGAATTTGATTTTATTTTATTCAAAATAAAGTGATGACTTGGACTGCCAGGAGGTTAACTTGAGCTCCCAATTCCATTACATTGTTCATTAATAGTTAAACTGCCTTTCAAAGGATCTTTTATTTTGAAGAGTCTTCTGCTTTTTCTTAGGAAGCTTGAGATGGAAGCAAAGAGAAAGCAAGAAGAAGAAGAGAGAAAGAAAAGGGAAGATGATGAGAAACGTATCCAGGTAAGTTCTTAATGAATTTCTATTGAAACAGAATATGCAAAATTATAAAAGAAGTGAAAATGAGGTCTCAGTTTGCTTGATAAGCTCTCACTGGTTTATCCCAGACACCAAAGGCAGTTTCTGCAGTGGTTGTGGAAAAGGGCATTAGAGTTAGAGAGGTGAGTTCCAATGCAGGCTCTGTTACTGACAGAAATTGTGTGTTGTGTACATCACAATGAGTAATGCTGGCTACAGTTTTCTCTCTGTAGCAGGGGGATAGACAATTGTAAGCATTAATTGAATTAATACACATTAAGCATTTTAAAAAGAAACATGTCTACAAATACTTGATCATGTATTTGTGTTTTTGTTTGTGTTGGCTTTCATAATATATCCTAAGCCTAACCAACACTTAATTTCTGCCATCCGCTGTCCAGGTGTTGGGTGTTAATGTGATACCTAGGATACTCAAGTGATGTTTGGGGTATTGATAGAATGGTGAAACCATGGTTCTTCTCCCTTCTCTTAGGTTTGGAAAAGAGGAAAGATACACATGTGTTTGAAGCATTAATCATAATATAGAAGACTATAGAGACTGAACAGAGTTGTAGTTAAAATCTATATATTCCTTAGTACTTGTGTGGAATGATTAAGGTTTTTTAAAAGATTTGTTTATTTATTTGGAAGACAGAGCTACACAGAGATAAAGGGAGAGAGAGAAAGAGAGATTGATTGATTTCTCTGCTGGTTCACTCCCCAGATGCCTGTAAGGGGTGGGAGTGGGCCAGGCTGAAACCAGGAGCCAGGAGCTCCATCTGGGTCTCCCACGTGGGGGGCAGAGGACTGAGGACTTGAGCCATCATCCACTGCTTTCCCAGCAGGGAGTTGGATGGGAAGGGGTTCGAACCAGCACTGAAATATAGGATGCTGGCATCACAGACGGGCCTGGAACTTTTTGTTTGTTTGTGTTTTTTTTTTTTTTTTTTTTTTTTTTTTTTTTTAAAGTAATAATGTGAGTGGCCTAGTCAAAAGTAAAGAACTCGTGGTGACATGGCTCTTTGTCTTTGTCAGGCTGAAGTGGAGGAACAGCTGGCCAGGCAGCGGGAGGAGGAATCCCAGCAACAAGCAGTTCTGGAACAGGAGCGCAGGGACCGGGAGCTGGCCCTGCGGATAGCCCAGAGCGAAGCTGAGCTCATCAGCGACGAGGCCCAGGGCGACCTAGCGCTTCGGAGGTATGGGGCCCTGGGTGTGGTGTGGCAACCTCTCCTTTGCTTTCCATCACCTTCCTATTTGTTACTTCCATGTGAAAGGGATAGGAGAACCATATTTGTTGTGTCTTCATATTTGAAGTAAAATCATTTTTAATGTGTGTGTCCACTTTTATACACAAGTGAATGAAACAATTGATTTTCCATAAAAGTTTTAAATTTTTTAAAATTAATAACAGAAAATTCAGTTAATCAGTACTGTTAAAAAAAACTTAACTTTTATTCTGAAACCATATATTGCATAGACAACTGATTTCTAAATACCTGTCCTCAGACACTGAGTATAGATCTCAGTGACTTTACGATAAAACAGTTTAATATGTTTAAATTTTTTTTATTTTACTAATTCAAATTTTTAAAAATATATCATATACTCTAATACTTGAAATGAGGAGAAATTTACCTTCCAGTGCTTCAGGGTAATGGGTTTCCCTTTCCCAGGCAAGAATGTTAATTACATTGAAATACTTTGGTGCCTGAGCTTTCCACATTACCTCTAAATACTATAGTGGAGTGTGGAGGAATATGCAGTGTGGTGTTCAGCTTTTCATTACCACACTGGCAAATAACTTTATAAAGGGAAAAGGCTTATTGAACTCAGTTTTGGAGGTTCAAATGCAGGATCAATGGGCCCATTGGTTTGGCCTCTAATGAGGATGTCAGTAGTGGAGCATGGAGCATACAGGGAGGAAGTATCACATGGCAAGCCAGGAAGCAGAGACATGGGGTCCCACTCAGCCATTATAACCTACCTTCTTGCAAGAATTATCTTCCAAGGATGCATTCCTAATAATCTAAAGATCTCCCACTAGGCCCACCTCCTAAAAGCCATAATTGCATTAAGTTTCCATCCTGTTAAAAACTGATGGTTTGGGAGTTTAAACATCTGCATGAGTTCAAGAGCCAAACCATTGCATATAAGTTCTTAATATTTTACAGGAAGTTGAAGGAAAGTTTTAATATCTTTCATTTAAAAAGTTAGAATGTAAAATCACTAGTTTAAAATTTTTTAAAGATTATTTAGTTGAAAGGCAGAAGTACAGAGAGATTTTCCTTCTGCAGGCTCACTTACCAAATGGCTACAATGACTGGGGCTGCGCCAGGCCAAAGCCAAGAGCCTGGAGCCCCATCCAGGCCTCCCACATGGTTGTCAGGGACCCAAGCACTTGAGCCATAGTTACTGCTTTCCCAGACACATTATCAGGGAGCTGGATTGGAAGTGGAGCAGCTGAGACTGGAACCGGGGCTCATATGGGATGCAGGCATCATGGACAGTAGCTTAACCTGCTGCATCACCATGCTGGCCCCTAATTATTTATTTTTTAAAAGAAGCAAAACTCGTTTGGAGGGTCCCTTTATTTTTATGTGTGTATGTTATGTATATGCTGAAAGGCACATGGAAAGTATTTATAACCAAGCTTTTCAGAACTTGAGAGCAGTTTATGACAAAAATTTAGTGTAAGCGCACCACTAGATGGAGATATTTCCTTGTGAACAGAAAAAAACCTTGGTTCAAATCACATGGTAATGGCAATTCTAATTGTTAGATTTTATTTAGCTGAAAACAAAGATAAGGAAGGAAAAGGGTGTGTTAAATTGTCTTCACACTTTTTCTAGAAAGTCATCATTTTGTGAAGCTCAAAATTTTGAATTGTACATGAAAGTGTATTACTTGTTAATTGAACCAAATAGGCTCATGCAAACAAAATGTATTATAATTGTTAAACTGTTGGATTTGGTCCCAGTATTTTTACTCTTTATGGACATTTCATTGTAATTAGAATATTTTAGCCCTGCCATGGCTTTTGTAAATGTATTCTCAGTTCAGTTGGGACCTGTTCCTTCTGCCCGTGTTACATTGGAGTGGCTGGAACCCCTTATTAAGTGTAGCTGCCTAGCAGCGAGGCCAAGCTCTTAAATGAACCTTACAGATGCCACCCCTGATGTCTGTGAGGAAGCACTGCAGTTGGCAGAGCTGAATTTATCATGGCCAAAGTTCATTCCTAAGGGACTTGTTAATGCAGCCCTTATTGGTACTCATTGCCAAAGTTTGTATTTAAGCATTTGAAAAATTAAGCTATGTCCAGTGTCAGTTCCACACACTGTGTACTGCCATCTGGCTCAGACGTGGACTTCTTCCTCAGAAAGGTGTACCTCTTCCAGGGTGAGTAGTCTCTGAGAGAGTGGGCCATTTAGGACCTTTAGTGTGAATGAGGAGTTCCCTAAGATTTTTAAGTTAAGTAGAATTAGCTCCACAGTAGGACCTGTGTTAAGTAGTGGGAAGATATCCAAGCTATTGTGACTTAAAAGGCAGAAGAGTTAGTTCTGCAGTGGGACCCACAGCCCTTAAGGGTGGTATTCTCCCCTTTGGAATGCCCTTGGAAGTCCTGTCAACTCTCTTCAAGGAGGCATTCTTTGACTGTAGGGTCCTCTTGAGCTCGTTCTTGCTGCCCCCTTATGTTTATTTTATACCCAGTACTATTAGCATTAGCACAAAAGTATGAGTGATGTTCCATATAGGTGTTTTCCTCTTTGACAGTTTAATCTTACTCCGTGAGCTATAACTAAAACTTTTGAATACTTATGGAATCATTTCTGTAGTAAAATTAGAACTCTGAAGTAAATTGCTTCTTAATATGTAGTGTAAAAATGTTGTTCTTAAGTTCTGTGGTATATTTTTTTAAAGTATGAATGGATTATTCTGTATTGAACAATTTTAAGTTACTTTTCCAGCTTGGATTCCTATCCGGTAACTTCTAAGTAAGAACTATTTTCCATGTAACTATTTTCCACATATATGTTTTAAAATATAATCCAAACATATGATACTTGAGAGAAAGTGATGGTTCCAAATTATATGAGATTATAAAGTAATAACCAAATTCTTAAAAAATAAATCTCACAGTGCATGAACATTCCAATCTAGATGTAATATGCTTACTCTTTAATTTTTACTGAATGCCTTTAATGCATTCTTCCCTAATCATTTTAATGATTTGAAAATGTATTAAAAATTAAAATGATCTCACATGTTGATGAAAAAAATTGAATTTTCCAAATCAATGAGTAAAATAACTAAAACACAAATTTGCACAATCCCAGATTTTCACAATTCCAAGTTGGTTGTGATAGTAATTAAAATATATTCTCTTCACAGAAATGATGGCACAAGACCAAAAATGACACCGTATGTGGATATATTATATTATGTATAATATAAATATATTATATCCTAATATGGATGTAGTAGGGGAGTAGTTTCCTTATTGTATTAAGTTTTTAAAAGGTTTAGTTTGTAACATGTTCCATATACTTAGTAATACAATTCTCAGAATACAATATAATGATACTCCCTTCCTTTTTCCCTCCCTCCTCATCCCTTCTTCCCTCTCCCTTTCTCTCTTTTTAATTTTTGAGAACACATATTTTAAATTTACATTATAGTAAAGACAGGCTTAATGCTTCACCAAAAAAAGAAGTCTAACAAGTACAAACCAGAAGACCCTAGTTCAGTGGGAAATAGGCAATGGCGATAAACAGTAATTGAATGGAAAAATGACCATTTCACCCATACACAGTAAATTTTAAAGTAATGACAAATCATTAAAATTATAGTGGTATAACATTCTTAACCATTGGTTTGACAGAGGTATAAAACAAAGTTTTACAAAACTGTGTTTTAAATTTTTGTCTTTATTAAAAGAGAATTAGATAAATCATCATTTCTTCACCTTTTTCTTGCTGTGGAAAAATACCCATTTTGTTTTAAGTGTTTTTAAGTTTCCCTTACATCCTATCTTTAGAAGCAGGTGTGCACATATAAATAAGAATAAGGGAAATACTTAGTTTTTGGCATTTAGGGTAGTTCATTCTAGAAATACCTAAACTAGGTCATAATCTCCAGCTACATGCATGGATTTCAAGTTTTTTTGCACCAGAAATCCCCTTATCTTTTAATTCCATTTTTTCCACAATCTTTTGAAGTACCTGCTCTATGTAATGCTAATTTTAGTGATAATGTATCTTTTTGTAGGAAAATTTCTCTGCAGAGAATCCTAGTAACATGAATTAAAAAATACATTTTGTATATATTTTGCACATATTTGATTTTTGCATATAAAATTTGTATGTGATATGTGTATATTTATATGCACTTTTGAAGTATATGTAGTCTGAATTTTAACACCTTTAAAGGATGGCAACTGTAGCCTTTATAGTTGTTATTGACTCTGTTAGGATCCTATACCAAAACAAATGTTTTGAAAAATGATGCAGCCTACATAAATAATTCTCTCCAAGTATCACATGTAAAAGAGGAAAAAAAGGGTAACATTTATAATAAAATATGTTAATTTATTTTAATGTGAAAGTATTTGCACATCACTGCAGCAGGAGACATAATCAAGTAATCCCATTTTGACTTATGCAGAGAATCACCATGAATGCTGCAGCTACAAAAGCAAATTCTAAGAATATTGTAGCAAGCACACAAATGCCATGAAATTATAAATTGTCCTTTGTAAAGTTCTACACAGATTGTACACAGTGCAATGTCCTCTCCATTACAACGTATTTGCATCACTAGAAAAATTCTGTAGATAAGGAAGCCATTTAAAAATATGTTGTTTACATGTAAAATATGTTTTACGTGTAAAATGGATATTTGTATTTGAGGGTACTTCAGAAAGTACATGGAAAATGTGTATTGGAAAAAAAAGCTGCATGAATTTAAAAATTTTTTGTACCAAACTTATCTTTTAATTCCATTTTTCATGAACTTTTTGGACACTTGTATGTGTGTTTTACCTGTTTGGTGGACATGTTCAAGTTACACTTAAAGTATCTCTATTATTGCCCTGCATTAGAATAATTGCTTCATTAGTTACTATTTGAACTTGTGTATTTAGCCTTGCAACCAATATCTAAAGGTGAAAGTATGATCATTTTCATGTAATTTAGTAAAATCAGAAGGAAAAAAACATCTAGTGAATTTGGTGAAGTGTATTTGGTATAGATTAAGTGTATCTTGATGTGGGCTCAAGTATGATAATGACTCAGTGGAGACTGCCATACAGTGCAGTATCAAAGCATACAAAGAAATCTATATGACCAACTGAGCAGGTGTCAAGAACTGTTAAAGGCCATGAGCTCCCTGCTGTGGGAAAAGAAATGAAGGAAGTTTTAGGAGAAAGAGGTGATAAAACAACCATGCTCTGGATACTGAGACAGAAATCTCAAGGTGGGGTGATAATAGAATTAAAAATACCTACCAAAGTCTTGCTAAGTTTGGAAGAAAATTCTGAGAAACTACTAACTTAAAGAAAGAATGATAAATGTATTTTTCAAAAGGTAATTTTATTATATTTGTTTATTGTTATGAAAGACTGCTTTTTCTCTAAACTATGCTTGCTTGGATAGCCTCCACCCCCATCAGTAATTAATTGTAGCCAATGTTCATGACAAGGAAAGAATACAGGAGTCCTCCACTTTTAAAGTCTGAATCTTGGTGGGCAGGAAACTGCCTGAAGCTAATATATCAATCATGTTTTCTTACGGCTTTTACTGATTTGTAAGGTTTTGAAGTTGTCAGAATCTGATGAATAAAATGAGTGGGAAATGATTAATTATGAAGCAAAAGAGCAAAGGGCAGGAAAATAAAGTTAGCAAAGGGTGGATGAACAAGAGGAAGCTTCCATCCCATTCCACCAAGTTAAACAAATGTTGAGAAAAGTTACACTCTCCTGGGTAATAAATATGGGTTTCTACCTTTGAGAAATGTTTATCCTTGGAAGGTCACAACACTTCAAATCTTTCATATGACGATTGTTTGTGTAGATACTCTGTTTTTGCAAAAAGCATGCTTTGATTTAGAATTTCTGAGTTTTGAATATATCAGATTCTTAAACTCTGACATTGTAGAATTCATCACCTTGGTTTACTGTAATGCTTTATTTAATTAATATTTGCTAAGCAACTCTAGTGCAAAAATCCTCATATAAAATCTGTGTCCTGCCAAGTTTCCTCAATGCATTTAGAATATGCTATTTGTATTCTGTACATAAAAATACCACAAGAGTGTGACTTTTATGCAATTTTATCTTAAAGTTCTTATATAAAAATGGATGTGTATTGAGATGACTTTAATTGGATTTTTAAAAAATGGTGCTGTGTTTAATGGCTAGGTTTACTGAGTACATCACAGGCCTTTATAAAGTAAAAACAATATAAATTTTAAATTATATTTTTAGGTAATTTATAAAGTGTATCGTTTTCTGAATATAACAATTTTATTAGAAAGTTTACATGGTATTTATATAACTCTGTTCTATTATTTATTTTTCTTATAGGGAACAAATGGCCAAAGAAATGTCAGAAATTTTGAGTAGGTTAGTTCAGTGTAATTTGGGGAAATAAGTGTTCATCTCATAATCATGCTTTTAAGTTACCTTTGATTATTTGGACTAGAACCTGTTCTGTGACTAGCCCACTCTTTTAAGTTTTGTGTACAAGGAATGTCACTTTCCCTTTATTCCACCTCAACACAGATAAAGATAAAAAGTGATATTCCCTAAATCAGTGTTTGTCAGTGGGAATACCATTGGCATTTTGGATGGGAAAATTCCTTTTTGGGGATAATTCCCAGTTTAATCATTTGCCTCCACCAATTCAGGGGGATCTTTCCCCTCATTGTAACAGAATGTATACTTTGAAACTCCCAATGTTGGTGCTGTGCCTCATTTGGGAACCACTGCTCCTGCTTGAAGGGGAGTAGAGGAAGAGTGTGGCTCCTGAGGAGCTCTGCACTATGCCACTGGTTCAAAACCACTGGTGCAAATTGAGCCACCAGAGGATACAGCCTGAGCAGGATCTGGTCCACTCCCTTTATCAGTTGATATGAATGGGTAACATCTTAACTCTCGATTTTGAAGTTAACACAATTGATTAAAAATACTAAATTAATATATATTTTTAAATCAAGTCAGTTTTGCTACTACCTTACTATGTTGTTTAAGTGATTGTCTTTATAACAAGTCTAAATCATCAGTAAATTTCATCTTTATTTTACTGTTTTAATAACTCCAGTGATCAGGAGTGAGGGCAGCATTTAAACTTCTTCCGGGGCTGAGTATGTTTTTCAGCGGGTACAGTTTTGTTTAAGGTAGTGTGACTGAGAAGTTGATGATATTAAAACCATAGATTGGGCAATAATAATTTGAATTCAGTGTGCTGCATTTTTTAAAGGTATCAAGACACGTATACTTTGACAATCTGACAAGTATGAAAATTCCTTCTATCTTTCAAAAGAAAAAACAGCAACAATAATACTCATAATAATTTTCAGCTCCCCTCCTAGAAAAGACTTCCAGAAGAGCTAGGAAAAAAAGGCAATTGCTGCTGTTGTTATTATTGTTAGCTTATGGACTGGTGCTTTAGGAATGAAGAAAAGAAACAGTATTTGAGTAAGTGTTACAGCCTAATTTATCATGAAGGGTAATAGAGAGAGGCCTTGCTGACACACAGCTGGTTCTTTCTGTGCAAAGCAATTAAGAACAAAAAATTACATGGAAAATTGCCACACAGCTTATGAAAAGTATAGACTTCCCAAGAAACCTACAAAGAGTTTAACCATAAAATACAGGAAGAACTAAATGACCACACATTATTCTTCAGCCAGTTTTATACATAAGCAGCAATCACCATGTCAAACAATTTTAAGGGTGAAGCATGCTGTTTCTTGTTCTTTAAAATGAAAGCATTCATAAGCCTTTTAAAGAGGCAGAGGCACCGTACTTATTCCATTGTTTAGCTTATTATTGACAGAATAATTTCCTTCACTTGAGAAAGAAGGTAACATTGCTTCAGACAGCATTTTTCAATAACAGCAGTCTTAAGTTATCTGTATCTTGTCTTTTGCAAGGATTGTTTTTATCTTTCGAAATGTGAAATGATGAGAAAACCTGTGCTTATTTTGGGGTATTAGACCTTAATTCTCTCTCTTTAGGAGGAGATATTTTCTAAGTAGTACATGATAAAGAAGAATCTTGTGTGATATGCAAGAAGCGATATTTTAGCTCTTTAATATTTAATGATTTTAGTACTAATGCCATCTTTTCAGGTTCTTGAAAGCTGATATGTTTTGGCCGGTGCCGCGGCTCACTAGGCTAATCTTCCGCCTAGCGGCGCCGGCACACCGGGTTCTAGTCCCGGTTGGGGCGTGGGAGTCTGTCCCGGTTGCCCCTCTTCCAGGCCAGCTCTCTGCTGTGGCCAGGGAGTGCAGTGGAGGATGGCCCAAGTGCTTGGGCCCTGCACCCCATGGGAGACAAGGAAAAGGTTTAAACTCTTCCTTTTTACATTGAACTTTATTCTGAGTTTCTGCTATGTGCAAGTGTATTCCTTGGCTGAAAAATAATATACATTATTATAGAGAAAAGACCTTTCTTTCTGTCTCTCTCTCTCTCTCACTGTCCACTCTGCCTGTCAAAAAAAAAAAAAAAAGAAAGCTGATATGTTTAAACTCTTCCTTTTTACATTGAACTTTATTCTGAGTTTCTGCTATGTGCAAGTGTATTCCTTGGCTGAAAAATAATATACATTATTATAGAGAAAAGACCTTTCTTTCTGTCTCTCTCTCTCTCTCACTGTCCACTCTGCCTGTCAAAAAAAAAAAAAAAAAAGAAAGCTGATATGTTTAAACTCTTCCTTTTTACATTGAACTTTATTCTGAGTTTCTGCTATGTGCAAGTGTATTCCTTGGCTGAAAAATAATATACATTATTATAGAGAAAAGAAACATTGCCCACATTTTCCGATTGAAGATCTCAAATCATGTGCATGAACATAAATGAAATGCTGAATTTGTCCCATTTTATTGAGTGCTTTAGATTTTCTTTCTTTCCTCTTTCCCCGTGGAAATGTTTCTACTAAATAGTGCAAGATACAACACTGTGTCCTCTGAAATTTGCCCTTCTGTTTCTTCCTGTAGTGTACCAGTTGTCATGTTATTATTCACTGAACATGAGAGTGTGGTTTAGTCTGTTCACAGACTTCTCCCACAGTTTCTTATTAACAGTGAAACTTGACATCTAGTAGAGGTTCCAGACCGCAGCAGTTCCTTTAGCTCGTCTTTAATGACTCCAATGCACCGAGTTGCAGTTCAGCCACTCACCCGTGCAGCTTGTGAAACTCTGGATGTCCAGGGAGTTTATGAACCAATAGGTGTGGATGGAGCTTGATCACCTACGCGCTGAGTGGTTGGCACAGGTGATTGTGCTGTGTGAGCTGATGGTCACAAGCAAACTGTTAGAGTGCTTCTAATGATCTTCCAGGTGTGTTGTTTTGATTTTGAGGAATTTAAAAACTTCAGAGGTCCAAATACCCACGAGAAGAATGTTTAAATTGAAGTATGGGGCAGGTGTATGGTACTAGAATATTGGAATCAAAAGTTCTGATTCAAAACCTAATATGGCTGGGGGCCGCCATTTGTGGCATAGAGTGTTAAGTCATCGGCATCCCATCAGGCTGCCAGTTTCAGTCCCAGCTGCTGCACTTTGATCCAGCTCCCTGCTAATGTGCCTGAGAAAGCAGTAGAAGGTGGCCCAAGTACTCCTACGTAGGAGACCTGGATGAAGCTCTTGGCTTAGGACTGGCCCAGCCCTGGCCATTGCAGCCATTTGGGGAGTGAACCAGTGGGTGAATATCTCTTGTCTCTCTGTTTCTCTCTCTCTCTCTCTCTCTCTCTCTCTCTCTCTCTGTTTCTCTCTCTCTCTGTAACTCTGCCTTTCAAAAGCAAATAAACAAAAAACAACAACAAAACTAATATGGCTATCAAGTAGTGAGATGCAAAATTGTAATTTAATGGGCCAGTTTTGATTATATCCTTCTGAATCTCCTCTGTCAAACATTTAAAAATCACTATACGTTTTTCTGGTACAGTGGTTGTTTGCAGTTCTTAAACTTATATACACTTCCTTACCTTTTTAGTCAGTATTTCATTCATATTTATAAATATGTAAAAATATATAATAATTACAGAGGCCCTGCTGTCCAAGCCACCAAGGCTGCTGCTGGTACCAAGAAACATGATCTTAGTAAGTGGAAATATGCAGAACTACGAGATACTATCAACACTTCTTGTGGTAAGTCCATGAAGAGGGTGAAAAAGCAGGAAGGGTTCATAGTAATGATAAAATAAGAATTCCTAAACTGGTTTGGGAGAAGTGTATTTGTTTTTGTTTTATAGGTTAGCTTACACTCATTTCTTTGTTACTCTTCCCTTGAAATGAATTCCTAGTTTATACTCAAAGCTAGAAGATAGACAAGCTTATTAAATTAAATCCATTTTGCCTGTCTATTGCCTAGGTCAGAGAGGAAGAACAAAGAGATTATGGTTTGGGCTATATTAATGACTAGCCCTTCTAATGTTATTCTTAATAAATACCAATATATTTGAATCTTTTGGTTATAAAAAAAGTAAAAATTATGAAAGAGTAATGCAATAGTAATATTTTCTTTTTAAAATGATCTTTCTGCCAGCAAAACAATTAGAGTCACATACTGTATCCACAGGATTCGACCTAGTTGTATTCTTATTTAAATCAGTGTTTCAGCTCAGGGCTATATGAGTAGGAATGAAAGACCTATACAGAATTCCTTCTCACTGAATATATCTGCATAATTATAAACATTAAATAAGTGTTGTGTATAAGTCTAGCTTGTGGTTGAGCACAATGACCATGTATCCTGTTGTGAAGGTATTTATGGCCTGTACAAGTGATGGAACCTCTCTGATTCAATTTTTGCATCTATAAAAGACTGATTTATTAGTCTAGGATTCTTGTGCAGAACAATTGGTATTAAGACAGCAATAATGTATAAGAAAAAGCAAAACAAATATAAATGATACTATAAAATGAATAGTAATCTTAACCTTTGGTTTTGTAATATTAACTTAAAAATAAAAAACTTTGTATCTTTTATGCCACAGAATAAATATTCGGATGAATAAATTTAGATGTTAATTTTTTTTGGCTCTTTTCTATGTAATCAATAGATATTGAGCTCTTGGCAGCTTGCAGAGAAGAATTTCACAGGAGACTAAAAGTGTATCATGCTTGGAAATCTAAGAACAAGAAGAGAAATACTGAAACAGAGCAGCGTGCTCCAAAGTCTGTTACTGATTATGGTAAAAACAAATCTGTACTTTTAAATGTTCTGAAATATCTGTTTATAAATGCATGTTACTATGATAAGACATTTGGGCGAAGTGTCCCATATAGCATTTCTGTTACTGTAGAACTGTGATCCATTGAACAAAACCATAATGACCTATTTTTATAATATTATTTCTATCGAATATGTCTCTCAAGTCATGTTTCTTAAGATATATTGCATTTACTTCTTAAACTCTAGAGGTAAGAATCTGCTTGATGAGGCTGTGCAATACTATTCTAAATACATATTTTTCCATACACACACACACACACACACATCAAAATCATGTGACAGCACAAAGATTACTATGCATCTTACTGTACATGTGAAATGCAAATGAAAGGGAAAGTCTTCCAGGGGTGGGTGTTTGTTGTAGCAGTTGAAACACTGCTTTGGACACCTGCATCCTACCTTGGAGTGCCTGGGTGAGGCCCAGCTCCATTCCCTATTCTACCTTCCTGCTAATGTGCTAATGTGCACTCTGGAAGATAGCAGTTGTTGAGTCCAGTAGTTAGGTTTCAGCTGCCCCTGTGGGAGGCTTAGATTGAATTGCTGGCTCCCTGCTTCTCTGTGGCCCAGTCCCAGCCATTGCAGGCATTTGGAGAGTAAACCAGCAGATGCACACTCTGTCTCTCTCTCAAATCAAATAAAAATTTAGAAAAAAAAATTTTAGCCTTATAGGTAAAAATGAATATTTTGTATTTATTAAAAAGATCTTATTTAATTTTTATTTTTAAAACTTTCCCTCAGTTTTAAAGGGCATTTCCCTTAACTATGCATATATTGTTATCTTTTTTTATATGTAGACCTAAATACTTTTCTGTTCCACCTAGAATAGGATTGTGGGGTAGAAAAAGAAAGGAATTGGTTAATGCATTCTCCATTAACAATTTAAGTCTTTTGTTTAAAAAATAAAAATGTTTACTGCAAACATAATTTTATAACACTGTGAAAGTACAGCAGTGAAAAATATTACTTTCATTCAGACCAGAGTTTCCTTAGGCCAGGATTGATCCTAAAAATGGATTTTTTACTTTATCGTGCAAAAGGCTTTCTATACTTGAAAATAGTGCAAAATAGATATAACCTAGTAAAAGCATGCACAGGCTTTAACATTAACTGAAAATACCTGTGATATATGAGTGATATATATGAGCTGTCATTTCAATCATTCAGGCAGTAATTGGAATTTTATTTGTTCAACTTTTTTTTTTTTTAAGATTTTGTTTATTTATTTGACAAGTAGAGTTACAGACTGTGAGAGGAAGAGACAGAGAGAAAGGGCTTTCTTCTGTTGGTTTACTCCCCAAATGGCCGCAACAGCCAGAGCTGCGCCAGTGCGAAGCCAGGAGCCAGGAGCTTACCTCCCACGCAGGTGCAGGGGCCCAAGCACTTGGGCCATTCTCCACTGCTTTCCCAGGCCATAGCAGGGAGCTGGATTGGAAGTGGAGCAGCCAGGACTAGAACCGGTGCCCATATGGGATTCAGGCACTGCACGCAGAGGATTAACCTACTGCGCCACAGCGCCGGCCCCTCAACTTGCTACTTTTAAACTGGTACAACTTATTAGCGAAGTTTGAGTTAATGTCAAGGTGACAGCATATGTAATGGCTTTTTCTTTTTAAAGATGTAATCCAAACATTTGATGGTAGGGTTTAGCGAGACCTGACCCAAGACAACTTAGGAAATGACCTCTTAATTATATTTTGCTTCCCTTACTACCTTCTGAGTTAATAAAAGCAAAGTTCAAGTAAAGTCAATTAAACAGTGGAATTTTAGTGTTTCTGTGCTGTTGCAACAAATACATTGAGTGAGAGCAATATTGCTATTAGTTTGGTAGAAGCCCATGCTGGTGACTGTTCAAGGGATGTTGTCAGTCAAAATATAACAGAAGGGCAGTGAGTGGTCACTTGTAACAGAAATGGCAGGCAAGGGCACAGTCAACACTAGGACTTCCAAGCCTATCTCCAGTTTGAGTTTTTTCTCTGTGAATTGAAGATGACAAGATGAACCCATTACTTGTTCACTTTCTGAGTACTAAGTTCCCATTATGTTACCTTTGTTTAGTGAAAAATAGCAATGGACTTTTTTTTTTGTAGCTGTAAATGTTCTAATTGCTCGCTTTAGCCTGATGAAATTTGATTATAATGTTATATCAAAAGTTATCCCTCTGAGTAATTTTACTTCTCAAACAAAAAAAATACTATTGTAATATTTGGCACACACATTCTAAAATAATATATAAGTATTTCTTGTATTTTTAAACCAAATGTCTATACCTTACTCATCCAACTTCACCCAAAAAGGTGTAAAGGATATGTGGCTCATCTTGCTAGGTCAAACACTATTTCAATTCATAATATGTTATTTGGGAAAACAAATGTTTAGGAAAATTTCTCAAGTCTCATCTAGGTAAACAAAAAAACTTAGGAATTTTATGTGCACACCATTTACATATTGTTTAATTTTAGAGAATTTGATTTGAAACATTTTCAGGATAAAACATAGCTTCTGCTCTGAAAACTGCTTACCTTATTTTTCTCTGCCTTTTTTTATTCTCATGTAAAATTCATTCTGATATAAGAGCCCAGCTAAAAAGGAAAGTGAAGGGCACCAAGATTCTTAGTAGCTCAGCTGAGAAAATTCTATACTTAAGTGGTTTCCTAATGGGACAGCTAAACAACCTTTAAAGGAACTGCTATGTAGTCTAATATTTAAAGGGATTAGAATTCATTAATGTCAGAAAATAAAACAATGACAACTTATGACTAACAAAAAATGATAGATAATGTTGACTTCGAAGGAAATAGATGAACAAGTCATAGTAAATTCTTTAAAGTGTGAAGCCTCAGATGCTTTTCCTGATGCTGTACTGCATGAGCACGTCTCCCCCAATTACTGCCAATAGTGATTTTCGGAAATAAGTCTTGGAAGAATGGAAGATTATTTACAATTTTTAATAGTATTTAAGTGCTTCTAAAATGGTGATTTTAGTTGTTTTATTTTAGGGTTCCTAAAATAAGAATGGCATGAGTATAAGATTTAGAAACCATTGAAGAAATGAAAACAGATGGAGTGTATGAGAGAAAGTACTATCAGGTCTATTAAATCACCATTTTTGTTTGGATATTACCATGTCCCAAAATTTAAAATGAAGTATGGTTTAAATTTTGGACCCCTTTCTATGTGCCTCAAACAGAATATCCTACAACGTAATGAATCAAAATACCCCTTCCCTTTTTAATGAGAAAGCAGCACCTAACTTGTAGGTAATTCAGAGATTATTTGGTTTATTGATTAGGGTATTGTTGTTCACCCCTAAATTGATGAGACGACTTTGTAAATTAGAAGAAGGCTCATTTAAAAGTTTTGGCATTTTTATCATTTGTTCAACACCCAAAACCATTTGTTCACAGATTTTGCACCATTTTTGAACAATTCACGTAAGTCAATGGGTGATAACTCATGAGCTAACTGGAAAATGGGTTAAAATACTTTGTAAAGCACTAACTACTATTAAACACTGTTTTGCTACAATTTTAAGTGGAATTGTTGTATGTTAAAATGGTTTATTCCTACTAAGATCTGTTTTAATTTGGGAAGAAAATTTTTAGTTGTATCACTCCAAAATACATATGCAGAATCTAATCTTTTTGAAAATCAAATTACTTGTCTTAAAAATAACTACCATTTTAAACTGTAAGTATACACAATTCTTATTGTAGCAAAACTATCTTAATATAATGGCTCTTCTTTTAGAATAAAGACTAACATTGAGGTGTTGGTTTCAAATACTGTCTTCAAACACTTGGTTGTCTGCATTTCTTTCCAAAGGGATTTGGATTTTGTTTGATAAGGTGCACAGGTTTAATAATGATATTCTTACTGGGAAGAATAGATCATCCTGTTACATTTATGGCTTCCTATGGCATGCATTCTTTGATAATTGAAACATTTTAGGTCACCTTAAAGTACAGTAAGTTTCTTCTAGAAATAGTTAAGCAGTAATGATTTGGATATAAATGTGATACTCATTTATGAACTGGTTGAGTCTTGATTTTTTTAAGTGCTTCTCATATCTCATAAATGTCTGTGTTTGTGACTTATTTGACACTTTCAAAGATAATGTAGTTGAACGTGAAACAAAGTTTCTTGGAAGATTAGTTTCAGGTTTCCAATGTGTATGTCCTTCTATTTAACTAGATAGATGTTAGCTTCCAGCCTTTCTCATAATAAGTCACTTCTCTCATTAGTGGAGAAAACTAGTCAGAGAACTTCTGTTTGGTTTTGTAACTTTACTCAAAATACTAAGTTAAAGGAGATAGTTATAAAAGAAAAAAGTAGTGTAATTAATGAATGTTAGCATCATAGTAAATTTCCTACCAACTGGACATTAGCAAGGTGAAGGGAAGATTTTTTTTTAATCCTTTTAAAATGTTTTAGTTTTGAGTGAAGTGCACTGTCCTCAAAGCAGCTAATTTTTAAAATGTGATTCTCTTGCAAGACAGTGAGTACCCTGGGAGGATCAGGAACTAAAGATTAAATAGAGCACATGTCTGTTACTATGCTGAAGGTGACACAGCTTTTTAGTCACTAACAAAACTGGGCCTCTTATCCTTTCATAAGCATATTTAGCTGTGCTAATTGCTTTTGACTTTTTCTGGTTTGCAAAGAAATAAATTCAACTTCTGTAAAGCTTGGTGTAAAAAGTAGAATAAGAGTATTTTCATCCTTTCAATATTTGCAAATTCTTTCAAAGGCTGTGTGGCTGTTCTTGATTTTTATATCATATGTACATTATGTAATTTTTCATTGACATACTTAGATTTTCATAGTGAGATTTTAAATTGAGCTGCAGTAAATGGTTGGTCCACTTTTAGAGGTATGAGTATGAAGCATATTAAACAGGCTTACCAAAATTACACTGCCAAAGATGTGAAACCATTGCCCTTGGGAAATGTTTACATTGGCGGATAAAATAAAAACCCAACTGTTCAGTAATGAAAGTTGAACAAGGGAAGAAAGATTGATATGAGTGCAAAGACTAGTACTAACAAAAAAGCAAGGATTTTTCTACTGGCAAGGAGAACCAAATGTTACACACTTTCTACTTATTTCAGTGGATTGAATTTCAAGAGAAATCTGATTTCAGAGTAAGTATCTGGGATAAAGTTCATGCTTAACTGTTTTATAGGTCTTGTTTTGTTTTGTTTTGGTCATGAAATGTCTAAATAGCTGTAATCTCAGCCATTTAAAAATGCCAGAATCGGTTGGCAAAAGAGAAAATTTTTATATGGCTTCCATCTTTGTGGAAAGTGTGTTTTAATTGACACATGTCTATAACCTTTCCAGTTCTAACATTAATGTGTATTTTTTTTATCATAAAACATCCAATAAGTTATGCTGTAACTTTCATTTAAACACTCAGGAGGAAAGATATAAATTGCATAAAAGAAGTTTGCTTTCCTGCTGTGTGAGTTTCTTGCCGGTTATTGATAGTCATTTGTGGTGATCTTGTAGGATGTACTGTTGTTGCTGTTGGTGGGGGTGGTATGTGTATGTGTTTGTGTGTTTGTAAGGCCTAAGAACATGTTTAGGGAAAGACAGAAAGAAAATATCACACTCTGAATTATATTCATTTAGAGGCAATTAATATTTACATTTTGTTTAAAATTTCCTGGTGGGTCCCTCTTGTTTTTCAAGTTCTTGATTCATTTTAGGATTAGAGGCTGTGTTCTCTTCCCCGGTGCTGTGGTGTAACTTTCGTTGTTCTGTGTGATAGCTCAGCAGAACCCAGCAGCTCAGCTTCCTGCCAGGCAGCAGGAGATTGAAATGAACCGACAGCAGCGCTTCTTCCGCATCCCGTTCATCCGCCCTGCTGACCAGTACAAAGACCCCCAGAGTAAGAAGAAAGGCTGGTGGTATGCCCATTTCGATGGACCCTGGATTGCCAGGCAAATGGAACTGCATCCTGACAAGCCACCCATCCTTCTTGTGGCTGGTGTGTATGATTCACATGAAAATATGTATATGTATAAACCAAAAAAGGGGTATAAGCCCTCTAAACAAAACATTTTAATATGTAACGTAAGAATTCATTACATTTCAGAGTTGAGGGATGGAGTTTTGTAGTTCAATCACATTTCCAAGTAATTGAGGACTAACTGATTTATAATGTGAAATGGCTTAGATTAATTATGTCCTTACAGAGTGCATAAAGAGACTTCTCTGTGTCCTCAGAACCTTTTCACTGGTGTAATTATATCCAGTGATTTGTAATGGCTTCAGGAAGTGTAGCGTTTTTATTAATCCTGATAACTTGCTTTGTCAACTGAAGTGTTTATAAATTTTGGAAGGCTCTTTGATGGGGGACAAACCCAAGTTGCTTCTGGTGAATTTATTTATTAACATTAGATTTCCTCTAATAGAAAGGTAAGTTAGAAAGTTCTCAAGTCTGAGAGAACTGATAGCTATTTCAGTAATATTCACGAGGAATGTTTCTGGGAAGAGAGATGGTAACTTTCTGATGCCTGCTGTATGCAGGTAAAGATGACATGGAGATGTGTGAGCTGAATCTTGAAGAGACCGGCCTGACTCGAAAGCGTGGGGCTGAGATTTTGCCAAGACAGTTTGAAGAAATCTGGGAACGCTGTGGAGGCATCCAGTACCTTCAGAACGCGATTGAGAGCAGACAGGCCAGGCCCACGTATGCGACAGCTATGCTACAGAATCTGTTGAAGTAGATGCTGCACGCTCCCCTGACAACTGGGAGCCCTTGCCACAGTCCTGGGTGGGGTGTGTGCCCGAAAGATGTAACCCTTTCACGATCATGTTAGAATACTTAAACAAAGTGAACAGATTTTATTAATCATTGCCTTTTTGTTAATTTGTTTTAGGTTAATTAAGATTGTGATAGTGAATTTTGGACTTAAAAATCATTTTCCTGTATGCAGCTATGAGTCTTAGGCATCTCATTATTCTAATACTTGTTACACTTGGACAGATTCTGACATTTCTCTTCTTTTGCCAACAGCCTCCTCTAAGTCCATCCTAACTATTCTTTAGGAAAAGAGATTTTTTTTTTTTTAATGTAAGGTACTTGCTTTTTAAGGATGGCACAGTACCATATAACTGGAATAATGAAACCTTAGCTTAAATTTCTGACAAGAATTAAGGCGCTTAAAATGATCAAGGCACTAATGTTTCTGCTCTTAAAAGCTATCTATTTTTCTTTACTAACTTTTTCAAAAATTAATGAAGATTCTGACTTTTTTTCCTCTCTTTTGCATTATGTCTTGGTTTTTGTGAATCTCTCCTACCTAAGTTCTAGAATTCTAGAAAAGCCTTTATGTATCAGATACCTGAGTGTTAGGTGATAAAGGAGGTATTAATGGTATCCCACCCAGATTTGTGTTTCTTCTTGTGCTTTTTATATTCCATGGACAAATCAAAGAAATTCAGATTGTTTAAATGTGTAAAAATTTTGAGATATATTTTGTATCTCAAAAAGAAAAGGAAAATAGGTTTTAGGTGGCACTGTGGCATAACTGGACTAACTGAATTAAAATAGTCTCTTCATTAGAATTTTTGTATCAGAATCTTGTCCAAGATGTTTCATACAATTTAAGTTGGTGTTCTGCTTCAGACATCTTGTAGTTCTCATGGTTGTATTTTTTTTAATTCCTAGTGTCTCTTTTGGGCTTTGAGATTTTGTTAACTGTAGAGCTGTTTTATAAGCTTTATAATTCAAAAGCTCTTGTATTTAGTAATTGCTTGTTTCATGTAACTGATAATTTAAAAAAGTTGTCTTTGTGTGCTGTTAGTTTTGATCAAATGTCAGCGGTTTCAAACCTAATATTTATGAGTTTCATATTAGGAGATTAGGAACAAAATTACATCAAGGAGTTATGTGGGCATAATTCTAAGGAGACTTGTTTTATTCTAGAATAAAATTAGAGAGTAAAATTATTCTCCGCACCTTTCTTTCTAATTTTTAAAGACTCTAACCTTTGAAATGAAACTTCAGTAATTTCTTTTTCCTAGAAAGAATACCTCAGTTAGGAAAAGATTTCCCAGCTGATCAAATTAGTGTCTGTGAACCACAGACACTGTTTTCAGAGCTTCTCTCATCATATGTGTCTTAGTACAAAGATATTTATTTATTATGATGCAAATGATTATTTGTGTTAAAGAAATTAAATAGTCCTGTCTGTGATATTAATTGAGAATGTGAATGTGATTGCTCCCTGGAGGCTGTACTACTGCATTGACTTCCTTGCCCTTGGGTCATTTGGTCCCTGTGATTGGAGACAAGGTGTAGTTACTGAAATAAATGGTCTATTCTCTCTCTTTCATCCCTTGCTTTCATTGTTGTTTTTATTTGTGTAAGATTGGAAAATGATAAGCTTTGTTTTCTCACCAGTAACAAGTAAAGTCTTTTAAAAATTTAATTACTAAATTGATTTTAATGACTTGTCCTCTCAGTACTGTTTCCAGAAATAGTTTTATGAATCCTCTAGATACATTAAAAGGCACTAGATGAGAAATTAATCAAAAAGGTTAAAGTCATTATAATGAGAACTTTACGTTTCAAACAATTTCTAAAGAAATCTGTCATAGCAAAACACCGTTTATAAGCCTGTAGTTTTTGATTCTAATAATTAATAAAATTATAATCTTAAGCCATTTTGTTTCTAATTATGCCACATGGCTGTCCTAGAACTTACCCATTTAAAATAGTCTCCTGAGTTATAATGTTGGCTACCAGGAGATCTGCCCTAATTCAGACACACTTGGAATAACCTACATAGAGTAGCTGTGCATACACACCCAAGTCAGTTTGGTGGAAAAACTTAGATCTCTGTTAGCCTTTTCCAGTAAATTTCCGAAATGGTGTCCTAAAGGATGTTGATGTGGCTGCCTTACCTTGTATCAAACCCATAAAGGCTTATGAAAACTGAAGGATTTGAAAGTAAATTAACTCATATTTTATGCAGTCATTTTAATTGAGATTTAAAATGAGAAATTTAAGCCAGGGTACTGAATATGAGAACTAATCTTATCTTAATGCTTGTTTCACTCAGTAGCAGTTCCTTCCATCCTGTATGCTTTGCAAAGGTAGACACAAAATACCGAATGTGAGAAGACAAAATGTTTTCACATAAAATTAAATTATAATGCAATTCTTAAATCCACTGACTTGGTTGAGATTTGTAATATGAGCTGTAGTACTCACTGAGAAATGGAAGTTTCTCTAATCTGCTTATGTTAAGAGAACACTAGGTTTTCTTAGTTGTAAAAGTGGAGAGATGGGGCCAGTGCAGTGGCATAAGGGGTAAAGCTGCTGTCTGCAGTGCCAGCATCATATATGGGCACTGGTTCGAGTCCTGGCCGCTCCACCTCTCTTCAGCTCTCTGCTATGGCCTGGAAAAGCAATAGAAGATGGCCCAAGTCCTTGGGCCCCTGCATCCACGTGGGAGACCCAGAAGAAGCTCCACTCTGGCTATCTGGGGAGTGAACTGGGGGATGGAAGACCTCTCTCTCTCTATCTCTTCCTCTGCCTCTCTGTAACTCTGTCTTTCAAATAAATAAATCTTTAAAAAAAGAAAAAGTGGGAAGATGGCAACTTCTCAGAGGATACCATGAATAAGAAATAATCTGGGAGTCCAAACAAAAAAAAAAAGCAATCCATTGCCCTTACCTTCTGCTTTCGTAGTGACTTGTTTTGGCCGTTCTATCCAGTAACACAGTGAACCCATTTGTTTTGCAAACAATAAAGGCAAGATCATCTTAAGTGGAAAATAGGCGGTGCCTGTGGCAGCTGAGACAATGGAAAGCCATTGGCAAGAATAATGAGTATTTATTAATGGTAGGAATTTATTAGATAATTTAAAAGATACTAGCATTCACATGTTATTACTGTGGTTCTCAGGGGATCCAAACATGTGGACCTGAGAGGACTTGAAACAGCTGAATAAATGTTTATTGAATGGAACAATTCCTGTGATGTTCGTGATAGATCTCGTTCCTTTTATGGAAGAGACAACATAAATCCAGAGAGGTCAAGTAATTTGGTTCTAGACTGCAGCAAAGATGTGTGGCTTTGCTTTAAGCATATGTATCAAACAAAGTCAAAACAAGCAGACATTTTTAGTAGCTGCCTGAGGATTTAGGAAAATTTACCCCTGTGCCACTCTGCATCTTCAGTAGGTGTGACAGGTTTTCTCTATTCATCATTTCCCTTAATAACAGGCATTGAGAGTTTGATTTCTCCCAGAAGATACACTGGTAAGGGGGAGGAGATGGCAGAGACTGTCTGACAATGGGAATAGGGACAAGTTGGGGGCAGCAGTTGTGACAAAGAGAAGAGCGGTGGTGGAAAGGAAAGGAAGAAAAGGGAATGAAGCCCTAGGAATCTACACCAAGATGGGAGACACTGGTAAGTTTTTAGGCTACGCAGCACACTCCTAGATCTTTGCTAAGTTTTAGAATGAATTGTATGTAACATAAGAGCAAATCTGTGGTCATTAAAGCTAGCATCAAGGTGCTGGCATTATGGTGCAGTAGGTTAAGCCACCACTTGCCATGCTATCATTCCATATTGGAGTGCTGGTTTGAGTCCTGACCCCTCCACTTCTGATCCAGTTCCTTGCTAATGTAATTGGAAAGGCAGCAGATGATGGCCCAAGTGCTTGGGCCCCTGGCACCCAGTTGAGAGATGCAGATGGGAGTTCCTGGCTCCTGGCTTTGGCCTGCCCCAGCTCTGGCTATTGTGGCCATTTGGGGAGTGAACCAGCAGACACAATCAATCACTCTTTCTCTCTCTCTCCTCCCCCCACATCTCCCCTCCTCCCTAATTGCCTCTCCTCCATGTTCTGCCTTTCAAATACATCTTTTAAAAAAAAACCAACATCAGGATCAACGTGGTCGGTAAATGTAAATGCGTAATATTCGGGGGTGGCACTGCCATAGAAGCCTCATGGAAAAGTAAAGTGTTGATCCTTTCCCAGCCAGAGCCTTCTTACAGCAAGACCACACCTATGACTACAGTTAAATTGGATTCAAATCAATATATTCCTCCATCACTTAACCTAGTATGTGGGTACTTCAGAAATTTCATGGAAAACTGAATTGAAAGGTAAACTTATTTTGTTAGAAAAACCTTAAATTCTTGCATAGCTTTTCATGACGTGCATGTTCCATGAACTTTTTTTATATTTATGTAAAGGGAACAAATTTCATGTATTTCATATATACAGTTTACCATAATGCTTTTGAAGACCCCATATATATGAAGTAAGTTTGGTTGTCTCAGAAATTCTTAAGGAGATAATCAGGAAAATTAATGCACATTCAAAAGGAGGATATTCTAATTTGGATCCATGTAGATTTCACCTTCAGACTTCAATGTTTATTAATTGGCCATTTTATTTTCAATTGTGAAAAGTCATCTGTAGTTGTAGTTATTAGTTTTATGCCCTCATTTCTTGAAAAGTGTATATCTAATACTGTCCTAAAATATTGATGTACTAGAAATACAAATAATAAATGCTTTAAGTGTAGAACTCCATTTTGCATGGTGAGCTGTTAATATAGTTATGGGGTGCCATAAGCAAAGTTGCCAATGTATCAGATGGACAAAGTTGGAGTAGTCTGTGTAGCTGTAAGAAGAGGCAAGGATCTATAGGGGATTGAAACTTCCTGAAGGTTCCAAACTCCTGTGTGACTTCATCTAGAAACAGGCAAGACTGTGTATGTGTCATTACTTCCCATTTTGTTTAGATAAGAGCAAATGAACTGCCTTTGCCCAGGCCCTCCCTTGTCTGTGAAAAGACAAAGGGTCTGGGGATGCAAAGAGTCCTCCCTAAGGCTTCGGATACAGGTGGTCTGGAGAGCCTCCTTCCTGTCCCATGCTGGAACCTACGATGATTCTGGTGGGTATTCTGGGAGTGGGGGGAGACCCTGGCCAGCTTCCTCACCAGCTCTTGTCTTGCTGATGGAAAAGTCCAATCCAAAAGATGGATGTTGCAATGAGTGAGATGCCCTTGCAGAATATAGAGTATGCACTTCTCTTTCCCCATCAAGAATGATATTTCCTACATTAGAGCACAGCTGAAATATAGGGAGTGGGAGGCCCACTTTGGGGGAGTGGTAATGGTAGGCATTTTCTTTCTTGGTGGGATTTTTTCATATGCTTTTGCTCAGCTTGTAATGCTTCTAATAATTTAGTTTGCTTCTGGCAAATTCCAGGGGAAATGACACCATCCTTTGCTCTGTGAATTGGAATGTGTCACCCTGAAACCCATATTATAGTTAATCACTTTTGGGGAGGTTTGGGGTAGAATGGGGTAGAAAAGAACAGATGTGCATTTTTTTTTTTTTTTGACAGGCAGAGTGGACAGAGAGAGAGACAGAGAGAAAGGTCTTCCTTTGCCGTTGGTTTACCCTCCAATGGCCACCGCGGCCGGCGTGCTGTGGCCGGCGCACCGCGCTGATCCGATGGCAGGAGCCAGGTACTTCTCCTGGTCTCCCATGGGGTGCAGGGCCCAAGCACTTGGGCCATCCTCCACTGTACTCCCTGGCCACAGCAGAGAGCTGGCCTGGAAGAGGGCAACTGGGACAGAATCCGGCGCCCCGACCGGGACTA